ACAGATATACGACATATGTGTCGTGCCCCGTTACAGATATACGACGTATGTGTCGTGTTCCGTTACAGATGTACGACAGACGTGTCGTGCCCCGTTACAGATATACGACAGACGTGTCGTGTTCCGTTAGGCGTGTCGTGTTCATGTACAGATATACATCAGTCGTGTCGTCTAGCGGTACAGATGTACGTATTTGGTTTTGTATAATAGTTAGTGCTGAATATATCTATTTAAATAGTGTGAATATTGTGTGCTGCGTTATCGTAAGTGCATTTGTGCTTATACTGTTTTATGTGCCATTTATAGCTATGATGTTTTATCTGTCGTGTGTTGTTGATATATATATATATATTTAGTAAAATGTAAATGCTATTTAGTGCTATTAATTACCCATGTATCTAGTATATTCTGACTTTATGTACTAATACTGATAAATTTATATTATCGTATATTCCATAAAATTATGTCCAGTGCTCTTTACTTTAATGTGTTTATACTTGTTGTGTATTCCGCATGATGTGTTGTATATAGTTATTGTACAATGTATATAGGGTCTAATGCTCTCAAATGTTATTAATTTCAATGCCATTCGTTACAGAATTTCAATTATTTAATAAAATACTTTCTAATTTTCATCTATATGCTTGTTTTCTTTTTGTAAAGTGTGCACAACTGTAATCCTAGAGTTGATCCCTCTAAATAAAGGAGCGGAATTGCAAGTCTAACTTGAATTAGATTTGGTAAAACAGGTATCATGATACCTGTCCATACATTATAAGTACAGACACCGGATTCCACATTAGCTTCAATGTAATTGTGTAAGAACCGTTAAAGATTATATACATGTCGTATCCCAGTACAGGTGTAAAAAAGACGTGTCGTGTCACAGTACAGATGTACAGACGTGTCGTGTCCCGGTACAGATGTACAGACGTTTCGTGTCCCGTTACAGATATATACACAGACGTGTCGTGTCACAGTACAGATGTACAGACGTGTCGTGTCCCGGTACAGATGTACAGACGTGTCGTGTCCCGGTACAGATGTACAGACGTGCGGTGTCCCGTTAAAGATTACATACATGTCGTATCCCAGTACAGGTGTAAAACAGACGTGTCGTGTCACAGTACAGATGTACAGACGTGTCGTGTCATAAGATCACAGTACAGATGTACAGACGTGTCGTGTCATAAGATCACAGTACAGACACCGGATTCCAGATTACCTTCAATGTAATTGTGTAAGAACCGTTGACAACAAATACTGAAGAGTTGGCACTGGGTTTTTTTTCCAGTGCAGATGATTTTATTACATTTAAAGTCACTCTTTTCTGTAATGTGACTGGATACCATTGACCATTCCTTAGCAATTAACTCAGACAGAAATCTGGATTTTAAAATACTTTACTTAATATTTGATCATAAGTTATACAATACATGTGAAACCATGAGAATGTGGCAAAAGATCGTTAATCAGACACAATTTGATCTTCAACATGTCACAGACGCAAGATGATAAAGCACTTCTGCACAAGAGGCCCAAGGGGCAGGATCATTCACACAAGAGTTACAGCCTAACTAAATAGTGAAATGATATACAGACAGTAAGTCATTACAGCATATAACAACACTTTGAGTTTCATACAATTTTCACACCATACTGACTGTACTGAAAGTAAAATTTGTCAGAAACATGAACCTTTTGAAGTTAAGATTTAGCAAAATTGGTTCATTAAAATATGATTGTTGGAAAAATAGACTTTCAAAACAATGGCCATGTCAACTACATTGGATTTCAAATTGCTTACATTTAATAGTAACTGCTAATACAGATTTATATTAGATCTTAACGCATGCTGCAGTGGACCTTACACCAATCACCTTCAAGTTCCATCAAAATAACTTCAGTAGGATTAAGTTCAAAATAGGACAGATTTTTAAGATGACTTCAAGACAGATTGAAATCAGCTCAAATATACCTAAGTAACAGTCCAGCACATACTCTGTTTCTTTTAAATTTCAGTAAAATAAATTCATAAAATCTTGATACTAAGTTCTAATAAGGTTTTCAAGATGGCACTTTATATATTAGCCAAGAACTCCAAAAGAAGCTCCAAAATACAAAAAAAAAATTGTCTGCAGAACACAAAATTTCCTTTAAAAGTTAGCAAAATCACTTCAGTAAATCTCAACATGGCTGCCATGATGCGGACACTGGATTTCAAAGTTCTGGGCCAACTGTGGGTACATTTGCGTATCGGTTGAAACAGTTGAACCTGTAAAGAAAATGACAGGCACAGATCTGGACCGAGGCCAACCTCAGGAAAGGCAGTGTAGATTGAGGGGTCCAGATGTACCTTACAGAAAATGGTCTAAACCAAAATGCTGACTATTGCCAGTTTGCATTATTTCTGTCTAAAACAATATTTTGCCACATGTACCGTTTCAACCCGGATACACGAATGTAGCCTACCTATTATATCAGATATGAAAATAAGGGGAGGTTATTGTTAATACAACAGTACAGTGGGACTGGGATCTTTAACAACTATGACATCACATCACAGAATCAACAATTACACAAGGTCAAATGCTTATCAAGACACTCAAAGTGAGGCTTGCTGAAAGGGAACATTTTTTGCATTCCATAGATTAGGATTGAAAAAATCCCCACAACTCGACAGCTGTCTAACCCTCCTAATTATCAACTTTTTAGAAAAAAAATCACTAATCCTTATGTCTATTTGAAATTTAAAATTAACTCCATTTAGATAAATATGAAGAACAACTGTCATTCCTGGAACCTATATATTAAATAATTTATACACTATATGTTCAATATAAACAGTAACATTTACATGTTAGATACAAACATTAAATATGTATTTATATTACCAGTTGTACTTGATTGTTTTATCTACAATGTAACACAGTGATATTGTACAACTTTTTCTTTGGCAGACAGTTTTCCATAATATACATGAATGTAACAAATATTTATGATTGCAATTTACTATCTTTAACTCATTCACCCCTTTTTTCATAATGAACTATTCTACCTTTGAATTGGAAGAGTTCAAATGTGTCTTTAGGGGTAAATGAAAAAATAACAATGTCTTACAAGCACTTTTAGTATACAGATACATACTGACATTGTCTTGTACAAGAACTGGTGGTCTCCTCCTGTTACTTAGCATTGCACTCACTTAACCTGTTCAACACACCACTCAACCTCTTTGGACTATGTCACTGGGATGTTTGGGAGAACATAGGGTGGTACATTGTGCTACTGTTTTGAAGTTCAATGTTTGTTTAGTTTTATAATAGATACTGTAACTTGATGCTTTCAAGCTTAACTTCTAGAAGGATTGTCATCTGTTCACAATTTTACAATTATAGTTTTAAAGGCAGAGTACTGGTAACAGATACCACTGACTGTGGTAATGTAGCCATATTTTCTCTTACAAGTACAGTTCCAAGTAATCTAAAACAGTTTAATAAATCTCTTTTGATTTGTAAAACAACACAGAAAAATGAAATTCTTAAAGTTTCATAATACTCCTGAATGACCTTCATTAAAGTTGATAGAGAGTAAGGATAAAATAGTTGCTGCTTTCTGAATCATTTCAAGACCCATTTTTCAACCATTTTGGAAGCCGCTGACAAGTCCAGCATCAACAGCCATTCCATAGAAGATTGAGTCGTGATTACCCAGGAGGACAGATGGGGAGTCAAACTCTGCAATATCTCCATTACTCAAGACCAACACTCTGTAAAAAATACAGGAAATATTACCATGGTTACAGGACCAACACCCTGTAAAATATATATAATAAATATTACCATGGTAACAGGACCAACACCCTGTAAAATATATTCAGGAAATATTACCATGGTAACAGGACGAACACCCCGTAAAAAATATTCAGCAAATATGCCATAGTTACAGGATGAAATTTATGCATTAAGTTAAAATTCATTAAAGTAAGGCTATAAACCAGAATCTTTTTCTTTCACCAAAATTCATATTTGGTGTTATGGCATACCAGGGGTACTCTCAAAATAAATTCAGTATCGAACAAGAAACCCTGTTTATTGAAAATTTCTTTTACACAAAAGCAACCTGGCTCCACCATGCCAATTCAAGCTAATTTAGCAGGGAGCTAAACAAAGAAAGTTAGCTTGGAAACTAAAGTCTGGATGTTGATCAGTCAAAGTGCAGTATGCTAATCAATTATTCACAGATCCCTCCTCTTTGAACACAGTCTTAATCTCTGTATACTGTACAGGTGCTTACCGAGTGATAGTGAAATGGAATGATATTTAAACAGGTTATCAGGAAATTTAATTGTGGAAGGACAGATGCTGCCAATACAATTAGACATCCTGTCAAAGTATTCAACATATGTGTAACAGGAGAAAGAAAAATACAATGGCCAGATCCGAGTTCGAATCCAGGACCCTCCAAACTAGTACTCTAGATGGATGCTCTACCAAATGAGCTACCTGGTTGCCAATCCAGTTCCGCTACAAGTGTATAAAAGTTTCGCTTGCTTGAACTCTTTTGATTCTGTGTGATATATGGTTTAGATCTAATATACAAAACATACTGGCTCTTCCAGTCATTGTGCTGTCAGACTATAACAAATTCATCTGGAAGACAAAACTAGACATGCTTACTTATCGTAATCTAGAACGGTGTTAAGACGGTGGGCGATGGACAGGACTGTACAGTCGTGGAACTCGGAGTGTATTGTCTCCTGTATGAGGGCATCAGTCTGCATGTCTACTGCCGCGGTCGCCTCGTCCAGGATCAGAACATTTGTCTTCTTGAGTAATGTCCGTGCCAAGCACACCAACTGTCGCTGCCCTACACTGTAAAAACAGGATGTTGTTTAGCAACACACTCAATTTTAAATACACTCTTCTGGCCCATTGTTTTTTTGCGTCACACTACATGTAGGTTGAATTTATTGATGAGCATTTCAGATTTGGTAACAGAAACCTATCCATTAAAAAGTTCTTCAATACCACATTAAGATATATTGACAATATGCCGTCTTCCAATAATATGAAATTTATTTATCACCTTGATCATATATGTACCCGCCTGAGTTTGAAATCAGAGAAATAACAGACTCCTCTACTTCAGCTGCATTCCACAATCTTTCATTACAGCATGACCAACAGGGCAGCTTACTACAAATCTGTACATTAAGAGGGACAATTTCAACTTCCCAATTGTTAACTTTCACTTTCTTGAGAGAAATATCCCTACATCCTTCCTACTGTTTTAACATTTCACAGTTGATTTGGTATACAAGAGCTTGCTCTGAATATCGTACCATCTGTGATAGTGATAGACAAACTTACAACACAGGGTTTCCAAAGACCCAGGTTGATGAAGACTTTAAACTGGAATTTTGTTTTTGGGAACAAAAACATGTCTCCCCTTATTAGCCAATAGCTAAACTTCGGTATAAAAAATTAACAAAGGGCCATATCTCTTTATATAGTGGGGCATGAGACCCAAATTTAGAATATGACACTCCTACTTCCCAATATACATTAAAACCATAGCAAATTTGGTCAACGTAGGTGAAATAACATGGAAGTTATGCTGTGGATAAACTTTGGTAATAAAAATAAACAAAGGGCCATTACTCTGTATAAAGTGGGGCACAAAACCTGATTTTAGTGCGAGAGATTCCACCTTCCCAAGATACATAAATATGGTAAGTTTGGTCAATGTAGGTGAAATAACATGGAACTTATGCTCCGGTAAAACTTCGGTATTGAAATTAAACAAAGGGCCATAATTCTATATATAGTGAAGCACTAGGCCTAATTCTAGTGCACTGCACACCTTCTGTAAGTGATGCAGGTATACTTCAAGTTTGATCAAGATATCTTTAACCGTTTAAAATTTATGGGCCGGACAAGAATTTACTGTAAAATGTTGCACTTATTTGACCTTTGACCTTGATGTGAAGATCACAGTAACCTTATCCCAGTGCACTGCACACCTTCTGTGAGTGATGCATGCATACCTAAAGTTACATCAAGATATCTTTGACGGTTTAAAGTAATATGGCCTGGACAAGTTGGGATTAGAAGAACCAGAAGAAGAAGAAGAAGAAGAAGAACCAGAAGAAGAACCAGTACTAATACAATATGTCTCCTAAAGTTTTATTCAAGATATCTTTGACGGATTAAAGTAATGGCCTGGACAAGTTGCGATTAGAAGAACCAGAAGAAGAAGAAGAAGAAGAAGAACCAGAAGAAGAAGCAGTACTAATACAATATGTCTCCCTTCATTCGAAGGGGAGACATAACAAGTCATGGTTGCCATCCTGATCTCTTAAGGAAATATGATATGTCTGTGTGTGATTTCTGATTATGATCTTTAACATGCCTTTTGGTTGTGTTGTCATTACTGGAGTTCTTGGTGGTAGGATGTGACATTACTTGGAAATGACTTCTATTTACATATGGCAGGTAGTGTCAATGAAGCAGAAGAAGCTTCTATATAATTACCCATCTTCAACCCCTGGGTTTATTCTTGTAATTTGTTAAGGGTTTCCATATTATAAAACCATACATTGTCACCTGCATACCTGAAGTTATGGCCCCCTTCTCCACACTGGTAGCTCAGTAACCCTGGTAACGTCTTGACAAACTCACTCAAATGAGCCTGCTGTAATGCATTCCATAGTTGATCATCCTTGTACTTGTCAAAAGGGTCAAGGTTCATTCGCAATGTCCCAGAAAACAGAACAGGGTCCTAGGAAAGAGATAAGAAACAACAAACTTAATATCATTCATAATACCTCGTCTTTTCAGAAACCTAAGATGGAAATTACGTTGCACTGACATGAATCTCTCATCAAATCAGTTAATCCAGTCAACTTTCTATGATGAACCATAATTTTGCCTTGTTTTGCTTTGTAGAAAGAAATAAAGGTTTTGGTAAACCAACCCAATTATAAGGTAAGGAGATCCAATGTCCTGTGGGTAGTGGTTGGTCAGTGTACCTACCTTTACGGCATCCTTGGTGTTGACGCTCCATCACTTACCTATTTGGACTTATTTTGCTTTGTACACAATATACATGCATAAGTGAAATTTAGATAATTGTTCATCATTATAGTATCTTCTTAAATTCAAGGGAGAGAATTTTACACATTTTGAAACAATTATCTATTTTACATGTATACTGCATTTTGACTTTTCCTGTGCCTGAAAGCCGTACTTTTTAGCATTGAAATATACAGGAGAATATACTAGAGCAGCAGAGAATTACTACAAACATTGAACGATTAATGCAACAACTGCATTAATAGAATATCTTCAGCAATAACAAATATATTATGTGGCCAGTATTTTTATATCCCTCACAAATATTCATGCAGCCCATGTTGAATGACCATTTGATGCTTTGTCTTGGAAATCCACCATTTATACATACCCCCTTGGTGAAACATTTAGTAAGTCTCAGAACTCAGAAGTAAGTTCGGAAATGTCAGCTCTTGAAATTACACTCCATGGGCAAATTATAATTAAATACTAATTCATTTGCACTACTTTATTTGGAAGAGCCCTTTTATCTAATTAACTGAAACCATATGTAAAAACTAACATATCACTTATTTCTAGGTACTGTAAAGCACTTTAGAGTGGCTTATGTTTGCTTTGATAGGGCACTATATAAAATTTTGTATATTAATATTATTATTATTTCTAAAATAAATCTAGTAAAACAAGAGTAAGCTTATCATCAATGCAGGTTTTAGAAGCGTAATCTGTGTTTGTCTTTTTGCATTACCTGTGGGAGAATAGTGAGTTTTTCCCTTAGGTTGTGCAAGCCTATGTCTGCAATCCTGACACCGTCGATAATGATGTTTCCCTCAGTGCCCTCTATCAGACGAAACAGTGAAAGTGTCAGGGAGGATTTACCTGCCCCTGTCCTTCCGACAATGCCAATCTGTCAAATTAATCAAATTTAAAATAATTAATTTTCAAATTGGAAGTCACAAGGTGTATTGAATATTTAGAAAAAATTAATACCATCAGAAATTATTATTTTACAATTATGAAAACTAATTATCACAAGGTTATCTTGTACAATCAACATTGAAACCACCTTAAATGTTTCATATCAGACTCCGATCAAAAGAGAAATGCTATAAAATACGATATCACAATGCATTTATACCAAATCCAACCATTGTTATATCAAAAATATGTGTCTGTTTCTCTATTCTTAAAACATTGGAAAAACATGCAAGAAGTTAGGGAAACACTATAAGTTCCCAACATAAAAATATGGACATGATTTTATCAGCCAGTCTTTTAATTTTCAATTCAACCATTTCAAATGTGTCAAGCTGTAACTTAAAATGTACCTTAATGTGTGTATGGCATGACAATTTTGTAAGGAGCTTGAATTGGGTGGAGTTCAGGTCTAAGACAAGAGTTGAAGAGACTCAAATGGGCCTGCATTGTTCACCTGGTGTTTAAACTAAATCTCACACTTGTAACCTTAAAAGTGGACTTAAATAAAGCTGCAGGCAAAACATTAGTATTTATGACTCGCTAAGTCATTCAAATGAACCTGTTAAAAGATTTAAACACAGACGCCACCACAAAAGCTCACAGGCCTGGTGAGCTAAAAATGGGAGAAAGACACATATGACTGATCAATCAGTACATTCTGACTTTTATAACTTATAGACTGTTGTTGTTGATCCTCACCTTCTCTCCATGGTGAATGTGAATTGTGATGCCCTTGAGAACCAGGTCAAGGTCAGGTCGGTACCTGGTCTTGTAGTTCTGGAATATTATCTCCCCTTGTCTTGGCCATTCAGGGTGTGGTGGATTCTTGCCATACCATTCTGCCTGTTATCGTTAAAACATGAATCACTTCATGACAATCTTAATTAAGATTCAATGTCATAATTATGATAAAGTTTACTAAGTACCCATAGCTATTAATAACAATCAAAATATTCAGAATAAATTCAAACATTTGAATGTATTATTATAATTTGAAATTAATTCTTAATTGTAAGGCATTGAAAGGCAATATAACCAAGAGGCCAAATTTAAGCCTTATAGCCCAGCTGCTTCCCATGTTATCTGACTTTATTAACAAGCATTTGAAATGTTTCTGTTAAATTAAGACCACACAGGCCATCTCTGATTTCCTATTGATCCAAGGAATTCAAATAACAACAATAGGTTAGGGTGATGACAGAAACATTTGAATAACAATAGTTAGTACTGATCTTGTTGTATTGAGAAAAATCAAAATAAGTCTCAGCCAATCAAGGGTGGTCATTTAAGAATCTAAATCAACAACCAAACAATGTAGATGTCAGCATACTGTTACACCCTCATTTCATTAATCTCACAAAAATGGTACAGAAGTATGTGAAATATTACATGTCACACGAACCACCATTTTATACAGCTCTTCATAAACCTTATTGTGTTGATCAATAGACAATTTAATATAAAAAAATAAATTACCACCCATCATTGATATTTGTGCCAGTTATACTTGAATGCTTTGTGAGTGAATGTGATACATTTAGGCTGCATCACCACCAATCAGGTCAGTATTTTCAGGTCAAGATTTCCCTTTTTCTATTTGAATGTATTCCAGTATGATCCATCCACTTTATCTTAGGAAGACCAGCATTTCGTATTTGAGATTAGACTTTATTGTCAGGATGTTGATGGCGTACCTCTGCTTGCACCTCGGAGTACTCCTTGATCCTTTCCACCGACACCGTATTACTCTGTAGGTCACTGATATTCACCACCAAAACATTCAGCACGCTTGTTGCCTGGTAACAGATGTAACATGCCACTTCAATTAGTGAAACATCACCAAAACACACCAGCCCAAATTTAGAGATGACTATAACTACACAGCAGGTATTTTTAAACTTTGAAAATGCAACGAGATGGCCACAGTCTGAAGAACTCAACTATTTTATGAAGAGACATCCCATATTGCAAAAAATAAACAAGGCGAGAAAATCTATTATGAATGTGCATGTTCATATAACTCTAAATAGACAAAAAAAAGGTTATTTATAATCACTCTAGGCTTCATGGTTCTTTAGAAGAAGTTGTTTGAAGTTTTTCATTATACGATCCAAGTAACATTTTAAGTCAGTCCAAATAATTCATTTGAATAAACTTGATACAACAATAACATAAAATATATGCCAAATATAATGGCTCTAGATCTTGTGGTACTCAAATGTGAAAAGTTGACTGTGGATTGATGGACGCTGTGCCGTCATGTCATTAAATGGTCAGGAGAGTTATAACATATTTCCATATTGTCTGACAGTTAATAACAAAACTAATAGAAAGGTAAAAAGATGCATCAGTCAAGAAAAATACTACATAAACTTTGAAATAAATGCCACATAATGCATAGCCAGTACGTGCACGAAACATTTTATGTAGTGGAACGACAAAATTTGGATGTTTGATCCGACACATATGAAATTAGTTACCTGTAAAGCATAGGATATGGACAGACCCACAATCGCTCCTGACTGTCCAGGTGTGAACACACCAAATAGAGTGGCAGCCAGAATCAAGAAATTTCCCAAGAACTCTAGCCGTACTCCGAGCCATCTACAATTTATATAGTGACCCCCACAATCAGTGTACATAATAAGCACAGTTTTGTTGAAAAATTATAGATATTTTTCTGATACACACAAATGCAGCATTTTGGTTAACCACCATATGGGGGTATATGACCTCCAGAAAAGGATTATGACCCTCAAAATGATAGAGGCTAATGTTAAATAAAGGTATCAAAATGCATGATCGTTGGCGACCAGGTAGCTCATTTGGTAGAACGTCCATCTAGATTTCGGAGGGTCCCGGGTTCGAACCCTGGTCTCGCCGTGCATTTTTCCTTTCATGTTACAAATGCTTGGTTTTACCCCCAACCTTTATTTATGGCAAAAACACTGCAATTTATTTACAATATCTGTGAGTAAACATGGTACTTAAATTAAAAGATGACATTTGCCAGTTTAAACAATATATATTGGTATCTTGGGTATTTGATGACATCTTAAATTAAAATAGAGATGTATATGAATATCATAAGTAAAAGATGATATTGATTTGGCCAAATAAAGATACCAAATCCAACAAAACATTAAAGAACAGTCACCTGGAGGATACAAAGTACCCGTAGTAGAAGACAAGATTATTGTCGACCCGGTCCATAGACTCCTTGATGAAGCGGTCCTGAGCTCGGTAGGCTCGGATCACACTCGCACCAGAAACACTCTCACTAAAGTGATTATAGACAGGCGACCGCGTCATGGATTCCAGCCGCTTCAGCTGTCGTGATGTGGGGATGTAGAATTTCTGTGGAGAAGTCGTGTATGATTCAGATGATAGGATGTGACAGTGATATGGAAGTCAACTTAAAGTCGTATTGCATACAAAGATAGTTCTGTTTTAATATGAAGTAATGCTCTCTTTAATCTAGTAAAAATATCATGGTTCAATACACATGTATTTCTTTTAGACAAACTGGTTACCATATAATTAATTCATTTCCTCAATTAATTCCATTAAAAATCATATTAGATTATATTTATGGACATCAAATTCATCAGAGCCCATAGAAGTAAATGTGTGAGAATATACTTGAAAGAAGTTTCATCTTAATCAGAAGAAATATGGAGCTAGTAGAGTTATTTACTATTTAAAACAGTTAGAGCGACTACAGTTTTAAAAATGCAAATTCAAACTTAACCACTGACAGGCCAGTAAGGGCCCTGCCATGGTCTATTTTCAGTTACAGTGACATTAGCCTTGAATGTTTTTTAAACCCCTATTGCTGGTCCACACCCCCCCATGTTAAATGCCAAAATCTGAGATAATCTCCAAAAAGTGTTGACGGACAGACAGACAGACAGAAAAACGGACGGACTGACACTGTGATTACTATAAGGCACCCTCTTTAAGCAGAGCCCTAATAAAACCTTAATGATGTTCTGTGTTAGCAATTCGTACCAGGATGATGAAATACAGAACAGCCACAGGTATGATAATGAGGAGAAAAAGAGGAGTATTGACGCTGATGACGATCACGGTGCTGAGTGACAGGAAGAATGTGTTGAGTGAGATACGACAGGTGATTGGCAGGTTGTTGTCCATGATATCCACATCACTTGAGAAACGGTTGATGATCCTACCAATTGGTGTTGTGTCAAAAAAGGCCATTGGGCAGCGCATGATAGTATACAGCATCTTCTCGTGGAGTTTGCCTGCAGCTATCACCATTCTCACAGCCAGCATGAGCCCATAGATTAAAACCAGTACAGCTGTAGGATGTGAAAAAACAAAATGAACATGGCTTACATACATATAAATGGAACCCTAAATCCCTGATCACCACACAAACAACAATTTTATTTGTGACCTCTAACCTCGACTGATGACCACCAAAACATAATCATGTGCAGAAGTTAGATATTACTTTACTATTGTTTAAATAAGAACTAAATCTGCTGTTGTGGGGGAGAAGGGTCTTGTACTGTACACAATTGCAACCTTTTATTTCAAAAGTGATCAAATATGACCTTTGACCCCTAAATCTTGACCAATTACCATGGTGACCACAATCAAATCAGATACAAAACTCAATGCATTGCATATTATACTATAAGGTGTCGATATAAATAAACTCGGTTTGTTGAAGAAACTAGGTTTGTTGAAATATCATTAAGAAGGTGTCAAGAGAGAATTCTGACCTTCTTTTAACCTTGACCTGTGACCACCAAAATCAAATTAGGTGAAATCAATTGTCCTACCTTGTATAACCCCTAAGAGACCATACACAAGGAGATAATCGTAGGACCTGTCTCGGTACTCCAGTGTGTCCATCAATGAGATGTTGAGGAGAAGCCTGTCCTCCGTCCAGAAGGTCAGCCAGAAGTTGGAGTATATACTGGTGGTATGGAACCCGGCGAACAAGACCAAGATTACAGCTACTGACCACCATCCAGCGGCTCCAAAGTATGACTTGAACACTTCTATCTTCACCTACAGGATTTTAAGGAACGACAAAATTACTGGTGATACTGTTCAACATTGCGATACAATTGAAAAATACCTCATAGATTTTTCTTTTTCTACAGGAATATTGTCCATTTCTGCTAACTCTAATTCTCCCTTTGAGTTTATGAATCTCAACCTTATAAAGTTCTGCTACGTTACCTCACATATTGACTTTTACTGCTGAAAAGAACATATTTTACCCGCTACCATTTCATCCACCAATCTCCATCAAAACATCATCACTGCACTGTCTCAGTCTAGCCAACCATCCTTCACCTTTCACCCATAGCCTCAGCCTATCCATTCCCTTTCAACTTAAGACTTGGCCCAACTTTTCTGTAGCTATCCTTGCACCTATTGGCCTATTCTCTTTCAACCAAATACTAAAATTAACACATGCCCACTCTCAATCAACTAAAACTCACCAACATCAACCCTAGATTCATCCTGCCCACTCCCTGTCAATTATGAACTTACCCCGCCCACTTTAGCTGTCTCCTGTTGGATTAGTTGTTGCTTTGTATCCACAGGGGGTTTGCGAACACTTTCCTTCCTTTTGACAAGACGACTTCCTCTGCGACTTACACTGGCACTACAAATCATATCAATTTATAGTATTGGTACCTTTTCCCAGTTACAATACATCATTTCCATAAATGATAAAGATGTGTTTTTTTCTGACAATACTATTGTATTTTGTAATTAAAAACATTTACTACTAATTAAGAGACAATAAAATCTACTTTTAAAAAAGCATCTTTTATTGCACGCAATCAGGGTTTGAACATAATTTGACTTGACTCTTACTGAACACTGCTTGGAAAATCCTGAATGCTGGGAAACTTTCACCAAGTCAAATACTTGACCTTCATCATTTGAATCCATATTCTCCAAGTACAATCTTGGCCCACCACATGTAATTACTATGAAGAGTATATGGTGTATAATTATTCACAGTCCTGATAAATTTGCCCTCACTGCAGAGGAAGTGGCGGAGAAATTTTCCCAGTATGAGTACAGTGTAAATACATATGCCAGGATGAAGATTAGGAAACCATACCGTCTGAGATTAAGAGGAAGGCTGCGCTGGTCATCAGAGGTCAGCCCTTCAGAGGTCACGGCCTCTACCTGCTCAAATATCTTGTCCTTGATGGCTCTCACTACAGGTTAAACAAAATGAGAGTTTATGTACAGTTACACCTGCCTATAGCTAGCAAACACTTTTTTAAAACTACCACCTATCTATAGTGACTATTTGCAATGCTTTACTATACCATTAAACTGTAAATTAAATTTCAACCTCCTCTATGGATTTTTCTATGGATACTTGAACATCATCGCCATAGATAAGTGAATGTTGGTTCAGTTACATAATACCTGAATTTTTGGCAATTGCCATGGTGACATAATCTAGGATAACATGTGAATTTGAGTAAATTTTTAGAGTTATTGACATGAAACAATGTCTTTGCAATAGAACATACACTCAGGATCAACTTGTGCATCTTCCTCCTCATCTTCTAAGAAGAACTCTTTGAGGAACTGTGCGAAAGGTCCATCATGAGAGATCAGATCTTCGTACGACCCAAATTCTGAGATCCTGCCGTTCGTCATCACCAAAATATTGTCCACCATTGGTAGCCATTGGATACCATGAGTCACCAAAATCCTTGTCTACATAGAGAATCAGTAAACGTTACAAACACGAGGTAACTGGGCTATATCATTAAAGGTTTATGTTGTTGTTTGATAAGCCAACCAGACAAGAAGTTAAAAGTGTCTCCAATAAGTTTAGATTATGATTGCCATCAAAAAGATCTCAATGATTAAAAGAACTCATACGTAAGTCCAATTTGAGGTGTTTTTTGAGTAAACCCTTTGACCCTATACTTAACATAAGTTGTATACCTTGTTTTTGAGTAAACCCTTTGGTCCCATTACTTTACATAAGTTGCATACCTTGTTTTTGAGTAAACCCTTCTGTCCCATTACTTTACATAAGTTGTATACCTTGTTTTTGAGTAAACCCTTCGGTCCCATTACTTAACATAAGTTGTATACCTCGTTTTTGAGTAAACCCTTCGGTCCCATTACTTTACATAAGTTGTATACCATGTTTTTGAGTAAACCCTTTGGTCCCATTACTTTACACAATATGTTGTATACCTTGTTTATGAGTAAACCCTTTGGTCCTATACTTTACATAAGTTGTATACCTTGTTTTTGAGTAAACCCTTTGACCCTATACTTAACATAAGTTGTATGCCTTGTTTTTGAGTAAACCCTTCGGTCCCATTACTTTACATAAGGTATATACCTTGTTTTTGAGTAAACCCTTTGGTCCCATTACTTTACACAATATGTTGTATACCTTGTTTATGAGTAAACCCTTTGGTTCTATACTTTACATAAGTTGTATACCTTGTTTTTGAGTAAACCCTTTGATCCTATACTTAACATAAGTTGTATACCTTGTTTTTGAGTAAACCCTTTGACCCTATACTTTACATAAGTTGTATACCTTGTTTTTGAGTAAACCCTTTGGTCCCATTACTTTACATAAGTTGTATACCTTGTTTATGAGTAGACCCTTCGGTCCCATTACTTTACATGAGTTGTATACCATGTTTATGGTTAGACCCGTCGGTCCCATTACTTTACATAAGTTGTATACCATGTTTATGAGTAAACCCTTTGACCCTATACTTTACATAAGTTGTATACTATGTTTATGAGTAGACCCTTCGGTCCCATTACTTTACATGAGTTGTATACCATGTTTATGGTTAGACCCGTCGGTCCCATTACTTTACATAAGTTGTATACCATGTTTATGAGTAAACCCTTTGACCCTATACTTTACATAAGTTGTATACCTTGTTTTTGAGTAGACCCTTTGGTCCTATTACTTTGGTGAAGATATGTTTGCCGACGTGGGCGTCGACTGCACTGAGAGGATCATCCATGAGGTAGACATTAGAGTTACTGTACACAGCTCTCCCTAGACTGATCCGCTGTTTCTGTCCTCCACTGATGTTGATACCCTAAACAAAGGGGAGCCCAGTTTAACTATAAACAGGTCAAGTTTATTGTGAAAAGAGTAACACATTATATATTGTTTTTATACAACACTTCTTCTTGAAAATGAAAGTGTTTCAGTAATTGACATGGAATGTTACCTCTCAGCTATGAATTACTATACAGAATTGTATTTCAATTAGCAGATCAAGGTTCGATTGTTTGCGTTTAAAATCCTATGAACAGCAATGGTCATTTAAGAACATGACAAGTTTTGGAGGAAGGCCGGTGTTCTTGGAGAAAAACCACCGACCAACAGCCAGTACCTGGCAACTGCCCCACATAGGCCTTGAACCCGCGACCCAGTGGTGGAGGCCAAGTGGAGGTAGAATGACAGACGCATTAACCACAAGCAACCATGATCCTTGCAGATCAAGGACCAAGAAGAAACCAAAAACCGTAACCAGATAAGGCTATGCAAATACTGCTATTTTCACTAAAACTAAACAGTTATGACATTTTTATTAGATGTTCTGATTTACAAACCAAACTAAACCTTAAAAAAATACTTCACTTTCAAAAATATGGTAACGATACAAGCCCTTGACAATTAGCCCCAATTAGACTTTGTTATAAAACAAGAATTTACAATCTTATGTTACTGTATACCTTTTCCCCGATCTCTATCTGATCGCCACCAGGTAACATCTCCAGGTCAGGTCCCAGGCCACATGCTTCTATTACCTTCTTATACTTTTTCGCCAGCAGTTGCTTACCAAACAGGATGTTGTCCATCAGTGTGGCGTTCTGAATCCATGCTTCTTGGGGTACATAGGCTACCTTACCCTAAAATGATATGGCAATAAATTTATGAAATGTCTTCATCCTTATAACGACACCATGCATCACATAGACAATTTTAGTTGATGTGACATTTTTCTAACTATATCATGCATAACACTAAGAATTGGAATGCAAGTATTCCAACAATCATACAAATTCCAATATTCACATGAGATGTTGGCAAACAACATTGCTTGCCTTTCCACAAGTAATATAGTCAATCATTTTGGGGAATAGCCAAAATTATTTTATGATCTTTGAACAGCTAATTTGACCAGCTTTTCATTGCCATTGGTGCATGAAAATTACTTAGTACTTGACCCAGTAAGGTCATTGTGTAATGAAGAATGATTTTACAGACCTTGACCTTGACGGTACCATAAAAGTGACACTGTCCTGAGGTGAGGTAATAGTATTAAGCAATTGAAATGACCTCAACATCCTGGCCTTGACCTTACACTGACCTTGACTGTGACATTGCCTTGGTGCCTGGTGAGGTCCCCCAGTAAGGAGGATATGAGGGAGGACTTTCCGGCCCCTACCTGTCCCACCACGGCCACCAAATGTCCGTCGGGGATGTGGAAGTTGATACTGCAACGACAAACGTGGTAGTAAAATCCATGGATAAACGACATTAATATTGTATGCTTTAAGAGATTAACCTAGGTTAGTAATTTCTAATTTCTCCTTCCACATGAGGTTTATTTTATAATTCATTATTAGGTTTGCAAAGTCTTTGACTTCAAATATGAAGTATTTAGTACAAAATTACTTGACACTCTGTCGTCAGTGATGAACTTGTACACCAAATTTGGTTACTCCAGATGACAAGAGGCCCAAGAGGGCCTATATCGCTCACCTGAATATTTAAGCAGTCATAGCAAAATATTCTCATTAAATATTATATTGCACTAAAAATATTTCCCTCGCAAACTTTGTTGGCTCCATCTGTTGAAACTACCAGCAAAATATTATTATAAGATTCTATGCTTTTTGATTCTTCTTCAGAAGTTGCTTGACATATTTTTCCCTGTGATCTTGTAAGTAGGTCAATGTCATTTTCCTTCTCAAATTGGTTAGCTCTATTCCAAAAAGCTACCAGCCAAATCTTATGAATCCATTCCTTTTAGTTCTCAAGAACAAATCCATTAAAATGTTGTTGACCTCTGTGACCTCTAAAGTAGGTTGAGGTCATTTTCATTTGCAAACTTTGGTGAGCTCTATCCCGGGAAGTCACCAGCCAAATATTATAATTTTATGCCTTTTAATTCTTCAGAAGAAGCTGTTTGAACTGTTTGACATATTTGAACGCTGTGACCTTGAAAGTAGGTCAAGGTCATTTTCATTCGCAAACTTTGTTTGGCTCTTTCCCAGGAAGCCACCTGCCAAATATTAAGATTTTATAACTACCAGTTCTTCAGAAGAAGTCGTTTAAAGTGTTTGACATATCTGCCTCATGTGACCTTAAAAGAAGGTCAAGGTCATTTTCATTCTCAAACTTTGTTCGGCTCTTTCCTAGGAAGCTACAAGCCAAATATAGAGATTATATACCTTTCAGTTCTTCAGAAGAAGTCGTTTGAAGTGTCTGACACATTTGACTCCTGTGACCTTGAAAGAAGGTCAAGGTCATTTTCATTCTCAAACTTTGTCGGGCTCTATCCAAGGAAGCCATCAATCAAAAATAAAGATTCTATACCTTTCAGTTCTTCAGAAGAAGTCATTTGAAGCTTTTGACATATATGACCCCTGTGACCTTGAAAGTAGGTCAAACTAGTTTTCATTCTCAAACTTTGTTGGGCTCTATCCCAGGAAGCCACCAGCCAAATATAAAGATTATATACCTTTCAGTTCTTCAGAAGAAGTCGTTTGAAGTGTTTGACACATTTGACCCCTGTGACCTTGAAAGAAGGTCAAGGTAATTTTCATTCTCAAACTTTGTTGGGCTCCATCCAAGGAAGCCATCAGCCAAATATGAAGATTCTATACCTTTTAATTCTTCAGAAGAAGTCGTTTGAAGTTTTTGACATATTTGACCCCTGTGACCTTGAAAACAGGTCAAGGTCATTTTCGTTCTCAAACTTTGTAGGGCTCCTACCAACGAAGCTTTCAGCCAAATATCATGACTCTAGGCCTGTCCATTCTTCAGGAGAAGTTGTTTAAAGGAAAAGTTGACAGACGAGGACGGACGGACGGACGACGGACGCCGCGCCATGGCATAAGCTCACTTGGCACTTCATGCCAGGTGAGCTAAAAAAGTAAAGGAGACATGCTGCGGACAAAGGTGAAATAGTAAAGAAGACATGCCGCAGACAAACTTTTTCAAAGGTTGAGGTCAAAGATTAAACCACAGATCACAGTGACCTACTATTGAACATGACACTTTCTGTCATCTCAAGATTTCACTTCATAAAAAGTGCAAGCCTATAGGTACATTGTATGACACAGAATGTATTACTTACTCCTTAAGTGTAGGCTGTGGCATATCTCTGTCCCATATAAATGTACCGTGATTCACTTCCACAGCATAGTCTGTAAACAGAATCATACCAGCTTTTATTACGAGTCAAGGAACCTAATATGTACACAACAGGAGAGAGTTGTGTGCTTCTACCGGGGATTGGACTAGCGACCCTACCCTTCCCAGTTTGCTGCTCAACCAATTGAGCTTAGTTAGAGAAATTTCCTGGAAGGCATCTGTAATCTTATATATATTTAAAACCTGACACATGCACTTAATATTTATAAGGAAAATCAATTTACAGTAATCCTTTCTGTTTTGATGGTTCTTCCAATGTCAAATTTGCAAGGATTTGAATAACTCTGGGATCTCAATTTGTGCCCACTATCGTACCATCTTCATTCATACGATGTAATTTTGATCTTTTCTCCTCTTTTCTCTTATCTGTTTGATCAGTTTGCCTGTCCGCCAACTTGTTCAGTCTTAAGATCAGTCTCAAAAGTAAACATGCACAACTAAGGACCAAGGGAACCTACATATCAAATTTAAGAAAGGTTCCTCCAAGACTTTCTGAGAAATAGTGCTATCAAATTTCAACTTTTTAAATCAAGATGGCTGTCTGTCGACCATCTTGGTTTTCTCTTCAGTCCCTAAATTTGATATGGGTAACTAGGGACCATGGGAAACTTTAGAAATATCCCTCCAATAAGTTCTGAGAAATAGCGCTAACAAACTTTTACTCTCAAATTCAAGATGGCTGCCTGTCGGCCATCTTGGTGTTTTTTTTGGTGAAATTTTAGAAAGATCCCTCCAATCGACCATCTTTGTTCTGTGATTAATCGCAAAAAAACGATATGCATAAGTAAGTACCAAAGGGAACCTTCATGTGAAATTTGAGAAAGATCCCTCCAGTACTTTCTGAAAAACAGTGCTTAAAACAAACTTTAACACTTAAATTCAAGATGGCTGCCTGTTGGCTATCTTGGTTTTGTGATCATTCCTAACAAATATATGCATAACAAGGGACCAACGGGAACCTTCATTTGAAATTTCAGAAAGAACCCTTCTACACTTTCATAGAAATAGCGATAACAAAAATTGTTTCAGGATGGACGGAATGACAACGGACCACGCACACAGGGTGATTTGAAGAGCCCACCATCTGAACATGTTGGGCTAAATATCTGAGAAAGGAACAATCACATTTAACAATCAATGTTTATATAAGTATCAGTATATATTCACAGAATTTAATTTAAAATTGTCTCTCCTTGCTAATTACTCTCAAATAAATATATCTATATACAGAAGTTATTTGCAATACTTGACTGAATCGGTTAAAAAATGATTTCATTTTTGAAGACAATTATACTTAAAATACTTCCTTAAACAGTTAGTTTGTAATCTGTACCACTATGTTGTTATCCATACCAACCAATGCTAAAACTGAAGCAATTAAGTTAAAAATTGAATTCGTTATTATGTCGCCTACCATTACTGTCTGTAAAATGCACATTGTTGGGGTCAAGGTCAGTTCCACTGAGGTAATTCCTGATTCTGTTGATGGAAACCATTGCCTGTAAATAAACAATGTTCGGTTAGGGGTACACAGGTGTTACACTACAGGTATGAAATATCACAAGTACTTATACAAATAAGGTCAATACAAATGTACAGTTAACATCTAGTTATAGCAAGGTAAATACAGATAACACAGGAAAGCAGCGAGACAAATTAAGGTTATACAAAGCAATTGTTACCTCAATGAGTTTTTGGACTTCTTAAAGCTTAACAGCCAAAAAAAAGGGTTGCGTCCCTCAAAGTTTGTTTTTCTTTTTTTTCTCTCGAATTTAAAAAACCCAATAAAGAATAACCTCTAAATTTCATGAATTTATATGTTTGATCCAAGCTTTTAGACTTAGCCATTCACCAGCCCCTGAAGGAACTTTGTCAAACACATATAGTATTATTCTCAATTTCAATAAATATATTAAAATTTTTATCAGGCAGGGGCTGCTGTAAAATTCGGTTTTACTGTACCTGGACCCCGTAGGAGATGAGTTGAGACAACAGGTTGACTGGTACCCTTAGGATGTTAAACAGAGCCAAGGCTACAAAAGCTTGATCGGACCTCAAACTGTGGGTTTCTGAGGTCACCACATAGGTCGCAAAGGTCGCCAGCATCACCTGTAATCACACGGTCAAACATACATTCCAAAATTATTATCTGTGATTTTCAGGGTTCCATCTACATAAATTCTATGTGTCTGACTATTTATATAGTTTAATTTGCAGCCATATGACATCTCTAAATTACAATAATTTTCAATATATCACTGATATTATCTGATGTACTTTGCTTACATTCCTCAAGTCTATAAAGTCTTATAAAACCACCTGGTAGTTCATAACTGACCTCACAGTTAGGTTAATCATACGGCTCGACACAACTGGAACATAAAGAACAGTATTGGCATTATAGATTTGTGTGTGCCAACCTTGTAATGATTTGTCATTGTTAGTGATATAGTGATCTTGTAGTGTGGTTCCTTGTAGTAAGGTATTGTACTTGTAGTGTGGTTCCTTGTAGTAAGGTGTTGTACTTGTAGTGTGGTTCCTTGTAGTAAGATATTGTACTTGTCGTGTGGTTCCTTGTAGTAAGGTATTGTACTTGTAGTGTGGTTCCTTGTAGTAAGGTATTTTACTTATAGTACAACAACTGGTTTTGATTTCATAAACATTTTACATGTAATTCACTACTTCAACACTCTGGAGTAATGGTACCTTGGTAAATGGTTTGTAGAAATTCATACACTTTTTATATCAGAAGTCATTTTGAACATTAGGTCTTGTATCTTAACTGTTATAGTGGAATTTCCAGGAAATAGCAACAGAAAATCTTCTCTCCTTTTAGCAAAGATTCCACCTTGTAATGCTATTAAAGCGAGTTGTAGTTTAGGGTTTGAACTTGCAGACTTCAATGGTACTTGTAGCTGACTACCTTACCACAAATGGAGCGAGGAGGAAGCAGAATGTTGTGAAGCCTTGAAGGTAGGCAATGTGTTTCAACCTCTTCAGCTCCTGTTGTCGTATTTCTAACACTTGCTTGGTAAATGATGGCTCCCATGCATACATCTTTAGTACCTACAGAACAAATGATCTGACTATTGTATATAATTTTCAGACAAAATTTAAAAGACAAAAATTTAGCAATGATGCAGGTCCCTCACATTTTATTATATTTTTGTCCTATAAATCTGTAAAATCCATGACTTTGCATTGGAAACTGTTTTTTCTTCCCATGACTAGGGCTTTGATAGAAAAAAGTAATATATAATCAGCATCAATGTTTTGAGACAATGAAAAACAATCTCCTTCTACATAATACCACTCTATTCAAAATTCACAGTAAATGTACCTATTGTACAGCACAAGAGGCATTGTTACCTTAAAACATTTAAATTTGTTAACACTGCTTTTGGCAAATGTCATAACTGTATTGTTCGATTTATAGTACTAAATACATACCTTTATACCATTGAGAATCTCACTGAACAGTTTGATACGCTTGCCCTTATACATTAGGACAAGGCCCTGAAGTTTCCTCTGTTGAATGGCCACAAATGAGTTGAGAGGTACCATAAGCATGAGAACAGCCAGCCCTGCCAGACAGGAGGGGCCCAGCTCTACATAGGTCCACAACAGGTAGATTCCAATGGCTGTTTGGAGGGGCACCGTAACCAATGACCACAGGTAGCTAAATGTGTCCTGGATACGTTGGCAGTCCACCGACATCAGGTTCACCGTCTCTCCTAAAGTCGTATTCTTATGCATCTCATTGCTCATTGTCATTTCCTGTCAAATTAAATATAAATGGGTTATTGTACAGGACAGGTTTATTTATATACAAATAATAAAACCTTGAAGTGCCATCTTCTTCAACATTGCAGGTCATGATAACAGGAAATTGTACATGACAATTACAAGGTCATGCAGAAGCTTACTGAATACTCATCAAACCTCACCTAACAGAACCGGTTATGGTTTGGCAAGGCCAATTACCATCCCTGGTTTTAACTGTTATCTGTAGTCCATTACTGTTTAACCTTCTGTGGTACATTTAGATTTTTACCTATTTTTCATGAAACAGATGTTGTACAAAGTTTGATAGATTGAGATAAATGAAGTTGGTATGGTGGTATCACCGATTCATACATGCCAGATATCACAAAGTGGGACAAAATCTCACAGATTGTCATGATAAATCAGTTAACCATTACCCTGTAGTTGTTTACTCTTAAGCTAGAGTTCTCTAGTTGTGGACATGTGACAGTCATGTGATTGATTCTAACGCAAGAACTTTGGATAAGTTCCAGAATATAGATGGTGTCTGGAATAGTGCGCTATGTCTGTATCTTTTCTTTTTCAATAAATAATATCACGGAATTAGATGTTATCTAAGTCCGTGATAATATCAATAATGTATTAGATATTTAGATGGATCATTTCTTATTGTTGTCATTCATTCCCTGATACCATAGCATGCCTGAGTTTTGTAAATTTTGTGCTATATATATATATATATGGTATATCCAAACAAGGTTACAGCGAAGCTTTACATAATGCGCCTGTCACATGTTAAATGAGCAAGTGGTTTGCATTATTGAAAAATAAAATACTTGTGGTTAAATGATGCTGTAAATAATTCAACATACCTGGTAGATCAATGAGTGTGATATAACATCTTGGAATGCATGTTATAATACATTAATGAAACCCAAGTCTATCGGTTAGGGTCAGATAATTCTGATAACATTAACACCACTACCGTAATCAGGGGACATAACTCTGTAAATACAGTTGGATAATATTGGTTTTGAAATTGATCTCTCCTGGTACTTTATATGAAGTTTGAAGCTAATCGCTGTTTCAGCAATTGTATAAAGGGGCTTAGCTCTGTAAAATTACTGTCGGAGATTGATGCATGGTTATCTCCCCTGAGCCATAAAGTCAGTTATTAAAGATATATAGCAGACAGTGCTTCAGCAATGTTTTGAAGGGGCATAACACAGTCAATTACAGTTGGATAATGTTGGTCCTTGTCCAATCTCTTACTGTAACAAATCTTGAAGTTTGATGATTGTTAATTTGTTATCGACCACACTGTTTCAGCAATTAACTAAAGGGGCACACCTCAGTAAATTAGAATCAGATAATCTCTAATGGTAATGATCAATCCCATGTAATTTTATCTGTTAAAAATAACTATTCACATAAACAATAACAAATAATGTATTAGAATACCTAGAGATTTTATTAGAAATGTAACATTTAAATATAAGAATGCACAGCACATCAAGTACAAATCATGTACATGGCAGTAAATAAGACATATTTCACATAAACACAAACACATGTGCATTTAGCACACAACAAAAAATAATAGTAGATACAACACATAATACCAACAGTTACAACACATCATATTAGATACAACACAAAATACTAGAAGCAATACATAATACACCAGATACAACACATCACCAACAGATACAACACATCACCAACAGTAACAACACATCACCAAAAGTTACAACACATCATATTAGATACAACACAAAACACTAGAAGCAATACATAATACACCAGATACAACACATCACTAACAGATACAACACAACACCAACAGATACAAAACATCACCAACAGTTATAACACATCACCAACAGGTACAACACATCACCAGCAGATACAACACATAACCAACAGATACAACCCATCACCAAATGATACAACAAAAACATCCCCAACAGATACAACAAATCACCAACAGATACGACACATCACCAACAGACACAACACATCACCAACCGTTACAACACATCACTAACAGATACAACATTACAACACATAATACTAGATACAACACATCACAAACAGTTACAACAAATCACCAAATAATACAACAAACACATAACAAACAGATACAACACACCACCAAATGATACATCAAACACATCACCAACAGGTACAACACAGCACCAACAGTTACAACAAATCACCAACAGATACAACCCATCACCAACAGTTACGACACATCACCAACAGGTACAACACATCACCATCAGATACAACACATCAACAACAGATACAACACGTCACCAACAGTTACAGCAAACACATCACCAACAGATACAACACATCACCAACAGTTACAACAAACACATCACCAACAGTTACAACAAACACATCACCAAATGATACAACACATCATAATAGATACAATACAAAATGCTAGATACAATACATAATACCAACTGATACAACACATTACTAACAGATACAACATTACAACACATAATACTAGATACAACACATAATACCAATATATACAACACATAATACTAGATACAACATTTTATAGTAAATATAACAAATAACAAGTAAATATAACAAATAACACCAGTAGGCACATGATACATGTACCACTATTTAAAACTGAATATAAACAAATATGTCAAATATCATGCAAAGCACTATTAAATTTATTAACACTCAGATAAATAAATCATAGCAGAGAGAAAACATTGTTGTTATTAGCACTAATTGTCACATATAATTCAAACATAGCACTTACATAATACATACATATATTGTCACATATAATTCAAAAATAGCACTTGTATAATACACACATAAATTGTCACAGATAATTAACAAACATAGCACTTAACAGTGTCCCAATATCACAACTTAAATATGACCTCTGGTATCAACAGTAGTCAAAACTGGGTAGGTAGATGATGCCCGGGGGTCCCTGGGGTCGACGACGTCTCTTGGATATCTCGGCCAGTGTCTTGGTGTTGTGGGTACGACTCCTCTTGTTGCTGAACCACTTCTTGACCTGTTCCTCCTTGACGTGACCTTGCTCGGCGAGGCGGTGAATGACGTCTGGTGACGGGTAGGGATGCTCGGTGTTGAGGTAGTACCACTCTTCCATCAGTCGGACAGCCTTACGGGACAAGACGGGTCGGGACAGTGGACGAGTCGGGGCTAAGATTGGTTCACTCTGGTGGCGAGTCCTCTCACAGGTTGTGGTGTCGAGTCCCTCAAGGCTGGTCTCCACACGGTCCATGATGAGGTGAAGCTGGTTGTCGTAGTAACTGTTGACAGATGGGTGGTAGGTTGGGGCACTGACTTGAAGATTCTGTAGACGCTCCATTTCCACTGCTCCGGCCTGGTATCGATAGAAACTGGACAGGTGCTGGATTTCATCACCATGGGTACTGTGTTGTCTTTTGAACATCTGCTGTAGACGGCGCTCTCTGTCAGACACTGTGGAGTAGGACTTGGGTTGGAATGTAGACAGGAGGGAGTTGGGCGTGGCAGACTTCTTACCCTCATCTAGGAGGACGGATCGCAGCTCACAGAAGAATGGGTGGTTGAGTAGAGGAGTGGATGGGGGTGAAGCTGAAGACAGCAAACCAAAGATGGAGTCAGGTCTGGATTCGGAGATAGGACTGGAGGCAGTAGTAGATTTCTTGTGTGGTGTTGTGGTGGTCTCGGAGGGTGGGTGGGTAGTGGTGGTCTCGGAGTGAGGGTGGGTAGTTGTGATCTCGGAGTGAGGGTGGGTAGCGGTGATCTCGGAGTGACGGCGGGTAGGGGTGGTCTCGGAGTGAGGGCGGGTAGGGGTGGTCTCAGAGTATGGGCGGGTAGTGGTGGTCTCGGAGTGTGGGCCGGTAGTGGTGGTCTCAGAGTGTGGGTTGGTAGTGGTGGTTACGGAATCTGGTCGGGTAATGGGTGATACAGACGACTCATACAGGAAGTCAAGCAGGTCATCAATCTGGGTGTGTCCATCTAGAATGGTCGCCTCAATGATGTCAGACAAAGTGGTCTCAGAGGTAACCTCCATTGGCAAGGGTGAAGGGATGTCAAACGACATGGTAGTAGCACTGAGTGATGTCAGGTTATGGCAGGTGTCAACTCTGGCAGCTGAGTGAAATGTGACATTTTTGACACTTGACACCATTTTTAAAGTAAAATTCTGGCTTGGGTGTCAAGATCCTGATGTGCCATTGGCTGACACCTGTAACAGGAGTTCAGAATACAGTTACCTCGTCCTCCCATTGGTGGAGCCCACTGATTACTGTTAAGTGTGTACTGTAACCGAACACTCTGATTGGTTGATAGGGTAATTGACCTGATAATCTCTGCCGTGATTGGTAGACAAATGTGAGATCACTTTACAGTAATCACTTCTGTTATCCTAATTATCCAGGTGAACAGATTACTGCTCACTATACAGGTAATTGCTATTATTACCTGTCAGATCAGGAGATTTTCACACCTGCCCTTTGTTCTTCAAAGGACAGTTAATGCTTCTGTTACCTTAATTAAGTACCTAACTAAGCACTTTCACACCTGTCTATTGTTCTCCAGAGGACAGTTAATGCTACTGTTACCTTAATTAAGTACCTAACTGAGCACTTTCTCACCTGTCTTTTGTCCATTACCTGAGCTGTACATGGCTTCCCAAGCCAACATTATACCAGTGCATGTTCATTAATTACCTGTGATGTACTTAGATTTGATGGATTATATCTGTCAGTATATTACTTCTGAAATTGATACAAGATGTAGATTGTCTATATTGATTTCAATTATACTATTCTCTGAATTGGTAATTTATTAATTTTAAACACATTTATATGTAAAAAAAAATCTTAGTAAACTTACAAACAATTATTGTACTATTTCAGTATATAACTTAACTGTACTTATGACAGATTTTAATAATGACATTTTTGATTTTTCAGTTTAGTAGAGTGTGTCGATCCTCTTCAAGATAAGTATTTGTACACATGACAATTTAAAACATAATTTTATCAGAGTTTCTGTAAAATGTATAAACAATGAATTTTTTTTGGAAACAATCAGTAGAATATAATAACACATTATGATATATTTCTACTATTTCATAATATTGCCAATTGTTATAAAATATTTTAACTTTACACACTTTCTACCTTAGTCCTTTTACCACTGTAGACCATAATTGACTCATCTATTTCAATGCATGGAAGAGTCTGCTAAAGTTATATAGGGGTGAAAGGGTTAATGGTTCTTTTCTTGGAGTAATTAGTGTAAATTATCTTAAGTTTTGTTTCCTTTTTGTGTTTTGTATGTACAAAGTCCATCTGCATAATATATTAATCTTGTTTTGGAGTACATTATTTACTTTTCAATGGAAAATTTACATCATTTTGCAAGAAGTATATCCTATCTTCAAAAGCATTAACCTAACCACCACTACATAAGATCTGATTTTATCAAAAACAGAAGGACAATTTTTAGATTGAGGTAATTTTAATAAAATGATACTTTTTCAAGCTCAGACAGGAGTTTAAAATGTGATTTTTTTTCTCCAGAGGAAATTTAACAATAAACAGACAATCAAGAATTTGGCCTTATTGTCTCTGTAGCATCAGGTCAAGGGCACTGTTACTGTTAGAAACATATCATGTTTGTTAGGATCTTATAATTTTGCTAAGACATCTTCCAGGGGTGTAGAGAGCAAAGGTGAATGTAACCCCTGGATATCGAGGATGCTCCAAGTACATTGGGCCAAATCTTTCATTTTTAATTTCTTGGCCCATGCTTCTGATGATGCAGGAATGCTCTTAGCTGAAACAATATTAAGTGAAAACCTCTTCTTAAACTTTGGGAGTTGTGTTTAAAAAATAACCCCTATATCCTATTTNGGGGGGGGGGGGGGGGGGGGGGGTACATCTTTTTTAGTCTACTTGACCCAGGGATGCTCAAAGCCAAATCATATTAGGTCAAAATCTCTTTCTGAACTCACAGGAGTTGTTTGTAAAGATAAACGTTTATTTCCTATTTTGGGCCCCCAGCTCTCTGCTTCTAGGATGCCGCACCTTCATTTTAATTCCCAGGCAATCTTCAAGCCAAATTAGGTAAAAATCCTTTCCTTGATGGGCTGCATGCACAATGGTGTAAGCTCACTTGGATGTCATTTGAGGTGGTGAGCTTACAAAACTTCTAAAACTCCCGACTATATATATAAGGCCTTGATCATGATGGCAAATTTTCATCATCCATCAAACTCTTGATTTAAAAACTTTGCTTACCTTTTTGTAGATTGCTGATATCAGAGCACTTCGTATCCTCATGCCAACAGTCATGCCAATCTTGAAGTTTTGGTGGTAGAACAGAGACTGGATGAGGGCCACAAACAACATGAGGAGTGCAGGGACGTAGCCCCTCCATAGGGGGAGGCTGTCACGATTGTCGGCGTAGTTAATGATGAATCTGGTAATAAAGACAGAGCTTATGTTATACTCAGGGTAAATCACACGTATTTTACAGGATGAATATAGTGTCCTACTCATTCACAAAAAATATGACTGCAAGTTTTATATCGAGCTACTATTTCTTCAGCAACATTTGAACAAGGAAATACATCTGTAATATATATTGTTCAACAATTCTGAATACTCTTGAAGATATCATGAAAAGAAGATTCACAGTAAAAATTTAATCAAATACAGGAAAATTTTTTTTATTTCAAAATCTATTTATCAGGTCATGAAAATAATGTATTTTCCCCAAAATATTGTACCAAACAAAGTAGGCAAGTCAAAAACGAACTTAACTACCCAGGATAAAACCGTTAAAAAAACAAATTGAAATTCATAATTACTTGCAACGTCTAATAAGTACTACATGTAGAAGACAATTACTTTTCATTTTCAGTAATACGGTGATATACTTTACTTACTGTAAAAGTACGGGGTTTATAAACTGCAGGATATCTGACACAGATTTAAACAAGATAGCACAGCAATATGTCGGCCCAAAGGTCTTCAGCAGTGCTCTGAATAGGGAAGGTTTATATTTGGGTACATCAGGTTTTTTTCCGTTTTTAACCTCCGAAGCCTTAATGTCTGATTCTGTGGGCACCTCTGTCAGGAGTGGCGTTTTCTCTGTGATGGTGGAGGTGAAAGAGCGGTTGTTGAATTGACTACTGGAACTGTTACTGGATCCTGACGAAGATGTCAGACTGAAAGATAAAAAAGTTATCATTGTAGCTTGTGTCAGTGTGTGACATTGCATATCTTGCATTGTCAGTCACGACACTTCCAAATAAGATGCCATTCCACATTTGATTTTAACCATTATAGGGAACACATAAACAAGTAAATTTAATAATTACTTTAATAAGTAAAACAATTACCACTTTAACCCTTTCACCACTGTAGACCATAATAGACTCATCCCTATCAATGTATGGAAGAGTTTAACAAAGTTACATAGGGTTGAAAGGGTTAACGACTTTTTATATCAATTATTATCTTTCAATGGTTTGAAACAGTTAAGCTGTATTTAATACAACTGAACCAGGAAATTCTAGTTTGTTTGTGTTTAACGTCCTATTAACAGCTATAATCGTTTAAGGATATGCCAGGTTTGGTGGTGGAGGAACGCTGGAGTTTACGGAGAAAAACCACGACCTGCAGTCAGTATCTGGCGACTGCTCCACGTAGGTCTCGAACCAGCAACCCAGTGGTGAAGGGCTATTCTGTCTTTGCATATTGCAGAGTTATCTTCTCTTGTGAGCAGGTATTGCTTGTTACGTCATTGGTTTGTGTGAGAAAATTACGTTGTTTTCTCAAAAATTGATGACATTACGTACTCTAACAAACAAATGACACAACAATCAATACTTGCTCACAAGAGCAGATAATCTGCAATACGAAAAGACGGAATAGTGATCTAGACGGTCAGAGGCCTTAACCATTCAGCCACCACGGCCCCGGAAGATGAGAGTAGATCGAGAACTTTTTTGTTTAATCATTTTAGAGTATTTATACAGTCTACCAAGTAATTTTAAAGTTCTTTGTACAAAAGAGAAGACAACCATACATTCAATATTAACTTTTAGAGGCACCTGTAAACAAGACACTAAATGTAGCTAATTGACTCACCCCTCATAGTGCAGACTCTTGGTAACTTCCTTTTTCCAAGCCTTGTCCAACTTAGGGTGGAGAACTTGACTTTTGTCCCATGGATTAAGGCTCCATAAATCCTCGGGCTCTAGGGGACTCTTAAACGCTTTTATTACCAATCTGTGAAGAAATCATACATGTGATTTAGTTTGAGGACAAGTCTCGCAAAAGGTGTTGGCCGACATTCATGACATAAGCGTTTACTAAATGTATTTTACTGTCAGGCCAGCGCCGGGCTTTAACATAGGGGAAAATACATTGTAAGCATCCAAATTGGAAATTGTACACCTCCTATTCAATAATTGTTTTTGTCAGGTTCAAAAGACTAGAAGACTTTTGGTTGAACTAAACTTATTTACTACAACTGCTACATATATTTTGAATAGTTGAAAATAAAGTGATTTGGTTTCTTCTTTCATAGTTTTGATTTTGGTCAATAATTAGGAAAAAGGCGAGTTTTCTCCAGGTACTCCAGTTTCCTTCCATATTTAGACCCCCGTGTGCTGCAGTCCCAGCTAACAAGATTAATATATATTGATAGAGTTTGTTTCAGGATTGTTGTAAAATAAAGTTAAACTGCAGAATTGTTTTCCTGGTATACAGTACGTTGTTTCAAGAATCCATATCTCACCCGTTCATCCACCAGAAGTAAAGCTGGTTCAGGATCGACACACTCCCCTCCGGACATCGCTCCTGTTCAACACATTCAGTATTAAAACTACATACATACATGTACATTTCGGTTGACTCAAACAATTAGGCCCATAGGACCTGCATCTTTTACCTAAATCATTCACAGAAGTAATCATTGCACAATATTTTCATTAAAAGAATGATTGAAAATCAGTACCCAGACTTCAAGGCTGATATTGGAACACATTCAAATCAAAATCTTCATGGTTAGCAATCATTTATATTGTGATAGGGTTGGGTCCACAACTGTTTCCATGTTAAGGAGTTTCCACCCTTCGTAATACACATGTTTTTCTTATCGTATTTTCGTGTCGTCATTTCCGTATTGCGTATCGGGCATTCCATTACCGTGGTGTAAATTATAGTAACACCGGGTAAACAATAGTACACGTGCGTGACGATGATATGTCAACACCCGATATCTAGACTTAACTTGGAAATGTATAATCACACGTACTTCAGAAATAAAGCTTATGCTACAAAGACATTAATTAACTCACGGGCAAACACTGACATATGATCAGACGACTTCCAAGAAGGTCGTATGAGGCGCATGGAATGCAGACTGATGTGTTTTGTTTACTGACCTCACCTGTACGTATCACATGCTAACAGTAGTTCACAAGCTCTTGGTCGCTACAACTTTTGTTGTCGAGCGAGTTACGCTCTGTCAGATAAATCGGTTCACAAATGCAATTACAATAACTCTGTTAAAAAGTGGTTTGTAAAATATCAAGATCCCTATAAAATGCAAGTGCATGTGCGTGCACGTAATAACGGCATACCATGCGATAGCCTATGGTTACATATGTACCTGACATGTTAATATACCATGCGTAAGCAGGCTATGGAATGATGTCCAAAGTGTACATGATTGAGAGTAATTTTGTTCCATAAAAGAACAGTAAATTGACAATTAAATCTAGTAATTTAAATTACTTCCGTCGTTTTTTGGTATAGTAAAGAAAATAAGTGTCATTGTATAAATTCTATCCCTCTGCAAAAAGTTCCGTTTTTTTTCAAGGTAGACAACTCTCATCAGGATCAAAATTATTGTAAAATGTAAAATAAATTAATTATAAAGACTTTGTGTGCATTTGGTTCAATTTTTCAGTCTTTTTGTATGAAACTATGTGTCCTGTTTGCTTTTAGCTTGTATTTAGTAACTGTTATCCATACAATTTCAATAAAAAACGCTTTTTGTAACATGTTGTAGATATTTTATGATAAATAAAATATTTGTAGGGTTGATTAGCAATGTTTCTTTTCATTATTTTATTGTTGTTATAGTTTTGAACAATGCCACACGCTCAAAAAATGTAAAAGTGTTGAATTTGACAAAAATTCAATATTTCGGTATTTTTTACCAAAAAATCCCCAGTTTATCGGAATGCTTAGATTTTCATAAAATCATCTCTACATAGTGACATAACCATTATGTGAAACTTTCATTGAATTCTGCTGGCTAATTGCGAAAGGGTGGAGCCTCCTTAAGACCCAAAGACAGTTCCTAAGGTTGGTTGCAGACCATGAGACCAATCCTAGTAGCATATCTGTATTTCTTTTCTTTTCATGCCCTGCTATTATATATAGCTGAGATTCATATGACATAAGTGTTTACTATTAATATATTTTACTGTCAGCACCATTATTTTACATTTTAATGATTGTTTTAATCAGAAAAGCATTCAAAGTCCGTGTGATGGTTAAATATAAAAAAAAATAAAAAAAAGTGTTTCTTTGACTTCCCTAGTACTTTCTTCTCTATAGAGGTTCATCACGGGAATCCCCTAGCGCTAGGGAAGTCAAAGAAATTCTGATCAAACTTATTAGTAGATCTGTATCAATAACACAGCTTACTGTGATGTAAGAATAAAATAGTGACTACCAAAGTATTTTACTGGAATAAACAAAAGAACGACGTTACAACAATTCAGTAATAAAGTCCTACCTTTTCTTCATCGTCCAGTATAAATAACTTGTGCTCCGCAAAGCAGTGAAGAAAAAGCTGAAGTAGGACGAGGAAGTAATAGCAGAAGAATGGGACAAAGGTGAACAGATTCGTGTTGTACTCCTGTAAAAATACAAAACTCTGAGGTTAGAAAATAGTCAAATTTTATATTATAGTACATTGTATATAACACAGAAAATCGGTTACTTGGTGTACTCTGTAAGACTACCGTGGCCAGTAGACAATACTCACCATGTATACATGATATACCAAACTCTGAGGTTAGAAAATAGTCAAATTTTATATTATAGTACATTGTATACAACACAGAAAATCGGTTACTTGGTACTCTGTAAGACTACCGTGGCCAGTAGACAATACTCACCATGTATACATGAAATACCAAACTCTGAGGTTACCAAAAACATAGAACAGACACATTGTATATAACACAGAAAATCGGTTACTGGGTACTCTGTAAGACTACCGTGGCCAGTAGACAATACTCACCATGTATACATGATATACCAAACTCTGAGGTTACCAAAAACATAGAACAGACACATTGTATAACCCAAAATAATTTACCATTACTCTTAGACCACGTTTGTGACCAGACACAATATTTATCATGTATAATTAAATACAAAACTCCAAGGTGGATCAACATTTTATATAGATAGCACAGAAAATCGGTTACTCTAAAACTACATCAGAGACTGATAATTGATTATCTTATGTAAAAACTTTTGTGGACAAATTGTACCATTCAGTAATTTTTTCAGCTTGGTAAAACAAATCTGAATACAATATACATATATAATTCTAGTCACATAAAACAAGCACCTGTTACTTTATTTTTAACAACAGGATCACAGTAAGTATATGGATATTATATATAATTACACAATAAATAAATTCTACTTTAAACTTCATTTTTTTCGTTAACTGTAATGGGTACAGGCCCAGGCCCAGGCCCAGTTATTAAAAGGTGCAAATTACTGATTATCAGTATAATATCTTTGCCAAAATTAGTTTGAAAAAGAAAATATTTCAAAATAAAACATTTACAATACAGTAAGCTTTCCAAAATTTCTATGTATTTTGAATGTGTATATATATTGTCATCTGGAGTGACAATTTGACATACCTCATTTATAAGTTTGGTGTATGTGGGTATAATCCCAGCGATGGCCATCAGCAGCCAAAAAACAAAGAGAAGACCAGATGTGTGGACCCCTTTGATCCTTAATATGTGGGTCAGCAGACATGACACCATCTGTAAATATCAAACACAAACTGCACAATGGCTGATGAAGATAATAGAGCTGTTAACCAAATTCTAACCAAAACCCATATTCCCATGTAAGTATTACAAATATAGCAATTCATAGTCCCCCACCAGTAATGATTTCTTTACTTACTGAGCTGTACACCTATTTTAGTATGTAGGTCACAGTGACATACTTCCTGTATTCTCTTCCCATGCCAAAACATACTTGCATACCAAATCGTGTTAGCCCTGAAGAACCAGCATAAGATATGCCCAAAACAATTTTTTTTTAGAAGCTGAGGTCAAGGGTAAAACAACAGGTCACAGTGGCCTACTTTTTGTATTTGACATTACACCATCCCATACACAGATTTATCCAGATTTTATTCTGACTGTAAGAATTTACATATTCTTCTGCTGTCAGTTCTATTACACAAACAAAAGTTTGATAATAATGAGGAAAGCTAAAATATCCCCCTCAAGCCGCCACATACCGAAATTGGAAAATGGGGAAAAAAGGTATCATTTCCCCCAAAAAGTGTTCCTAAATGGAGATGAAACAAATGAAATAATGAATAGGAAGTACACAACTGCATGATGACAGGGGGTAGCTATCATATCTGTAAAGTTTTGCTGAAATCGGCCTAGTAGATTTGGAAGAGTTGTCCAGAGAAGGATTTTTCAACAAAGGGCCATAACTTTATAAAAATAAAGGGTCGGCATGAAGGCACACAACATCAGGGGGTTATTACCATATCTGTGAACTTTCATTGACATCGGGCCAGTAGTTAAGGGAGGCAAACAAAGTTTTTTTTCAACAAATGGCCATGACTCCTTTAAAAAGGGTTTGAATGAAAAAATACTACCTACATGCACAACATCAGGGGGTTATTTACCATATCTGTGAACTTTCGTTGAAATTGGTCCAGCAGTTTAGGAAAAGTTGTCAGGACACAGATTTTTCAACAAAGGGCCATAACTCTGTATAAAAAGAGTTAGAATGAAAAAAATAATACTTACAAAAGCCAGTATTTTGAGGGTGGAGGCTATAATGACAGCCAGTGGAGGGTCCTCCTGGGTTTTTATCTGATAGATAAGCTCTATCAGTACTACACACGTCAGCAGCACATTTACCAGCTGAAATAGATAGGAATTTTAAGAAATAGAAAAAAAGTAAAAACATTTTCTAAGTCCTATGTCTAAAAGCTTTTATTACAACTTTGACATACACTACAACAGAATCAATACAAAAAGAGCACCTGGTTTTATCAAACAGAATTTGGTTTCACATTTTTATGTCAGGAACGGAATTAAATTATTTGGCATCATAAAAGCAATTAGCTAGTTATCACACATCTGACATTAAGTGCAGAAGTTTAACTTTATGGTAAACATTATTTACTGCAAGTGGAAGTTTCTGCGAGTTGCGATATTGGCAAAGTAGAATTTGATTGCTTGTATGATGAAGAATGAAGATTTCTTGGCACGTTTAATGGATTAAGATTGGGTGTGTCCTCATTAAATTGTGCCTGTCTGGAACAAAGTTTCTAACCCTTCAAACCGTACCAGTTTTGTGATATGGAAACAGCAGCAGGGATTGGTGACAATGAGCTTGTTAAACTCCCTGTATAGGTACGACAGATAGAAGGGGAACGCCAGCAGCAGTACCCCACAGGGTATCCATACCAGCAGTGTCTGCTGGAAACACTCGCTGAACTCTGGGAACGATCCATCTATCAACTCAGATGCATTCTGTAAAAAAAAAATGGATTTCAAAACCAATCTGATCACATTTCAATCACTATTCAATTTTATTCAATCAGGTAACATAAGGACACTGATAAAAAACTTCCTTCCCTCACTTTCAAAACTGGATCCACCGTTATAACAATACTTTTTGTACAGAATACTCAAGTATATATTTGCCAAATTTCTTTATACTGAATAAAAATATTTGTTTCCCCCCTCTGGTATACCAAACATATCAACATGAAAATGAAAATCAAACATAATCTTGAGGCAAAGAGTTCCATTCATAAAATAAAATGAAATGTTGTTGCTCTATCTGCATTATTGCTCAAGTATGTCATTTTCTACAGACATATTCTAATTTAATATATATTTATGTCACGTCTTGCAGTGTATTCTACAGTTACAGTGTTGGAAATTTAAGAAGGTCTAATAAAAAAACATGGAGGTTGATCATGAGTTTGGGACCTATAACCACTGCCGGTCCTTTAAAAAAATACTAATTAAATGTCTTAACAAGGGAAGTAACTCTTAGTAAGAAAATCTATTTATGTGAACAGCGGTAGATCTATAACTCCTTGCAGCAGAGACCTATATCAAAATATAAACGTCTCTGCTTGCAGTTAATTTATGTTATATATATATATATCTAACTCGGAAAGTGCATGGTACCATTTACATAATCAAAATATAACATTAACGGGCGATACTTTTTTGATGGCCAGTAAAGTTTACCCCTCTTACCACTTTACCAGACCAGAGACCAGCTCTAGTCGTACGTATATGAATCCACTGACTTTATAATTAGATAGCTCTTATATATTCCGTGATGAATCTTAACGCGTTCATTGATTCATCAATCTCTCTGTCAACACACAGAGCTGACAACGTTAATGTGACCACTGCCATCACCTGTACCAGCGTTACAACCCAGAGACGCTCCTGATTCCAACTCATTCACGATACAGACGCTGCGAGGTCATGATCTCGTTACCTCTCGCATATCGGTTTTCCCGCCAAGTACTGACCAAATACCTCAAGCGCCCGGATGCTTTTTATTTTAGAAAAATCCTGTCCATTAATGACAAGGAATATGTAATATATATATATATATAGGTATGTATAATACATATACAAATATTTTCATTTTAGCTTTTTGTGAACGATAATACAGTGTATATTTACAAATATAACTAATTCCGTGGATCAACACATCATCAGACCCAGAGAGGCTGGCTAAAATATTTTAAACAACTTCTGAAAAAGCATCACGTAGCTGCCTGCTGCACTATAATGTTAGTGGCATTCTGGGATAAAGGGTATTGAACTGCCTTGTTCTGATAAATGACCTTGACCTGCTCTAAGGTCATATGGTTCAAATGCGTTGAAATATGAAAAGCTACTAGTAACTAAAATATCTGGGGTGATAATATATAGTTTGCCAGAAGCAGTCTGTGATAAAGCTCCCGGCTATCATACTTTTTCAAATAAATTACCTTGACCGTCATTGAAGGTTACATAAATATAAAATCTTAAACAAGCAAGAGACATACACATGTATATACAATGATGAAGTTGTCCAAATAAAATACTTTGCCAACTTTTAAAGTTTTAAGGAGAAAATGTGTAAACAGTTACAGAAGCCTTTTTAATATGTAGTATAAGCATATATCAAGTTTCCCTGCGATCATTTTTCTCTAAAGTTAATTCGACCGTTACCTACTATGCAGGTCACAAATGGGAATTGTATTTTCGATTAGCATTGAATACTACTATTAACGTGATACGTGCCCATTGGATCTCTTGTTTTCAAGCATAATAAAACATTTAAACGGTACAGAACAAAGAAAGATATAATTACCCAAATACTTGAACCGTTACAAAAGTCCGACATAAAGTCTCTAGTGTCGTTAATGTCCATCCTTCCTTCTCCAATCTTTCTGTAGTATATCCCGATGTGTATTCCATGCCACCATTTACTTACACATTCACATAGTACTCGTTAAAATACTGCTAACAATATCTAGAACGTCCGTTCGAAATAACATTTTTAAACAATTATTTCGAAAAGCGGAAAAAATCCGTGCAAATTGAAAGTTTCTTCTACAGTAGATATTGACCATATAGCTTAAAAACAGCTCAATAATTCTCTTTAAAGAAACGATACGAGCCTGAATAACAAATTATGTTATACTTTTCTACTGTGTACCCATAGAGAGTCCCGTGATCTGTAAGCGACGGATGAAAGCTTAAGACAGCCTTCACAACAGGTGTAGCTCGTGATGTGACGACAACAACATCATACTGTACTTTATAATTGTATTCAAACAAATTCAGAAGAGAAAATGGTGAAATAAACACAAAATGAAGATAATGTATACTTTGATGTTGAATATAGGTTTTAGCAGGTCTGCACTGTGTTCATGTAACTGACGGGTACGTATACATGTAGCAGTTTCTATGGTAACTGACGGGTACGTATACATGTAGCAGTTTCTATGGTAACTGACGGGTGCACATTGTATATAGATACAAGTATCAGTTTGATTTGCTTATTACTTTAGACCTTTCTGTCAATGTATACATGCAGTACTAGTACATACAACACACACTAATTAAGATAGTGAAGAAAGCTATCCCACGTTGACTCTTATACAGGACTCATGCTGCCAATTTTAATCAATTTCGCTAGATTTGATAGATCTTCCTTGCTTTCTATCTGCATTAATTGGATAAATTTGAACAAACAACGGTTCTTGTAATAACATTTCTCTTAATGTAATGACTTTTTAAATCTACATAATATTCAGATTTTAGAATAAAGTGGTATTCATCCTCATTATCATGTGCACCTCTACAGCAATATAAACACATTCGTTCATTTCTTACAACCGGTTGTTTTATCAACTTTCTTTAATATCTAGCTCATGAAATGACAATCACATTTTGGTAATTTATTTCAGATTTGCACTTCACATAGGTTCATTAAATATCGTCATAAACGTACGATATTTGTGTGTGTGTGTGTGTGTGTGTGTGTGTGTGTGTGTTTTGTGGGTTCATTATACATTGCGACATATTTTATCGTCGGAGAATCCAGTATATTATTACAGTGTTTTAACTTATCACACGTTTCTGTGTCAAAACTTAGTTATTAGATTCCAGAACCTACCTACAGTTGATCAGTACATTTTTTCATTGTTCGCGTGGTATACTTTGTATCTTTACCATAATTCTTTTTAAATTGAGATTTAAGACAGATATTTGTAGTAAATATCTGCAGCGCTGGGTTGATTCCTGCATTACCGAATTAAAATACGATATGGTTGAAAAACAGCGCTACGCTCGACTTGAACAATTTTGATCTGGTGACTTCAGAGAAAATATATGTAACGAAAAATTCAGCTCACATGACTGTTGTTTCATAAACCTTTCACTTTGACGTCACGTGATATACATCGGTCGTCAGAGACGGGGCGATGTCACAATTCACTCCATTATACCCGGCAACGAATTCTACGTACCTACTCAGTGGGAACGAATACTTCATCGAGAAAGACCGTTTGTGTATCAAACACACTCACATGGATTTCTCGCTTTCACAACGCTGGTATTCAAAAACTAATTAGTGCTATTTTCACAACACATCGTGTAATCATTATGCTTTTTTAATGCATTAGTTGACGGTATTACATGGTGTTGGTATCACACCATGTGTCGATATTATATTGTGTCGGTACCACACCATGTGTCGATATTACACTGTGTCGGTATCACACCATGTGTTGATATTACAATGTGTCGGTATCACATTAGGTCGGTATCACACCATGTGTCGATATAACATTATGTCGGTATCACACCATGTGTCGATATTACATTGTGTCGGTATCACACCTTGTGTTGATATTACAATGTGTCGGTATCACATTAGGTCGGTATCAAACCATGTGACGATATTACATTAGGTTGGTATGACACCATGTGTCGATATTACATTAGGTCGGTATCACAACATGTGTCGATATTACATTAGGTCGGTATCACACCATGTGACGATATTACATCAGGTCAGTTTCACACCATGTGTCGATATTACATTAGGACGGTATCACACCATGTGTCGATATTACATGGTGTTGGTATCACACCATGTGTCGATATTGTATTGTGTCGGTATCACACCATGTGTCGATATTACATGGTGTTGGTATCACACCATGTGTCGATATTATATTGTGTCGGTACCACACCATGTGTCGATATTACACTGTGTCGGTATCACACCATGTTTTGATATTACAATGTGTCGGTATCACATTAGGTCGGTATCAAACCATGTGACGATATTACATTAGGTTGGTATGACACCATGTGTCGATATTACATTAGGTCGGTATCACAACATGTGTCGATATTACATTAGGTCGGTATCACAACATGTGTCGATATTACATTAGGTCGGTATCACAACATGTGTCGATATTACATTAGGTCGGTATCACACCATGTGACGATATTACATTAGGACGGTATCACACCATGTGTCGATATAACATTAGGTCGGTAACACACCATGTGTCGATATAACATTAGGTCGGTAACACACCATGTGTCGATATAACATTAGGTCGGTAACACACCATGTGTCGATATAACATTAGGTCGGTAACACACCATGTGTCGATATAACATTAGGTCGGTATCACACCATGTGTCGATATTACATGGTGTTGGTATCACACCATGTGTCGATATTATATTGTGTCGGTATCACACCATGTGTCGATATTACATTGTGTCGGTATCACACCATGTGTTGATATTACAATGTGTCGGTATCACATTAGGTCGGTATCAAACCATGTGACGATATTACATTAGGTTGGTATGACACCATGTGTCGATATTACATTAGGTCGGTATCACACCATGTGTCGATATTACATCAGGTCGGTATCATACCATGTGTCGATATCACATAAGGTCGGTATCACACCATGTGTCGATATAACATTAGGTCGGTATCACACTATGTGTCGATATAACATTAGGTAGGTATCACACCATATGTCGATATTACATTGGGTCGATATAACACCATGTGTCGATATAACATTAGGACGGTATCACACCATGTGTCGATATTACATTAGGTCGGTATCACACCATGTGTCGATATTACATAGGGTCGGTATCACACCATGTGTCGATATTACATTAGGTCGGTATCACACCATGTGTCGATATTACATAAGGTCGGTATCACACCATGTGTCGATATTACATAAGGTCGGTATCACACCATGTGTTGATATTACATAAGGTCAGTATGACACCATGTGTTGATATTACATAAGGTCAGTATGACACCATGTGTCTAAATTACATTGTGTAGGTATCACACCATGTGACGATATTACATTAGGTCGGTATCACACCATGTGTCGATATTACATAAGGTCGGTATCACACCATGTGTTGATATTACATAAGGTCAGTATGACACCATGTGTTGATATTACATAAGGTCAGTATGACACCATGTGTCTAAATTACATTGTGTAGGTATCACACCATGTGACGATATTACATTAGGTCGGTATCACACCATGTGTCGATATTACATAAGGTCGGTATCACACCATGTGTTGATATTACATAAGGTCAGTATGACACCATGTGTTGATATTACATAAGGTCAGTATGACACCATGTGTCTAAATTACATTGTGTAGGTATCACACCATGTGACGATATTACATTAGGTCGGTATCACACCATGTGTCGATATTACATAAGGTCGGTATCACACCATGTGTTGATATTACATAAGGTCAGTATGACACCATGTGTCTAAATTACATTGTGTAGGTATCACACCATGTGACGATATTACATCAGGTCAGTTTCACACCATGTGTCGATATTACATTAGGACGGTATCACACCATGTGTCGATATTACATTAGGTCGGTATCACACCATGTGTCGATATTACATTAGGTCGGTATCACACCATGTGTCGATATTACATTAGGTCGGTATCACACCATGTGTCGATATTACATTAGGTCGGTATCACACCATGTGTCGATATTACATTAGGTCGGTATCACACCATGTGTCGATATTACATTAGGTCGGTATCACACCATGTGTCGATATTACATTAGGTCGGTATCACACCATGTGACGATATTACATTAGGTCGGTATCACACCATGTGTCGGTATTACATTGTGTCGGTATGACACTATGTGTCGATATTACATTAGGTCAGTATGACACCATGTGTCTAAATTACATTGTGTAGGTATCACACCATGTGACGCTATTACATTAGGACGGTATCACACCATGTGACGATATTACATTAGGTCGGTATCACACCATGTGACGATATTACATAAGGTCGGTATCACACCATGTGTCGATATTACATAAGGTCAGTATGACACCATGTGTCTAAATTACATTGTGTAAGTATCACACCATGTGAAGATATTACATCAGGTCAGTATCACACCATGTGACGATATTACATCAGGTCAGTATCACACCATGTGACGATATTACATTAGGACGGTATCACACCATGTGTCGATATTACATCAGGTCAGTATCACACCATGTGACGATATTACATTAGGACGGTATCACACCATGTGACGATATTACATTAGGACGGTATCACACCATGTGACGATATTACATTAGGTCGGTATCACACCATGTGACGATATTACATTATGCGTCGGTATTACATAATGTGTCGGTATTATGTACATTGCTTGTCGGTATTACATTATGTCTGTATTATATTATGTGTCGGTATTGTATTCATATTTTTTTGTGTATTAACCCATGTAATATCATGACCTATCAGCCCTGTGATTGGTTGTTAGTTTCAATTGTTCCAATTGTGACGTCAGGCTTAGGGCAAGTACATATACATGACGTCACAGACGTGCACTGGAGTCAAAATGGCGGCTTTTCACATTTCAGTGTTGCATGCAAATTGTCGTTTTACACGAATAAATGCCACACATCTTAATTATGTGATAAAAAGGATCTTACACTCGTTTTCATTTCATATGAATTTTACTGAAACTCGTCACGAATTTTTCATTTTAGCTCGCTAAATTGAAAAATTCTTAGACTCGTTTCATAAATCTCATATGAAATTGAAACTCATGTAAGATCCTATATATGTATTACATGGATTGTCACAATACTACCTTTATCCGTTTAAAAAGGAAGTACATGTAACCAGAATAAGTGTGTACCTGATACTTTTTTAATGCTTGAGCAATAAATACCTCCAAACTAAACTGGACTAGGAGCAACCGGACTGTCGAGGAGTCCTATAGACTATGGAAACACGAACAACTTTCGACCCCCCACCCCCACCCACCCACCCACCCAATGTCATCAGGGAAATTCATTACCATACAAATTAACTTGACGTATCCCTCACTGGTATATTTTTTATCGCAAAGAAGTTCACACAAGATGGATGAAAAGTATATTTTCCTTTAACCTAATGACATTTCTTTTTTTATATTTTCCGAAATAATTAAGTAGTTACAAAATAATCGAACCCGAAAGATGACTGAATTGTATAGGTGTATGATAAAAGCGAGCGGAACTCTTTACACGTGAAAGAGAAAGGTTTCGCTGTGAGCGCTATTACAGCTTGTGCAACAGAGGACGAGGATGAATGAATTAAACGCGGACTGTATAAGGAAAAATTAAAAAAGGTCACGACATTATCCCCTCGGTAACAGTAATATTTGCATGATAACAATACTTACATTTAGAAGCTGGAAATCGTCGGGTAAGTTTTCCGATTGATTTTGCGGATATTGTCGACATATTCCTGTCATTGTTATAGTGCATCCGTCCTGTAAAGGTCGTTAGTCAGTTACATATACACACACACAGATCTCAGATCGTACATGTCTATTAATAAATTAATGTTTATGTCTATATATAAAAACTCCTGAAATATTCAAACACATGTTCCCGTTCCACTTTATGTAGGATTGGAAGGCCGATAATTTTACGTACACATAGAATTGGACTTGCGTGTATACACATGTATTATAATTTATATCGATATATCTAAAGTAATGACTTACTCTGGATTTTTATTCCGATATCAAGCATAAATACATAACTATAATGTAAAGTGTTTTATGTTTGCTCTGCACCTTCCATTGCAATGCATTGAGAAGGCAAATGTTGTTATGAGACTATAAAACATTTGTTATTGTACCGCCATCAATCTCTTTTTATGACGTCATCAATTCAATTGTTGTCAACACTTAATTTGCTGTTCGAAATAACTAAATAAAGCATAACTACTCTATCAAAATGTACATATAAAAAAAAACAAGATTGAGATTTCAATCTTTATTCCGAATGCATGTAACAATAGTACGTTTACTTAAGGTGGTGGCTTTTGTTTTAATTGGTGTAAACCCTACAATACGGGTTTACAAACTAAAGAGTAATTATATAGTGTCGTACATCCAGATTAAAAAGAAGACTGGTCCTAGACATGGAAGAGAAAGGGAAAACTGTCGATTTCGAGAAAATGTCAAAGAAACTTCAAGAATGACACTGGAAAGCAGAGACGTATATATTATATACTACATATGGCTTTATATGTCTCTGGGGAAAGCGTGTTTATCGCAATACTTGAATAAAAAAAAAAAGTAAAAAAAATGATCATGTGATAAAGGGGACGTTAAATGTTTCCATTTCGTGAAAGATAATTGCATTTTTCACGAATTTTGACTGATTTTGTGAAATTTAATTTGAACTGTAAGTTCGTACGAGAGATCCTATATAGAGATAGTAGTATGCTATATGCTATTCTGACGGTATAAATATACGTAATGGCGGTGTATTATTTGGTAATACATCCTTACTGGTAATATCCAGGACAGTCACATTGAGATGGGAGGTAACTCATGTAGACCCAATCCTCGTCTCACCTCCTCTCAAACGGTGCGCGAAAATTTTCGTTTTAAAAGTAAAATAATAGTATTAACGTTAATATATATCCATTAGTATGACGCATAGGTTTCAATCTGAATTGTCACTTCTTTACTTAATGTAAACTCAGAAAAAACGTCAGTTTGTATCCCCTCAAGACGTTTCTGCTATCTGGTCATTCTTCAATGATGATTTTAATTTCTCACCAAAATTAGAGAAATCAGTTTGACAATAAGTAACAATCAGATTTATTCTAGAATTTAATATCGAGTTTTGTTTGTTGAACCAGTTTTTATTTGCTAATTACTGGGGACGATTCATTCTTTACTGGGAGATCATTTTTGTGAAACAGAAATAGAACATTGATGAATTCCTTAATTACATTAGCTTATTTTAAAATGATTTCATGTAAAACGAATAAATTATCATAGCTACTTAAAATTGCGTGAATTTTGGTACTCTTTCTCCTGCCGCAGGGGCAATACCACTTCATAAAATATTTAGGCCACATCCAACACTTCTTTATGCCATATGGAAGCCTCCATGTGGCATAAAGATGTGTTGAATGTGGCCTAAAATCTAATTAAGGGCAGTTCTGCTTTAGAATCCTACTCTTACTAAACGGTTGCACTTATTATCAACACATTTGGATGGAATTATCAATGGGCGTGGTGAAATGTTTGGTATATATATATATATATGAGGTGGTATTTTTATATTTGGTTATATTTGATCAAGTTTTATTAATACCTCTTAACCTGTACTGAAGGGGAAAGGGTTTAGTCTACCTCCAAATATTTAATCTTCACTACCCTAACATACAACAATACTAATATCACAGGTGTATCAGTCGTGTTCTTCGAAACTGCCCTCGCGATCAGCGTTATATCCTAAATACCGCTGCTGATTAGACCAGATCACTGTTACATCAGATCATACATGAAAAATAATAAAAAACATGCAATTAAAATAAACAAACAATACAGACAGGAGACGTAGAGATTTTAATAACATAATAAGAGCGCATAATTTATAAAATATTAAAAACCAAAACGTTTCACCATAATAAAGTAAAATTATTTTATCATTATATAACAAAAAGCATTACACTTCATGCTCATATCAGTGCAGTTATCTGCTATGATTGACAAATACTCATTTTGAAAAGAGATAAAATATGTTGAGCTTTAATTCCTGAATATATCTATCTAAGATGGGCTAAAAAGCCTCACCCGCGACTGTTTGTAAAGGGGAGGACGAGTTGGCCACTGGTATATTATAAAGTGCTTATTATGTACAACTGTAAATGAGCATGTAGAACTTTTCTGAAACAATTTTTAATAATATTGTAAAACACAAGTACCGAAAAGGTACACAAAATGACCGCCGACATAAATATGTGTCAGATTGATGGTATATGGTGTACAGATCTTCTAAATTGTATCTATGATCTTTGACCTTCATTAGGTGTAGAAAGGTTGCGAAAACTCCTGTGTGAATTTTAGTTGTAATCAGCAAACTGCAAACTATTGAAATGTTGGAAGATAGACCGACAGGACACTGCCAACATAAGTTTACCAAAGGCGGGCTTAGATGTATACGTAACAACTCCAAAAATATGGTTTAATATTTTTTGTAATCAAAACGTCAAATATGAGGTATTTAGAGTGAAAAAGAATACTATCAAGATATTGACATTAATGTCTGATTGTAGGTGTCTGAGTAACAGTTGGAGCAATACAAACTTCCCCAACACATTATTGATCATATGTTAGGTCATTCTCCGGTAGACTGAATTATGGGATCAAACATTGTTTTAAAGAAATTTTAGAACAGTTTTCAATTGAAGGAAAAGTCTCTGCAGTGTGAGCTTTTCAAAAGACATGATCAGAAAGACGTTTGCTGCAAATGTTTCAAAAAATGTTCTGTCGGGAAAGTACCCCCATTTGTCACACTGTAGTGGAAGCAACTCCCATGCTTTTTAGAGGACTTTGTCCATTCATTCAGACGTGCATAAGAATACCACTGGTCAACTATGTATAATATTACAATGAATTTCAGTAATCTATTCGGTTTAATTAATCACTGGTCACATTCGTGTTGTTCTGATTTAAACCCTCTTGTTCCCCTGTGAAAATATGAGATCTTATTAACGCACATCACAATCATAGACTCAATAAGTTCCACTTGTTCTGTCATCTAAATGAAAGAGATGCCTTGCTCAGGTGGTGTTATTGTTCTGTTGATTGCAGTTTCTACACAATATAAAGATGGATGTTAAAAATGTCCAATGTCACAATGTTTCCTTTATAATGGATATAGTAAAGTTTCAATTTATATGCCATATGGTTCTATCTGTGAGATTTTTAACTTAGTTTATTCTATTTATATATCTTATTGTTTACTTCATAACGAAGACATATTTGCCTCTATATTCAAATCATAGTCTATTTACCTTCCTTTTACAACAATATTGTTACACTATGTTACACCATGCCAAGGTAATTAGCACCGAGACTGCTTCTAAATGGTGTTAGTACAGAACAGGAAATGTACTGATGCCAATCAGGAAAAGTCTGCACTTCCGTAAACAAGGAAATATTAATAAATATTTTTTAGTTTACGGAAAACGCTGACGGTTTCCTATTGGTACTGATTATTCCTAATTGATATCCTTTATCCATGTGTGCCAATAAACTAATGATAAACAATACAATGCTAAACATTGGTAATACCATGCTAAACATTGGTAATACCATGATAAACATTTGTTATACCATGATAAACATTGGTTATACAATGATCAACATTGGTAATACCATGCTAAACATTGGTAATACAATGATAAACATTGGTTATACCATGCTAAACATTGGTAATACCATGCTAAACATTGGTAATACCAGGATAAACATTGGTAATACCAGGATAAACATTGGTAATACCATGATAAACATTGTTAATACCAGGATAAACATTGGTAATCCCAGGATAAACATTGGTTATACCATGATAAACATAGGTAATACCATGATAAATATTGGTAATACCATGATAAACATTGGTAATACCATGAAAAACATTGGTAATACCAGGATAAACCTTGGTAATACCAGGATAAACATTGGTAATACCAGGATAAACATTAGTAATACCAGGATAAACATTGGTTATACTATGATAAACATTGGTAATACCAGGATAATCATTGGTTATACCATGATAAACATTCGTAATACCAGGATAAACATAGGTAATACCATGATAAACATTGGCAATACCAGGATAAACATTGGTAATACCAGGAAAAACATTGGTAATACAATGATAAACATTTGTAATACAATTATAAACATTGGTTATACCATGATAAACATTGGTTATACAATGATCAACATTGGTAATACCATGCCAAAAATTGGTAATACAATGATAAACATTGGTAATACCATGAAAAACATTGGTAATACCAGGATAAACCTTGGTAATACCAGGATAAACATTGGTTATACCATGAAAAACATTGGTAATACCAGGATAAACCTTGGTAATACCAGGATAAACATTGGTAATACCAGGGTAAACATTGGTAATACCAGGATAAACCTTGGTAATACCAGGATAAACATTGGTAATACCAGGATAATCATTGGTTATACCATGATAAACATTGGTTATACAATGATCAACATTGGTAATACCATGCCAAAAATTGGTAATACAATGATAAACATTGGTTACACCATGCTAAACATTGGTAATACCAGGATAAACATTGGTAATCCCAGGATAAACATTGGTAATACCAGGAAAAACATTGGTAATACAATGATAAACATTGGTAATACCAGGATAATCATTGGTTATACCATGATAAACATTGGTAATACCAGGATAAACATTGGTAATACCATGATAAATATTACAAATTTGTGTGTATCACTACAAATTAGAATTGATCTTAATCCATATATATATATATATTAGCTGTCTTTTTTTTTATATATTTGTAATTACTTGATGTCAATTGATGTTACAAGATAAAATTAAGAATTAGTACAGTCCAGGCTAACATAGCTTTGATGATAAAATGCTAAAGTGAAAACTATTTTTTTTCAAACTATAGCAAAACTTCATTCAGTTAGTAATAATATAAATCTCAAAAGAAATGTATAAATCCTCTTTTATATGAACGTCACAAATGAAACCATGCCTTAACAATAGTATATTAGTAAACACTGCATACAGTATGTTGTATAGCACACTCCGGTATCCAATCATGTACTCGGTATACCCACGTAATGCTAGACTAGTATTTCAAATCAAGCGAGATATTATTTGTGATCATTCACCATGTATACGGAAAAACTGACATTTTCACTGCAAAACCACTACCTGTTTAAAACTTCAAGAACAGAAATATTTCTTTTCTAAAACTGTTAACATACTTGATGCATTATAAACACAATTTTAGGACTAGTGCAAGTCTAGTTATTTATGTACAGTGCTTAAATAATCATATATAATATGGACAGATACAAAACATAAAGTATAACACTACATGACAATGTGTATGAAGACATTTAATTCATGAGCTTTGTACTTGTCACATTCAATAAATAAGCATAACATCTCAATGATACCTAATGATGAAACAATCACAAGATTAGGACGACATGATTTTACACAATCTACATCAATCCACATGTCGCCCTCATTTTCGCTAAATACACTTGCTTGTGGAATATTAATACTTGCTTCCTTGTCTACGACCTAACAACCGTGCTCTGCATGGATGTAACAGTGTGCCCTTGTATTTAGTCACCAGGAACATTTAGACAGATGTATATACCAGGAACATGTACCTATTGACTTGTGAAATATATACCATTGCATACACATACATACTTCATGGTCATTGGTGTTTAGTGTATAGAAAGGCTAGAATTTTGGTAAATTTGACCATTTCCCAGCATAAGCATATTAACTTTAGACAATTTGTTTAAAACACAGCTCCTCTGATACACTGTACAGATGTATCAAGATTTGGTCAGAACTTGCATCTGGTTCTATTTTGCTTATCACAGCACACTACTTAGAGGTATTATCTGAAATAACTTGCATTAGTTTTCCATCACTGATCATCTCAAATACCTCGTGTAACATTTTAACATCACATAACAAGTTTTATACAATGAGATTACATGTAAATGTAACAAATCTATGACCTACCCACTCGTATCCTATGTATTACACTGGTACACCCACGTACTACAATAGAGGTACCAACTGGTACACCCACGTACTACAATAGATGTACCAACTGGTACACTCAAGTACTACAATAGAGGTACCAACTGGTACACTCAAGTACTACAATAGAGGTACCAACTAGTACACTCAAGTGTTACAATACAATAAGGCTACTTACTGATATACTCAAATTTTGAATGGAATTACCGACCGAAATACATTTATAGTCTTGTATGAATGAATGATAGGTATTCGCACAGCTATTAACCGAGAACAGGAAATATATAATTCTCATGTTATCCAGATTTGTTTATTTCAAAGCACAAAATATGAATAAATCCTCAGTTTTTACCAAAATATGCAACATTTGATTCATGATTTGTGTTTTTATTTAATGTCAATAGACCAGGCTTGAAAATCCCTTCCCGATTTGTCTGATCTTCACTCTCAATACATGATTTACTTTAGGATTATAAGACTATCAGTCGATACAGACTGCATGGCTTTTTCTGTAGAAGGGGTGGCCTCTCAATACAGATTCTATATGTTGTACAATATGTATTATGCAATCATGGTACACGAGTACCGAATGTTTAAATGTTGTTTCACTGCATTCAAAGTATTAAGGGGTGATACCACACAAATATCAAACAGATCACACACATTTGTATTTCCTTACAATTTTCTAGGCCAACCTTCACTGAATGACATACCGACACTCGACAAATTTATTCAGGAAAACATCATTACAGGAACGTAACGAGTACAAAACTGAATCAAGTGACCACCCACGTAAAGTCCGCGAAGAGGTCTCTTAACACAGCTGGTCTCTTATTGCAGGTGGTGCACAAACAGGTTTGACTGTACATGTAAAACAATCTTGTACCAGAGGATTCCTACATTTTCAAAACATTTATTTAGAACTATTTACACAGTGTTTAAAAAACATCCAAGTATTTCCCAGTATTGAAGTTAAAGTAAGTTGTCAAGGCTTGGATTTAAAAGAATTTACAACCAGTTGATTAACAGTCAGAGATCAGCTAATTTAGGTATTTGCAGTGTAATAACTGTAAATGTAGAGATGCACCATACCATAAAATGATATTTACCTGAACATTTCTCTCCAGTATTTGTATAAATTAACACACATATGTATGTCTTAAGATGTATATTCATTTAATTTCTAAACACTAAAAGAGTATTTAAACTTCTATCATTTAGGAACAATGAATGTATCAGAAAACAATGGGTATCACATGCATTTAGTCTAGTTCCCCTAGTTTGTGTTGACATATTGGGTCTCCACACCAGTTGGTGCCCAACACAACCTACACTAGCTTATTGTTAGTTAACTAATAGAACCTGGTTCACATTAGCTAATCCACATATTGGTGGAAAACATCTGCCCTCTCACAAATAAACAGCTAAATATATCGCTGTTCAATCAGCACAAATAATTGACCCTGGTAAGTGAATTTTGATACCATGAAAATTATTAACGATTTGATTTCACAAATTTAAAAATACATTTGCATATTAACTGCTTCATCAATTAATACTAAATTCTGTATGTTTCAATTATCTGTCGGTGACGGCTATGTTTAGAGGAAGTGAGAAAACAACGGGCAGACATCCTCCATCTATAATATGGTATTTCTAGATCATATGGAATCAGTACATATGGAATTATGACAAGGACACTCACATGAAATGCTGTTGATGATGTTTCTATAATGGTAAATGGTGATTTGTTTTGTATGTGCACAGTGGCAATCAAGTTTTCTCTGTTTTCTACCTACTGATAAATGCATTCCAATGTGTGAGTAGTTACGACAATGTGTGACCTACAAGTTCACCAACACCTACACCTCCTCAAACTATCAATGCTAAACTTACGACTTCTCACTTTTAAATTTTATATATGTTGAATATGGAATAGCTCCACTGGTATCCCTAATATTATGGTATTTTTTTCGTGGTCTTGTATCAAATCTTGTACATCTGAAATAAAAAAAACACTTGAATGCACTAATTGGCTGTTAAAGTCAATTAGAATCATCACGTTTTCATCTTCGGAATTTTATGAAGCAAACGTCTGAAAAGCTTGCCCTTTCCAGCTCCTGTTCAGACTTTATTAAAGTCTATCACCAATAGTAACCAGTGGATACAGAGGTGATAAAGTAGTTTTCCTTTTGTCTTAGAACTTGATGTCTGAGGTTATCTTCAGCTTCTACCAACCAACAGCTAAAACTCAGAGTCATCATTTGGCATCCTTATCGTCAGAAGTTGTTCCTCTAATGGTTCCTTTCATTCGTTGCTGAATTTGAAAAAAAAGAAGAGGTATTTCTTAAAATGAGTTAAAAACAAATTGTTCATAATTTTCTACCTCTTTAAAACACAAATTTAATTGTTTACCGGTAATTTATTTTGGTAAAACACAACAAAGACAATGAAACATTAAATATGGCAAACTTTCTAGATAACTTATACACAAACAAGGTTACCGCGAGCGGTATATAATACGCCCGTCACACATTGAATGAGCAGTTGTTTGTATGATTGAAATATATGAAGTATTTGTGAGTAATTGATATTGAAAGAGAAATCATTCAACATAACTGGTAGATCAATGAGTGCAATTCAACATCATGGAACACATGCATCGCATTAATGAAACCAAGGGGAATAACTCCAATAATTACGGTCGGATAATGGCGGTTATCAAACTTGTCCGAGGTTTCATGGTAATTAACCTTGTTGTGAAGTTTGAAGTTAATCCGTTAATAATTACTTGAGATATCGAGCAGACACTGTTTCGACAAGTCCATAAAGGAGCATAACTCCACAAATTATGGTCGGATAATGGTGGTTATCGAACTTGTCCGAGCTTTCATGGTAATTAACCTTGTGGTGAAGTTTGAAGTTAATCCGTTAATAATTACTCGAGATATCGAGCAGACACTGTTTCGGCAAGTCCATAAAGGGGCATAACTCCACAAATTATGGTCGGATAATGGCGGTTATCGAACTTGTTCGAGGTTACATGGTAATTAACCTTGTTGTGAAGTTTGAAGTTAATCCGTTAATAATTACTTGAGATATCGAGCAGACACTGTTTCGACAAGTCCATAAAGGAGCATAACTCCACAAATTATGGTCGGATAATGGTGGTTATCGAACTTGTCCGAGCTTTCATGGTAATTAACCTTGTGGTGAAGTTTGAAGTTAATCCGTTAATAATTACTCGAGATATCGAGCGGACATCGTTCGCATGCCCACCCGCCCGCTCACGTGATAACATAATATGTCCCCGTCTTCGACGGGCGTATAAAAAGCCATATTTGGAAGGAGCAGTAAAAAGTAAAGTACAAAAATGTATATTTCAAGTCTAAAGGTTCAAACCTTCAGTGAAAACTTGTTCAGTAACTCTTATGTTCCTGGGGTGCAGTCATTTGTTGACAACAAGATTGATTGTCAGTCAGTCAAACGGTATTCTGACAGGCTTTCAATTGTCATGCCGTAATATATATAACACTGTCATCTAATTGTATTAAAGGTCACTGAGTGCACCCATGTGGGTGAGATAGGGGAAACTCAACCCAAGGGGAAAGATTCATAAGTTGCCAAACGTTAGGCTCTGCCAAGTTTTTGGCAACAATAATCTTTCCCCAAGGGTTGAGATTCCCAATCTCACCTCAAGAGGGCGAATTATTCTTTTCTCTTACCCTATTTGACCATTGTGTATTATATACAAAATGTGACAGGACGTTAATGCATTATTGATATGACATCATTGTATTGTTATGAATAGGGGAATCCCCCGTCTCAACTCTAGGGTGAGAAAAGGATATCTCACACCGGGAAAAGTGTGGATACACCTGTCCAGTATAAGAGAAAAGGAAATCTCACACCGAGAAAAGTGTGGATACACCTGTCCAGTGTAAGAGAAAAGGATATTTCACACCGGTAAAAGACTGGATACACCTGTCCAGGGTAAGAGAAAAGGAAATCTCACACTGGGAAAAGTGTGGATACACCTGTCCAGTGTAAGAGAAAAGGATATCTAACACCGGTAAAAGACTGGATACACCTGTCCAGGGTAAGAGAAAAGGAAATCTCACACTGGGAAAAGTGTGGATACACCTGTCCAGTGTAAGAGAAAAGGATATCTCACACCGGGAAAAGTGTGGATAGACCTGTCCAGGGTAAGAGAAAAGGACATCTCACACCGAGAAAAGACTCGATATACCTGTCCAGTGTAAGAGAAAAGGATATCTCACACCGAGAAAAGTGTGGATACACCTGCAGTCTAGGGTAAGAGAAAAGGATATCTCACACCGGGAAAAGTGTGGATACACCTGTCCAGTATAAGAGAAGAGGATATCTCACACCTGGAAAAGTGGATACACCTGTCCAGTGTAAGAAAAAAGGATATCTCACACCGGGAAAAGTGTGGATATACCTGTCCAGTGTAAAAGAAAAGGATATCTCACACCGGGAAAAGTGTGGATACACCTGTCCAGTGTAAGAGAAAAGGATATGTGTAGATACACCTGTCCAGGGTAAGAGAAAAGGATATCTCACACCGGGAAAAGACTGGATATACCTGTCCAGTGTTAAAGAAAAGAATATCTCACACCGGAAAAAAGTGTGGATACACCTGTCCAGTGTAAGAGAAAAGGATATTTCACACCGGTAAAAGAATGGATACACCTGTCCAGGGTAAGAGAAAAGGAAATCTCACACCGGGAAATGTGTGGATACACCTGTCCAGCGTAAGAGAAAAGGATATCTCACACCGGAAAAAGTGTGGATACACCTGTCCAGTGTAAGAGAAAAGGATATCTCACACCGAGAAAAGTGTGGATACACCTGCAGTCTAGGGTAAGAGAAAAGGATATCTCACACTGGGAAAAGTGTGGATACACCTGTCCAGTGTTAAAGAAAAGGATATCTCACACCGAGAAAAGTGTGGATACACCTGTCCAGTATAAGAGAAGAGGATATCTCACACCGGGAAAAGTGTGGATATACCTGTCCAGTGTTAAAGAAAAGGATATCTCACACCGGGAAAAGTGTGGATACACCTGTCCAGGGTAAGAGAAACATGTTTTCCACATTAGAAATCTGTAGAGGTTGGAGAAAAAGTTACCCCACATAGCTGCACCCAGTGACCCCCAGTTCAGGAACTTTCTTTTTTTCTAAATTATAACTAAGGATGATTTGTAAAGAGAGACATAATTAGCTGGTAAGGTGGTACAGGAAACCTGGAGGTAATTATCAGGACAGCATATCACTTATGATTTTCTGACTAAAGACTTTGGCGATTAAGGTGGGCGCACACACTCCCGACATAGTCATATCATACTTGATCCAATTCCTCCTTGGTTTTCCTCTCAATCTCACGGATGTCGTCCATAGTCAGACCAAACCACTTCTCCATCCAGCAGTATACTTGGCGGTGAAAGTTCGTGAATATCCTTTTTTCTTGCTGCAGAGATAAAAAAAAAATTTTAACTTTGTGATTTTGAAAATAAAAACATAATGGTGATATTTTTTTTATCATTATCAGAGCTTTTGATTTTAATATAACTAAAAAAAGAAAAGTGTGCTTTAAAATAGGCTTTGAAAATAATTTTTGCTTGACCTTATAGCTTATATCATTTTTTCTTAACTCTTTGATGCTGTCAAATGATGTACCCCTTCCTCTGTAGCTCTGTATATATGCATATATATCCCACTAAGCAGAGTTATATATTGATATAGCCAAATTGTTGATACACATGGGCTTATTTATTTATAGGTATACATTTTTTATGGAATTTTTTCAGGCACATCATCAATTTGCAAGATTTTTAAAACTTAAACTTCATTGTAAAACTACAGAAAGTGATAGAATGCAATAACTGTGGAAAGGATGGATGTAGTGACATTTCCAAAGACGAAGATTTCAAAACCAGCAGCAAGCAAAACAAATTTCAGTATGAATGGCTGATGAGAAGGTCAAGCTTTGCGGAAGAGACTGGCATTTGGTGGTCTGTTTATGTGGAGGGAGAAGGCATATACTGTCTGTTATGTAGAAAACACAACAGCAAATTCAGCCAAAACAAAATTGAAACAATTTCAACAGTGCAATCAACACGACTCAAATCCAGTACGTTGATAGACCATATCATGTCATCAAAACACCAAACAATAATCTGTGATGAGTAACTTAGCCGGGTATCAACTTTTCAAAAGCATCTTGACCAGAGATTCAGTAAACCATGATATTCTCCAAAAGGATCCCCCCTCCCTCGTATTGGTTATACAAGGAGTCCATTGCCAACAGAAAACTTGGTAGTTTGCCGACACTTGCGTGAGGTTTGACTGGATCAATATTAAAACAGCATCCTTTCATTAACAGTAAATTCAATCACTGGAATAGTTTATGAAATTAAGATATTAACAGTACCTGCTCACAGTTTTCATAAATTACTCTGTATTCTATTTTAAGATACTCACTGTTTGTATAAATTTCTCCACTTTATTCTGAAATCCCATCCATTTGAACTTACAGCTTACAAGTTTGTAAGCACACATCACAGGTTCCACCGATTTCTGATAAAGCAAAACACATACAATCAACAGAAGATACACCCTCCTTAAATGTTTTTTAACATTTAAATGTCACAATCACAGGCAGCTTGGGGGGAGGGGTTGCTTCCTTAATTTAATTTCAGTCAAGGGGTCCTTGTCAAACTTAGTCAATGTCCCTCAGCTGTTTTGTGAAAGACAATATTTTTTTTAAACTGAAATCACTGAATTCACTGGTGTGACCAACAATAATGTGACTCAAGCAATTATGAGATGATAAACTTTACTTAATATTAATTATGTGCATGTATTTTAATAGTACATACAACAACAGTGAGAAAATGTTAAAAAATTAATGAAGGTCTCAGACAANGTGGGGGGTGGCGCGCGCTAATGCAAAGTTTTCAGAAAATGGAAATGGAGCTTAACATAATTTCTAACCCAAGTCAGCGAAGAGGGAAATGTATGTCATTGTGACTTACATTTGATATATAAATTGGTGTAGTAACCATATAGTACCCAAGATGTATCCACAAATGAAATTAAATGGCTGTTGAACTTTTTAGTATTAGACCAATGGAGCTAAATACAATGTCTAGCCTAGATGTACTACAGATGGATGGACAAACAGACAGAAAAGACAAAGAGTTAACAGTTCATCTCCTTCAGTATGTTGAGGTGTGAATGTATTTTCTTATATCAACAAATATTAAAGAAATAGGAACACACAATCTCAGAGATAGTACAATTTTTCAAAATCTCATTTTTTTTCAGGATAATTTTGTGATAACAATTCTAGGGGAAAAATTGCATCCATCTTACTGTCCATGTGCCTCCAAGTGGGCCTCGCCCTATCTCCTCTCCCGTGTTTTCTGACTTGACGGCCATCACCTTTCTAGGGTCCCACTCTTCCTTGTAGTCCTGAAACAAATTCCACTTCTATATCATCATCTGCAGCAGTGTTATCTGATTAAATCTTTAAAATAAACAGAAGAGGCCCAATGAACCCGTATTGCCTGTTATTTATCTAACATTTGTGACCTACAAAGAAGGTCATGGCTAAATATATATATAAATGAATTTAATTTTACTCTGTAAATTATTGATCTATATTAGAAGGTTTTATTACTCTACTATGTATGAATCTTACTCAGATTTTTTAAAACTTATTTCACTTACGCCACATTCAAGGCTGGTCCAAGTTGATTTGATGCTAAACTTTATAACCCTTCACATCATTAAGATACAGCTGGCCAACAATCATTATTCTTGCATTATATTGGTTATTCAGAAAAAGTTGTTAAAAGATTTTATCACAGTAGATCCCTGAAGGGTTTTGACTCATCTGACGTTTGTGACCCTGAAGCAGGTCGAGTTAAATCCTTTGAGTGAACTTGTTACCCCCTATCAAAGCATGCTGTAGGCCAAGTTTCATTACTCTTGGCAAATTGGTTATTCAAAAGAAATCCTTCAAAACTTTTCACATTTGTTTCCTGTGACCTTCAAAGTAGGTCAAGACCGTTATACTGAGATTGATTATGTTCCAAACATTGCCAGTGGTGTTGACAATCAACTCAGTACAAACATTGCCAGTAATGTTGACAATCAACTCAGTACAAACATTGCCAGTGGTGTTGACAATCAACTCAGTACAAACATTGCCAGTGGTGTTGACAATCAACTCAGTACAAACATTGCCAGTAATGTTGACAATCAACTCATACAAACATTGTCAGTAATGTTGACAATCAACTCAGTACAAACATTGCCAGTGGTGTTGACAATCAACTCAGTACAAACATTGCCATTAATGTTGACAATCAACTCAGTACAAATATTGCCAGTGGTGTTGACAATCAACTAAGTACAAACATTGCCAGTGGTGTTGACAATCAACTCAGTACAAACATTGCCAGTAATGTTGACAATCAACACAGTACAAACATTGCCAGTAATGTTGACAATCAATACAGTACAAACATTGCCAGTAATGTTGACAACCAACTCAGTACAAACATTTCCAGTGGTGTTGACAATCATCTCAGTACAAACATTGCCAGTAACATTGACAATCAACACAGTACAAACATTGCCAGTAATGTTGACAATCAGCTCAGTACAAACATTGCCAGTAATGTTGACAATCAACACAGTACAAACATTGCCAGTAATGTTGACAATCAACACAGTACAAACATTGCCAGTAATGTTGACAATCAACACAGTACAAACATTGCCAGTAATGTTGACAATCAACACAGTACAAACATTGCCAGTAATGTTGACAATCAACACAGTACAAACATTGCCAGTAATGTTGACAATCAACACAGTACAAACATTGCCAGTAATGTTGACAATCAACACAGTACAAACATTGCCAGTAATGTTGACAATCAACACAGTACAAACATTGCCAGTAATGTTGACAATCAACACAGTACAAACATTGCCAGTAATGTTGACAATCAACACAGTACAAACATTGCCAGTAATGTTGACAATCAACACAGTACAAACATTGCCAGTAATGTTGACAATCAACACAGTACAAACATTGCCAGTAATGTTGACAACCAACTCAGTACAAACATTGCCAGTGGTGTTGACAATCAACTCAGTACAAACATTGCCAGTAATGTTGACAATCAACTCAGTACAAACATTGCCAGTAATGCTGACAATCAACTCAGTACAAACATTGCCAGTAATGTTGACAATCAACTCAGTACAAACATTGCCAGTAATGTTGACCTTCAACTCAGTACAAACATTGCCAGTAATGTCGACAATCAACTCAGTACAAATATTGCCAGTAATGTTGACAATCAACTTAGTACAAACATTGTCAGTGGTGTTGACAATCAACTCAGTACAAACATTGCCAGGAATGTTGACAATCAACTCAGTACAAACATTGCCAGGAATGTTGACAATCAACTCAGTACAAACATTGCCAGTAATGCTGACAATCAACTCAGTACAAATATTGCCAGTAATGTTGACAATCAACTCGGTACAAACATTGCCAGTGGTGTTGACAATCAACTCAGTACAAACATTGCCAGTAATGTTGACAACCAACTCAGTACAAACATAGCCAGTAATGTTGACAATCAACTCAGTACAAACATTGCAACTATATTTTGGCAATGAATATTACAGAAATACTTAAGGATTTAAGTAAAGCATTTGTGTGAATTATTTTTCATGTAGTAAATATCTTCAAAATCCACAGAATCCACAAAATAAATCCTGAACAAAATGTACTGCCTTTACAGTATCTATGTCATGAACTCATGTTTTCTGAAGGGATAACCTTGGATCAGGTTCAACAGAAAAACAGTACAATAACATTGGTACAGAAGATGATAATCCACCTCTGATTGGTCTTTCCTTCAACCAATCATCTACCCTCCAATTCTAGGATTTAGAATATCATGCACTTACCGAATCTTGTACAGGATCGTTGGCGATGTCAATATGTACAACCTTTCTGATCTTCTCATCGTCTGTTTTCAGTCCATGAGCCTATTAACATAAAAAGTTATGTTGAAATCTTTTACAAGCCTGATCTTTGTCCAAATTGCTAAATGGGACGTTTGCATGGTGTAAGCCTTAGAATTGCATACCAGCTTTAATTCTTGTGTTGTTTACAATGTATATTCAAACATTTATTACAGATGAGAACAACCTTATTCCATCCTTCCTTTGTCAGAAATACTCAGCAAATTTACTTTTTTAACATATATGACTGGATATAATAGTTCTCGAATTACACCTCACTACAAACATTCTCCCTTGTTTCAAGAACACCTCAATACAAACATTCTCCCTTGTGTTTCAAGAACACCTCACTACAAACATTCTCCCTTGTTTCAAGAACACCTCACAACAAACATTCTCCCTTGTTTCAAGAACACCTCACTACAAACATTCTCCCTTGTGTTTCAAGAACACCTCAATACAAACATTCTCTCTTGTTTCAAGAACACCTCACTACAAACATTCTCCCTTGTGTTTCAAAAACACCTCACTACAAACATTCTCCCTTGTTTCAAGAACACCTCACTACAAACATTCTCCCTTGTTTCAAGAACACCTCACAACAAACATTCTCCCTTGTTTCAAGAACACCTCAATACAAACATTCTCTCTTGTTTCAAGAACACCTCACTACAAACATTCTCCCTTGTGTTTCAAGAGAAATGAAGTACTTCTCTTAAGGACTTCCCACCCTTCGTAATACACATGTTTTTCTTGTCGTATTTTCGTGTTGTCATTTCCATATTGCGTATCGGGCATTCCATTACCGTAGAGTAAATTATAGTAACACCGGGTAAACAATAGTACACGTGCGTGACGATGATATGTCAACACTCGATATCGAGACTTAACTTGGAAATGTGTAATCACACGTACCTCAGAAATAAAGCTTATGATACAAAGACATTAATTAACTCACGGGAAAACACTGACATACGATCAGACGACTTCAAGAAGGTCGTATATGAGGCGCATGGAATGCAGACTGATGTGTTTTGTTTCCCGACCTCACCTCACCTGTACGTATCACGTGCAGTAGTTTACAAGCTCTTGGTCGCTACGACTTGTCGAGCGAGTTAAGCTCTGTCAGATAAATCGGTTCACAAATACATTTACAATAACTGTGAAAATAGTGGTTGGTAAAATATCAAGATCCCTATAAAATGCAAGTGCATGCGTGTGCACGTAATAACGGCATACCATGCGTAAGCGGGCTATGGAATGATGTCCAAAGTGTACATGATTGAGAGTAATTTTGTTCCATAAAAGAACAGTAAATTGACAATTAAATATAGTAATTTAATTTATTTCTGTCGTTTTTGGTAAAGTAAAGAAAATAAGTGTCATTGTATAAATTCTATCCCTCTGCAAAAAGTTCCGATTTTTTTCAAGGTAGACAAATTTTATCAGGATCAAAATTATTGTAAAAAGTAAAATAAATGAATTATAAAGACTTTGTGTGGATTTGGTTCAATTTTTCACTCTTTTTGTATGAAACTATGTGACCTGTTTGCTTTTAGCTTGTATTTAGTAACTTTTATCCATACAATTTCAATAAAAAACGCTTTTTATTTTTACATGTTGTAGATATTTTATGATAAATAAAATATTTGTAGGGTTGATTAGCAATGTTTCTTTTTATTATTTTATTGTTGTAATAGTTTTGAACAGTGCCACATGGTCAAAAAATGTTAAAGTGTTGAATTTGACAAAAATTCAATTATTCAGTATTTTTTACCAAAAAATCCCCAGTTTATCGGAATGCTTAGATTTTCATAAAATCATCTCTACATAGTGATATAATCATTATGTGAAACTTTCATTGAATTCTGCTGGCTAATTGCGAAAGGGTGGAGCCTCCTTAACACAAATGCAGCAATTACCATATGCATAAAGTATCTTACACATGTATACAGCTGACGAGCTATTGGCTTGATTACATTTCTGGTGTCCCCTGCTACGGTGACTGACCATCTTCTGATGTTCCTTTGATTCCTATACTGTATTTACCACTAACTTAATTTGTTTGGTTTCTCTGCTATATTTATCACTAACTTCCATTTGTTTGGTTTCCCTGCTATATTTATCACTAACTTCCATTTGTTTTGTTTCCCTGCTATATTTATCACTAACTTATATTTCTTTGGTTTCCCTGCTATATTTATCACTAATTTCCATTTGTTTGGTTTCCCTGCTATATTTATCCCTAACTTATATTTGTTTGGTTTCCCTGCTATATTTATCCCTAACTTATATTTGTTTGGTTTCCCTGTTATATTTATCACTAACTTATATTTGTTTGGTTTCCCCGCTATATTTATCACTAACTTCCATTTGTTTGGTTTCTCTGCTATATTTATCACTAACTTCCATTTGTTTTGTTTCCCTGCTATATTTATCACTAACTTATATTTCTTTGGTTTCCCTGCTATATTTATCACTTACTTATATCACTTTGGTTTCCCTGCTATATTTATCACTTACTTATATTTTTTGGTTTCCCTGCTATATTTATCACTAACCTCCATTTGTTTGGTTTCCCTGCTATATTTATCTCTAACTTATATTTTTTGGTTTCCCTGCTATATTTATCACTTACTTATATCACTTTGGTTTCCCTGCTATATTTATCACTTACTTATATTACTTTGGTTTTCCTGCTATATTTATCACTAACTTATATATTACTTTGGTTTCCCTGCTATATTTATCACCAACTTATATTACTTTGGTTTCCCTGCTATATTTATCACTTACTTATATTTGTTTGGTTTCCCTGCAATATTTATCACTTACTTATATTTGTTTGGTTTCCCTGCTATATCTATCACTAACTTATATTTGTTTGGTTTCCCTGCTATATTTATCACTTACTTGTATTTGTTTGGTTTCCCTGCTATATTTATCACTAACTTATATTTTTTGGTTTCCCTGCTATATTTATCACTAACTTATATATTACTTTGGTTTCCCTGCTATATTTATCACTAACTTATATTTTTTGGGTTCCCTGCTATATTTATCACTAACTTATAGTACTTTGGGTTCTCTGCTATATTTATCACTAACTTACACTTGTTTGGTTTCCCTGCTATATTTATCACTTACTTATATTACTTTGGTTTTCCTGCTATATTTATCACTAACTTATATTTCTTTGGGTTCCCTGCTATATTTATCACTAACTTATATTTGTTTGGTTTCCCTGTTATATTTATCACTAACTTATATTTGTTTGGTTTCCCTGTTATATTTATCACTAACTTATATTTGTTTGGTTTCCCTGCTATATTTATCACTAACTTATATTACTTTGGGTTCCCTGCTATATTTATCACTAACTTACACTTGTTTGGTTTCCCTGCTATATGTATTACTTTCTTATATTTGTTAGGTTTCCCTGCTATTTTCATCACTTACTTACATTTGTTTGGTTTTCCCTGCTATATTCATCACTTACTTATTTTGTTAGGTTTCCCTGCTATATTTATCACTTACTTACATTTGTTAGGTTTCCCTGCTATATTTATCACTTACTTACATTTGTTAGGTTTCCCTGCTATATTTATCACTTACTTACATTTGTTTGGTTTTCCCTGCTATATTTATCACTCACTTACATTTGTTTGGTTTCCCTGCTATATTTATCACTTTTTGTTTGGGGGAGGGGGGTGTTTCCCTGTTATATTTATTACTAAGATCAAAACAAAAAATATGTGTGTTTCCAGTTTCCGTATTTACACTAGATTGTTGTGCCTACTCTTAATTTTTATTGGCATTTAGTGATAAGCACTGTTAAAGTCAAAACTCCTGACCTATATTAGCCTAGTAAAAATATTTAAAAATTGTATTTACCTACCCATTTTTTCAAGCAGTAACATGAAACACATATTTCCCCCCAACTTGTATTGTTTGGTTTCCCTGCGTGAGTAATCACCTACTTCAGTACTTACATTTAGTTGGTTTCCTCTGTCTGGACAATGCAATGTTTCTATGATGATGTAGAAGCCCTCTTTCATATAACCTGGATTCTGAAAAAAGTCAATAGCATTTGAATAGCTCATCTTCGTAAATTCACAATATAATGCAATGCCAAGTATTATGCCTATGGAAAGTCAATTGGTATTGACCAAGGCAAAAACATTACTCTGTGCCTATGTTTCAATTCATTAAATGGAGATTTTTTCCAGCACTTCTTTAGTTCTTTAACGAAATGAAACTCAGTACTTTCAAAAATTGCAAGCCAAAAGTTTTGTCGTTATAAACAGTGAACGTGTGTTAGAGTGATGATGGTTATGTATATATGGACTGGGGAAACTCTGAATACAGTGGAACCCACTTATTATGATATTCAATATGCCAGAGAAAAATATCATTATAACCGATATTTCATAATAACTGATAAAGCTGTTTTCGGTCGTTTTTATGTTGTCTGAACCGGAAGTGAGACGCTTTATATTAATCAGACATAGATTGATGTGGAAACATGGAAAAAAATAAATACAAACTGATAAAGTAATAATTGAAATCATTTGTGAATTGTTATTTATATCAATCAGCGTGTTGTAAAATTCAAGAAGATTTTGTTATGTCGTTGTAATGATCAGTATATATATAAATTCTACTTTCACTTTCAAATAACTTCGAGCATATTCCTTAGAACTATCTTTATACTACATCCTAGCTAACGATATCGTAATGTTACAGTCAATAGGATGAAAGAAGTGATATAAATAGTCATGATCTACCTATTTTGCAATGAGAAGTTGCGTTACATTTTGTCCCATAAGAGTAAAAATATTTTGCTGCGCTATCTATGTCAATTACGATCACATGCCTCACAAGTCGTGCAGTGAAATTAACTTGCAAAGAAACAGTAACAATTTAAAACATAAAATGGTACCTTTTTAACAAAAATGAACTATTGTTTTCAACATAAATTGTAAACAAGAGGCACAGAGTGCCTGTATCGCTCACCTGGATATCTAAGCAATTATGGCAAAATATCCCCAAATGAGATCCAAAGAAATATGTGGCATATTTGTATCAGATTTTTCATGCACAGCAATTTTATGTATGGTTATGGGGTGGGGATTTGACTGTTTTCAAGCTGTGACTCAGAAACTAGGTCCCTAGGGTTGTGACCAGACCCCAGGATCAATTATAATATCATGACTGCATTCATCTTTTTGCCCATCATTTGTATTTATAGTTTCGTGGTGGGGATCTCAACCGTTTCTAAGTTATGACCCAGGGGTTAAGTCTGCAAGGGTGGGGCAGACCCTGGAGTCAATTCTAATATCATGACTGCATTCGTCTCTTTATGCTCACCAATTGTATATATAGTTTTGGGGTGGGGATCTAAACCATTTCAAAGATATGACCCAAGGATTAAGTCTCCAAGGGTGGGACATACCCCAAGGCCATCCTGAAAGCATATGTGCATTCATCTCTTTATACTCAGCAATTGTATATATGGTTACAGGGTGGGGATCTCAACTGTTTCCAAGCTGTAACTAAGAAACTAGGTCTGTAGGGGTTCAGTCAGACCCCAGGGTGTATTCTAATATCATGACTGCATTTGTCTCTATATTGCCCAGCATGTGTAACCTTAGTTTTGGGGTGGGGATCTCAACCGTTTTAAAGTTATGACCCAGGGACTATGTCTCCAATGGTGGGGCTAGACCCTAGGGCCATCCTGGAAGCAAATGGGGATTCTCCTCTTTATACTCAGCAATTATATATATGGTTATACAGTGGAGATCTCAACCATTTCCAAGTAATAAACTTTTTTTGACCCCACTCCTTAGCCCGGGTGGTCAGCCCCACCATTTGTACAATTTTGAATCCCTGCCTCCCATGAATGCTTCCGACCAAATAAGATTGATATCCATGGCATAGTTCTACAGAAGAAGTCGTTTATAGTAACATAGCCAAATTGCACCCTTTTGGCCCCACCCCTCAGCACCCTGGGGGGTTAGCCCCACCATTTGTACAATTTTGAATCCCCACCACCTAGGGATGCTTCCAGTCAAATTTAGGTAAATTCCAATCAGTGGTTTAGAAGAAGAAGTCGTTTAAAGCAATTGTTGACGTACAGACGACGTCTGGACGCCACAGTATGGCATAAGCTCACCTTGGTCCTTCGGACCAGGTAAGCTAATAAAGCAGCCGTCGTCAGTTGTTTACGACACTTATGTTTTTAACTTTGGATCGATATCTGGCACCATGCTGTCAGGGCGGTTTGTCCCGATTTTGACACTTTTTCAACAGAGACACAGAGAAATCAACTTCTAATGCAATAGAGAAATTATTGCTTAAGTGATTAAAAAACACACATCTACCTTCTGAAGTATTATTTCATTGAAATCGGCATGATTTCTCACATGACGTGTCAAGGTTTAGGTAACCGTGAATATTTGTGAAAGGCATGCTCGTTTTCTCATCGGAATTCAGGGTTCGAATTTAAGCTCGCATACTCGCGAAAAGCGAGTGCAAATTGCAAACTGCGAGTAGATTTCAGACACCAGCATTTTTTTGCGAGTGAAAATTTTGGGCTGAATAATCCACATTTCTAATGGTCGGTCTTTACAAATTCTTTCTTTGACAACTCGCGGTCATTTAAGCGCATTCTTGTCATTCGCCAAATGAATGATTCAGATTTTGTCATTAACGGAAGTTTACAATCGATACATGTCCATCCAGTGCGCATGTCCGTTAGGAGGTACCTGCACAAATAATGATGACGTTTACCGCATGCATGATGTTTTTCGGTAATCTATTTTTAGTTACTATTTATAGCGCAAATACGATATGCTTGACTAGTCACGTGGTTGTATTGGGGTTTCCCAAGGTTAAATTTCACAGCTCACTGCACCGGCAAAATAACAAATGGACAAGTTGCTGATGTTGCCCTTAGAGAGTATGACCCAAAACCTGCTGTGACAAGATGGTGGTTGTCGGGACAAAGACAGAAAAGACCAAATACTCTACCATATGGAGCACGAAACTAAGATGCAGTTTTTATGCTATATCTTAGAATAGCCTGAGCAGGCCACCATCCTTTCACAGCAAGGATTGCTTCATGTATACATCCCAATGACCATAATTTAAAATGTCAGTTAATACTGTGTTGTTTTAGAATTTAATTCTAAGTTAACATGTCTAATAAAGTTGGAAAAATGCAAATTGCAAGTTGTTTTCTCATTTAGCAAGTAAGAAAAAATACCACTTGCGAAAAAAATGCAAGTAGAAAATCTGGTTAAATTCGAACCCTGGAATTTGTTAGAAAATGTTGGTAGGCCTAATCATTTTAATTTGATACACAGTCCTACAGTGTATTTTAGATAGCAATTAACTGTACCACCTGTTTTGTTAAGACTAAAATGTATGAGCAGCAAGCAATGGTCCATCTTTTGTTTTCCGCTGACTGGGGTGAAGCGAGGTGTGAAAATTTACCTGGAGTGGACAGGTGATCACCTCGGGCGATGTACAGTTAGCTGGACCTATATATTGTTTAACCGTCCAGGTGTTTCACACGGACAACTTACCTGAGTTTTTACCTTATAAAATCCATTCCAGCAGAAAAAAATATCATAATAAGTGGGGTCCCACCTTTGACCATATCATAACAAACAATATTTTTTTTGCTTAGTTAAGGAAGAAAAAAATCGGTACATGGGGAAAATATCATAATAACCGATATCATAAAAAGTGGGTTCCATTGTACTGGTATATTTGTTGGGCATGCTGAGTGTCAAGGATTCCTTGTGCCAAACACCTCTCTCCATTTCATCCACACAGCAGTGTGGCTGTGGCTGTTTTTATGTATTCATACAATTTAAATATATTATTTTTTTTGTATATTTGGAGGCTTTTCCTGTGTAAATGTTTTATATACTATAAAGTAAATAAAAGATTGCTTTACAATGTCGGTTTTCTGAATGTTGTCTAGATTATTTAATTATAGCCTTTGGCTGAGGTCAATACCTGGATTTATCGACCCGAGAAAAGAAATATTGACCTCGGACACCTGGATTTATCGCCCAAGGAAAAGATATCTTGACCGTGGACGCAGTCCGAGGTCAATATTTCTTTTCTCAGTGCGATAAATCCAGGTATTGACCGAAGTTAAAGACTACAATTGTTTTATTACTTTACAAAACAGTAATGTAAGCAATCTGAAAAAATAAATAAAAAAAAATCGGAAGTGGAACGGTGCATTGTTTGGAGACACGTCATATTTCTATTTCTAGAAACATCCAGTCCTTCAACAACAAGAGGCCCAATGGGCCTGCATCGCTCACCTGGTATTAATCTCACACTTGTAATCTTAATAGTGGACTAAATAACAGCTACAGGCAGAATATCAGTGTTTGATTCATAAGAACCTATCAAAAGATTTAAACATATGACGCCTGTGACCTTGAATGTTGAACAAGGACATTAGGTTGAAAGTTGGTCAAAGTCATTCATTTGAACAAACTTGGTAGCCCTTCATCCAAACATGCTACAGGCCCAATTTCAGTACCCTTGGCCTTTTGGTTATTGAGAAGAAGTTGTTTGAAGATTTTACGACATTTTACCCCTGTGACCTTGAAAGTGGGTCAAGGTCATGAATTTGAACAAACTTGGTAGCCCTTCATCCCAGCATGCTACAGGCCCAATATCAGTACCCTGGGCCTTTTGGTTATTGAAAAGAAGTTGTTTGAAGATTTTAAGACATTTGACCCCTGTGACCTTGAAAGTGGGTCAAGGTCATTCATTTGAACAAACTTGGTAGCCCTTCATCTCAGCATGCTACTGGCCAAATATAATCAGCCTCGGCCTCTTGGTTATAGAGAAGAAGTTGTTTAAATTAAAAAGTTGACGCCGGACCATGCCATAATCTCACTTGGCCCTTCGGGCCAGGTGAGCTGAAAATCACGCGCTCCAAGTCAATATCGGTTTTTATCGGTGGACATGTGATGCACTCCTGGCCAATCACTTGTTGGGAATAATATGAAAAAATAATAAATATAAAACTGCATTCTCCTCAACGTCGCTGATCTATTATCAGTCATGGTTGTATATTTGACAATTTATCTTAGTGATAGAATGGTTTTTCAGGGTGACATTCAGGAATGTGTATGGGCCTTCAATCTTAATTTGCAATGTTTGGTTTAAAACACCATTTAACAGGTATCTGGCAGGCTATTAAATTGTTTGAAATTTTGTTTGGTTGTGTTATCGTTGCTAAATAGATGCAAAACTGTTTATGTACAGATCAGGAACAAAGAAGAAAATATCAACATTTTTGCCAATATGTTAAAGGCACACATACTTACTGATATTATTGTTACACAATATGGGTACGCATTCCAAGCCTTTTCATGAATATCTAGAGATCCTTTGGGAGCTATTAGTCTGAGAAATGATGGTACTCGACTGAAAAATAAAGACAGAATAAAAATCCAATGAAATTAATATAGATAAAGCAAAGAGTATTTGAAGTTGTATCATCTATTTCACAGGACAAAACAGTTCATCTTCATAAACTACATTTTAAGACTTTAATCTCCTTATTAAAAATAAAATGTTTAAGACTTAAATCTCTTACAAAGAATTAAATGTTTTTGTAGACTATGTAGTGGTACCTGTACTGTGAAGAGTAAGTAATGCAAATATCCCAAAAAGGGCATTTCAGTTACAAGCTGTAATCTACCAGGCAATCAGAATCCAAGTTAGCATTCAATTCTTCTTTTTTATGATCATGAGTAACCTTCAGACAGGAATTTATAATCATGATTGACCTATTTCTAAACATTTTCTCCAGTTTGGTAAGTACGGATTATGAAAAGATTCAAGTAGCACAACCAAAAAGTGTTTATATGTGACGTTTTGATGACTAGTATGGTATGTACTCTGTCACCTTCACTAGTGAAGCTTATTGGTATGTACACAAAGGTGTAAAATATGTAAGAGTTGTCTGTTGCAAATCGATGTCAATTTGGCAACATTGTAAGTGTATGTACATTGTATAATTAGCTGTTATATTTGTCTGATGAAGGTGACAGTGTACATACCGTTCTAGACTTTTAAAGAAAATTTGTGTATTAAACTTAACATTTTTCATTGTCCCAATTAATAATATACACATACTTTCAAACAATATCAGTAAAACTGAAAACATTATGATATGTCTACCTTTGTAAATGGTAAATCTTGTGTGTGTATTGTCCTTTAGTATATTTTCCATCCTTTAAATTTTTGTAATAGCCTTCTTTCTCCGCATGATCTCTAGATTCCTCATCCTCAAAGTTAAATGCCTCATTGACCTTGACCTCGATACCCTCTCCTCCACCGGTTTCATTCTTGCTGGCTTCTGCCACAGACCATAATTGGGCCACTTGATACTGAAAAACAACAAGTAATTTTCACAAAAATATTAGTAGAGTTTGTTTACATCTCACAGTACTATTTATAACTTAGAATACTGTATACTGAGAAACTTACACCCAGTCAAATATGTACTCTTTGCCAATAAAATCCATGTTGGCCTAGTGTTAATTTCACTGTTCACATGTACCAGTACTACTGTGTTATATATATATATATATATATGTTGTATGGGGAAAGAAGAAATAACCACAGTACAGACAACGACATTTGTCAAATTTTCAGGGCGATCTGCCCCTTTATATATATGTTATATGGAATGTACTAACATTTGCTGTCATGATAAATTGGGGAGGACGAAAAAGGCAAAAGTTAAACAACAGCCAAAATATTCTGGTATAGGGTATACATGTAACTAATACATACACTCTTTCATACCCAGGTGTGTAGGATAGGGAAATTCCAACCGAGGGATTTTAAAATTTGGTAAAACCTGAGGCTTTCCTGAGGGTTTGGCCAAATTTGAAAATCCAGAGGGTGGAATTTCCCTATCCTACACCCTTGGGCATGAAAGAGTGTTTTTTTTCTCAATCCAATCACCAGAATAAGCTCAGAAACCATGAAAATGCATTTGGATTTGACACCATTTTGAAAATATCAATTTTCCCCCTGAGCTTATTAGACCAAATTGAATTAGCTGGATTTAGCATATATCCCATATTTGCAAACGATGTTTGCACAGAAAAATAAATCACATCTTTCTAACATGTACGGTAAATATATAATAAAACTCCATTGTTGAACTTTTGTCACGTCACGTCGCATGAAATAGGGCGTAAGATAGAAATTTTCTACACCCCTCTCTTACTCTGGACAGCTCTATCTTACACACAGGGAAATGAGAGAATATACACAGTTTACTTTCAAGATACAACATATGTCACACCAGTGATATCAATTGTTTATCTTCCTGCTGTGCATTTATTTATTGATCAGCAGCACACACCCATACAACTTAGATGTTATAACAATGGATAGTGTTAACGTTTGTGATCATGGATACAAGCTAGCTAGTACGTACACACCAACCTACATGTAGTACCTATCAAATAAATGTGAAACATTGTGTATATGTACTGTAGAGGAGAATACAATGGTCTTGTGTGTTGTGTACTCTTGACTTTTCTTATAGCGAATATAAATATGACATTCAGTAGCAGGCGACAGTGAATATTGTCAACCCGAAAAAAACATTGTCACCCAAGGCGAAGCCGAGGGTGACAATGGGTTTTTTTTGAGGGTTGACAGTATTCACTGTCACCTGCTACTGAATGATAATGTCATATCTATTTTGTTACACCAAAAGTCTTTGTAGCTCAGAAACGGCAGCAAACCTCGATAATGACATCTTGTTTGTTGATAGTCTGATGTTTACAATCGCTATCGCACCGGCGCTTGATAAAATTGGCTGTTACCGTCAAACGTTCCTGTGACCATCACGGTGGGGGAACGAAGCGGGGAACGCACATTTTTCGTGCATGTGATATTTTTCACTGTCTCATGGCAATATCATCCGTGCCCCTTAAAACCAATGTATTTTCGGAGGGTGACAGAGATTTTTGTTTAATTTACTCCCAACCAATCATATAGCTAGAAATTCACTTGAGGTGTAACAATTATATATATCATATCTAAGATCAAATAATCGAGTGTTCTTCCCAGGATTTCAATTTCATAGTAACTCTTTTCCAGTTTATTTGTACCAGGTAATTTTCTATTTTCCCAATTGGATGCATGGTAGAATACATTTTGGTAGGCCATTTCTAGAAAAACTAGGAAATTGGAATTTTACAAATTATAAACAGTGAAAAAATTAACACAAACTGAAAAATGCTTGTTTTGTATTTTGTTTAACAAGAGGCCCAATGGGCCTGAATTGCTCACCTGGTAATAATCTCACACTTGTAATCTTAAAAGTGGACTAAAATACAGCTACAGGCAGAATATCAGTGTTTGATTCATAAGAACCCATTAAAAGATTTAAGCATATGACGCCGGTGACCTTGAATGTCGAACAATGACATTAGGTTGAACAGAGTTGATAGTCTTCCAACCCAGCAATGCTTCTAGCAAAATATCATTACCCTGGGCCTTTTGGTTATACAGAACAAATCATTTAAAGATTTAAACATATATTGACCACTGTGACCTTGAATATCATTATCCTAGGCCTCTTGGTTATTCAGAAGTTGTTTAAAGGTTTTAAACATATTTGACCCCTGTGACCTTGAATATAAGTAATAGCCATCCATTTGAACAAACTTGGTTGCCCTGAATCCCAGCATGCTACTGGCCAAATATCATCATCCTAGGTTTTTGGGTTATTGAGAAGAAGTTGTATAAAGGTTTTTAACATATATTATACCTTTGTGACCTTGGAATATGTCAAAGTCATTTATTTGAACAACCTTCACAGTAGCCCTTCATCTCAGCATGTTACTGGCCAAATTTAAGCACCCTAGGCCTTTTCATAATTTAAAAGAAGTTGTTTTAAAGGTTTTTAACATATTCAACCCCATGTGACCTTGAATATATGTCAAGGTCATTCATTTGAACAAACTTGGTAGTGCTTCATCCCAGCATGCTACTGGCCAAATATCATCACCCTAGGCCTTCTGGTTATTGAGAAGAAGTTGTTTAAAGTAAAATATTGACGCTGGGCGGACGCCATGGCATAAGCTCACTTGTCCTTCGGGCTAATAATATGTATGTAGCATTTTTATATGCAGTTCATTTGGTCATTGCTATGTAATAAACTAAGTTCTTACTTACTCAGTTTTTCTGACATACTGCCAGCCTGGTCACCGATTGATGATGTTAGAGCATTGGGGGAGTTATAATTACTTCCCCTTATTCACCGTGTAGTGGTGAACAAGCTGTTAAATGAACCTATTCTATGAAATCCCCCCCCCCACCCCGGGAAAATTCATGTGTACCATATGTACACGTAACATTTTCATTTCTTAATATGTTTGAAACAAAAAAATGATGATCTTATACACATGCAAGTACAATGTACTTAGTTGTTAAATCATGTGATAATGCATGTATTTTTGAGAAAAAAACACAAGGTACTTACTTCCTCGACTGTCATGGGTAGTACTATCCGACTGAAAGACATCAATAAAATCATTAAGATATGACGAAAATCATTCACACATGACATTCTCATTATAATTTTTTTTTAATATCTATCAGATACCTATTCCGTTTGCCTATTGCAGAGTTATCTTCTCTTGTGAGCAGGTATTGATTGTTACGTCATTGGTTTGTGTGAGAAAGTTACGTCGTTTTCTCAAAAATTGATGATGTTACTCTCACAAACCAATGGCGTAACAATCAATATCTGCTCACAAGAGAAGATAACTCTGCCATACGCAAAAACGGAATATATCACAGATGTACAACGCCATAAAAATTAATTAAAGCTAGAAATTTTTAGTAATCAGGGCAGGATTTTTTTAAAATATTTAATTTGAAAATACAGGCCAGGCCAATAGAATAGCTCAAATTCTGCCTATGCGTATTGCAGAGTTATCTTCTCTCGTGAGCAGGTATTGATTGTTACGTCATTGGTTTGTGTGAGAAAATTACGCTGTTTTCTCAAAAATTGATGACGTTCCTCTCACAAACTATTGACGAAACAATCAATACCTGCTCACAAGAGAAGATAACTCTGAAATATGCAATGATGGAATAGCTACAGACTGCAGTGATACTGCAGCTAGGATTTGAAAAGGGCAGGGTGTTGACCAGAAAAAATGGCACTTTTTAGCACGCAATGTGCTTTTTAAAGGACAATTTTTAGTGTGTTAGCATGTTTTTTGGGGCAATCAATGAGTAAGTTACTTAATAAATGTAGCGTATATATATATCAGTATTCTTCCCAGAACGTTTTGAAAGAAGCATGGTATTTCAATATTTCTGTTAAAGCAGCACTCTATGTAAAATCAAAGCAGCATGGTTACTTTAGATTTACTATGAATATATAGCAGATAAGATCTAGGATAGCAGCATGGCAAGAAATTACAGGAGCATGGTGCCATGCTGCAAAAACAGCCTGGGGAGGCTGTATATAAATATTTGATATATTTTCTTTGTATATTGTTTTCATTTTATGTTGATTTTTGTGTTTACTCTTTCAATTATGATTCATGATTTAATGATAGTATATATATTATAAATATCCGAATTTTAATTTCTTAAAGAAAAATACCAGTCGAATATCTGAAAAAAAATCATGCTGACCATTAAAGTTAATGTAAAATGACTATTTTTTTCATATTAAAGAATGCTGAAATCATCTCAAACTCATCATAATTGGCATTAAATACAAAAGAAATAGGAGGTATTAATATAAAGTTAAATACAGGGAAAATACTTAATACTAGTTAATGCATGGTAATGACCAAGATATTTTTTTTTGAAAATAGAGGTTATAAAGTCAAATGAACCCTTTTATAAAATAAGTTACGGATTTTTAATATTACAAAAAAAAACACATGGTACTTTGAATCCAGATTTATTTTACCGGTTTCTGGTTCAGTGTTTACTATACTATATATATACATATGTACACACATCATCTAACATTTATTGTGTTGAATGCCTTTGACCTCTCTTTACCACAAGACAGACAGCTTTTGTATTTCCCAATATACAGGGATAGCTTGATCTGACTCTAAAATTTAGTTTCAACAAAATAAAATGCCCATCAGAAAGCAGTAACATGTTTGAAGGGCAGTCATTGACAAACGCAAACTTTTTTTTTTATTCCACGTGTTTAACAATATGAACATTAAGTTTTCATTTTTTCTTGATGCATTTGAAATAAGGTTGAGTTGCAAGTAATTTATGTTTGTTTTCTTCAAATGTTACAATGATTTTCTCTTGCAACTTAGATATATAGCAAAAATATCACTATACTATTTTATTACCCAGGGAACTATACTTCTTTCTCCTGACTATTACAATAACCAATCAATTCTAAAAATAGAATATTGTTAATATTCTATTTTTAGAATTGATTGATTTTTCACATGATGGTTAAGATGTAGACCAATGTCAGCAACACTGTTTCTGTTATAGAAGCTTAAAATACTACGAAAAAATCAAAATAATCAATCTAATTTGAAATTTTCTATATATAACCATGACTGAAGTATTCAGAAAAATAGTCACCATGTGTCCATTCAATATATAGGCCTGGATTAATACCAAATATCGACCTTTTGTATCAACTTGGCAAAAAATCAATATAGTATCTTGCTCAACATATCTTAATACAGATTGATACAAAGTATTTTATTGTAACATTGTAATGTATATCGATCGAGCTTTACAAATCAGTCCAAACTACATCTGTTTACAAGTCGTTCAATCTGTGTTGATCCTACTTTGAACGGCCTTCGCGACGAATGATCCAAACACGAGTGGGGTAGTTTTCGACACCGGCCGCCATTTGACAAACCGAATACGATATCCGATTTGATACAGGTAAATCACACTTAGATTTCAGACGTGATCAACTTACTATTCCGATATATTTGGATGTGTTGGCGACGGCATTTTGCTTCGCAGTTCCCTGTCCCTGTCAGTGTGAGAAACGGGTGGGCCGATCGCAGGCAGAGAGAGATATGACGTCACGTGCGGACTATGTTTAGACAAGTGCTCTTCCGGTACAAACATTTTAGTTTCGAAATATCCAAATAATTATTAATTTCCGGTTTCTTTACAATATTTTTTTTTCAAATATCGTACGTTTATAATAATGACATTAATTATTTTTAGAATTATAATTTTAAAAAATCTGCGTGAGATGAACGGAAGGGTAAAAAAGGTCAAAGTTCATTGTATCGATCGGTTGTAAAACTACCGCGGTGATGGATCTGTTGTGGTTTGGCATTTTTCTGTGCTTATTGGTTCTCATTCTCTTAATATATTTTGTTTATTTGAGGCCAACAAAGGAAAAGAACGTGCAAGAATTTGCATCGAAATATCCACAAGACAAAGACAAGGTAGGGCTCACTAAATGCACGAAGGGAAATAACTCTCATTCTCCACAGCTTCAGCAGTTTTGTTTACATAAAATCTGACATAGCCCTAGGCTAATATAATAGGTACGAATATGACTTTGTATTTCGTTTCAATTTTATTAATTATAAAGGGATTAGGCTGTATATGCATGGCCTTGACATCTATAAAACTTCTTGACTTTATTTCTTTACTGTTATACAAGGTAAATAAATTCAAATGATTTCTGTGTTACTGTTAGTTCTGAGTACTAATTATAATATTTCGTGGTAATATTTATATAATTATCCATTTATAGAATTTAACATGATGGGTTACTTGGCAAAAACATGTTCTATGGCAAAATTTAACATTGTTTCTATGGGAATGATGTCAAAGTGCAACTCTTACTCACTCCGCTGGGATGAAAAGTGATATATGAACAACTGATCAGCCACGGATAATAATATAGAACTAAGAATATAAATATTACCATCTAGGAAACACTGGATAACTCTCAAACAGGATGTCAGTTTTTATAAAAATTTGAAAAAAAAGGAAACTAACATATATATAGTTAATTTGCTCATTTAGGACAAATCGCAATTGGATTGCGTGTACCGTGCCTAAGGTATGGATATATCTTTCCAAAAGGCTTTAGTACAAGTAAAACATATATCCATACGCACCATCAATGCATGCAATCTATAAGAAGTTGGGATGAATTATTACACATTTGCAATTACATGTATAATGTCGCTTCGATAACATACCTTCAGTTATTTGTTATACTGTTTGCGTATATATAGGAATTACTCAGCAAACATTGTGTATAATTACCCCAAATTTATTATATTAATAATGGATTAATTTCCTTCTCCAAAAAAAGCCCTTACTGAACAAAAATGATGTTCTGGACAAAATACTGACATATATCACATACATAACCATATATAGCAAAAAAGTGACGTTAACCTTTTCACCCCTACGCAACTTGAGTATTTCAATTTCAAAGTATTTTATTGACAATACATATATAATACAAACATATAAGTTAACATTAAAGGAGATATTTGAACAGTATTGACAAAAGAATAAGACAACAGGCTTTGCCTATATCAGTCTTCTTCTAATTCCGGTAGATATGTACAATGCTTAAATATATAAAATGTTGTGATTCGTTTCCTCTCACACTCATGCACACCCACACCCACACCAGCTTATGTCTAATACTCGTTATTTAAGGGATAAAACTTGCCTGAATAACAATAATTATAACAATACATGAATATTCATTTGGAAATTTATCTAGCACGTATAAGTAACGAAACGTTTTGATGATTTAATATAAGAGTCAACATGTATAAGAATAGTTTTATTTAATTGGTTGGATGCATTACTAATACCATATACTAAACAGTGCAGATTTAAATATCCTACTAGATTATAAATAGTGGTAATATGATGCCTAATATTAGAATACAGAGGACATTGAAAGAAAAAATGTATTAGATCTTCCCTCTGTACACCACATACACAGGAAGCATCATCAATCAGATGATCTTGTAACTTATCACAGTTAAGATCACTTTTAAAATTTCTTAGCTGACATAAAATTATGTTAAGTTTCCTCGGAACACAGTTAATAAAAGTTTCTGAGACGGATGTATCAAAGGTTTTTTTTAAGTTTCTTTTTAAAAGATGAAATTGAGATGGAGTCTCGTACAGTGCTATCAAGTGCATTCCATTTTACCATTGTAGAAGGGAAGAAGCTATTCATATAAGTAGTAGTTCTTGTCTGTGGTATATTAAAGATATAAAAGATTAAAGCAACTTGAGTAGACTCTCCCATGCATTGATCTGCATGAGTCCATTATGGTCTAAAGTGGTGAAAGGGTTAAATTGTCCTTACTTCAGTTTGTTGCTTTGCCACTGAATAACATTTTCTGATGAACCCCAGTCAAAATGGAGTTCTTGCATTACTTGGGTAATACATCTTGAATCATCATTGTGTGAAATATTGAGCTTTAAATTGCATTGCCTGAAAACAGGTGGTATCTGCTAAAGTAACATTCACCATGGGGTATGTGTTAAAAATAGTATTATACAATATGATTTGAATATTTTGGAAAATCTACAAGGCTTCCTGAAATAAAAAAAAATGGCTTTTAAAATTACGTCCCTAGTAATATATGCAAATTACTACATGGCGGGACCAGTAAACATTGAAAGGGACGGTAAAGTTAATCTGGAAAAGAGTTCATCAGAAAATGATATTAGAGCACTCTGGACGGAGAAAACACAAATCTCAGTTTTTCATCACAAATACAACAAGCCATCAACAAGGTAAACTGGACTGACCAGAAGATTCTTCAGATACATGTAATTAGAATTGAGATAACCTTTAAACAGCAAAGTCCTTATCAGACCACATTTGAAATGGTTACACAGCCAATGTGTTGAATTCAATACATATCAAAAAAGAGTAATTCAAGTCATGGATAATAAAAAGTTGCTTGCTGAGCCATACAGGTACCAATAACAAACTTTTACAGCCCTGAAAAAGCAATTTATTGATACAATTATTGTATTTTTCTGTGTTGAAGAGCATAGAGAAGGAACACTATGATGTGGCCATTGTTGGTGCGGGTCCAGCAGGTGCCACCTGTGCTTACTTCCTGGGTAAGTTAATTTACAACTGTATCATAAATAATTCCACTACTTCAGTTAAAGTGGCAAAGAAGAGTTCCACTCAGAGAGTTTTTGACTTGGAGTAATGTTTGTTCTTTATAGAAAATGTAGTGACCAAATGTTTTATTTTTTCTGGCTCAGAGTAACTTCCCTTGTCAAATTATGTATCCTTCAATTTATTGTTCACATATGCTTTGCAGTCATAAATTGGACACTCATGTTACACAGGAGAAAGGGAACAGAATGGGGTTTGAATAGGGACCTTCCAAACTCTACACTGATGCTCTAGCAATTGAGCTACCTGGTCACCAATGATCGATCTAGTCATGATCAGGGGCGAAGACTTGGAAAGCATTTTTTCTGGCTCAGAGTAACTTCCCTTGTCAAATTATGTATCCTTCAATTTATTGTTCATATATGCTTTGCAGCCATAAATTGGACACTCTGGAAAATTGGACACTCTGGAAAAAGCCTTTTTCCCATCTCCCATTACAGTAGTGCCAGTGACCATGCAATCCTTGTTCCAAGCATTGGGTGTACACTTGGCAAAGGGATACCCGAACATGGGTTGTAAATACGGTGATTTTTTAGGAGCAAAGAGATAAAAAAAGAGGGAGAAATGTAGCAGAACTATACTGGGTTGATCTTCAGTGACCAGGTAGCTCAATTGGCAGAATGTCTGTCTACAGTTTGGAGGGTCCCGGGTTCGAACCCCGGTTTGGCCGTGCATTTTCCCATCTCCTGTTACACTCATTTTGAAGCTGTACATGTATAATTCCTAGATGGCAACATCGGTTAAGTGTGGGGTTGGTAATGTAAAGGTCCTGAATTTGACCCCTGCAGTTTTTCTGTTTTCTATTTTACAAAAATTTGAATTTTGAATCACTTGTAATCAGTAAAGTGCATCACAACATAAGACTTTTATGGAGTACCCACTTCTTTTGAACTTCTTTTTGGCCTTAAGCATGTGTTTTACTATAGAAGCAACAGTTACTAGGTATATGGTTTAATTTTTTGGTACCTTTACCTAAATCTGGTGTTTATTAATGGGTTACATGTTGAGGCATCTGGTAATGGGGCATTCTCTACCAGCCTGATTTCATAGTGATGTCTAAAATGATTTGACAGAATTTAACTTTAAGAAAATTCACAATTGTCACATTGAGCTTTCAAATACCAGCTGCAGATGTTTAGATGTCCAATAAAAACTAGAATTATACATGCAGGTGATTATGTAGGTCACTGTGACCTCTACCGTGACTTCTGACATACGTAACGTGAGACTTGCAACATATAAACTCTTCACTTGATTTATCCAATCCACATGCCCATCACTTCCACCAATTTCTGATCAATCAAAGCGTGGGTATTCACGAAGGCCCCCCCCCCCTTCGAGTTAAATCTAGTTTTAGTTCATCAGCTCATCAGAGCCTGCCAACTTTAAGTTACAGATTAAGAAATGATAGACAAGTTGACTTTGGTACATTAGAAAATAGACAGTGTTAGCTGGAAAATACCAACTACATGTTTCCAGAGTTAGTTTATGTTGACATTGAGTCACATTTACAAGCACATAATTATGATATGGTGTAATATTGAAGTCCTCCCCCCCCCCCCCCAAAACATTTTATCGCTGGTTTCAATGATAATTGCAGTGGCTGAAGTGGTTAAGGTGACTGACTATCTACAATCACTAGCCTTCCCACAAATGGTTAGGGGTTAGAGGCCTACAAGGGGCAGTGTTGTCAGGTATATATATTAACAGGTCAGTTGTTTTTCTCTGGGTAATCTCTGGTTTTCCTCCATAACCAAAACCTGGTTTGACCTTTTATTTAATGTCCATAGCTGTTAATTATATATAAAACACAAACATTTTTTTTTTATTTCAGAACTATTGAAAATTATTCAAATTTTCAATGTTTACTATCGAAATATATATTTGACTAGTAGAACTTTTCAAAATCATCCTGTGGACTAGTGCTCTAAATATGACATACCTGTAGTACAGGCCTGATATAATGACAGCTAGGATACAGGCCTGATATAATGACAGCTAGGATACAGGCCTGATATAATGACAGCTAGGATACAGGCCTGATATAATGACAGATAGGATACAGGCCTGATATAATGACAGAGCTATGATACAGGCCTGATATAATGACAGCTAGGATACAGGCCTGATATAATGACAGCTAGGATACAGGCCTGATATAATGACAGAGCTATGATACAGGCCTGATATAATGACAGCTAGGATACAGGCCTGATATAATGACAGCTAGGATACAGGCCTGATATAATGACAGAGCTATGATACAGGCCTGATATAATGACAGCTAGGATACAGGCCTGATATAATGACAGCTAGGATACAGGCCTGATATAATGACAGAGCTATGATACAGGCCTGATATAATGACAGCTAGGATACAGGCCTGATATAATGACAGCTAGGATACAGGCCTGATATAATGACAGAGCTATGATACAGGCCTGATATAATGACAGCTAGGATACAGGCCTGATATAATGACAGCTAGGATACAGGCCTGATATAATGACAGAGCTATGATACAGGCCTGATATAATGACAGCTAGGATACAGGCCTGATATAATGACAGCTAGGATACAGGCCTGATATAATGACAGAGCTAGGATACAGGCCTGATATAATGACAGCTAGGATACAGGCCTGATATGGATACAGGCCTGATATAATGACAGCTAGGATACAGGCCTGATATAATGACAGCTAGGATACAGGCCTGTTATAATGACAGAGCTATGATACAGGCCTGATATAATGACAGCTAGGATTCAGGCCTGATATAGATCGTGACTTTGAGCAGTTGATCTCCTATCTCTTTGGACTTTGTTCTAGGACATGCTACTGGCTATGACTCGTAATGAGGTCATTCATATACTGGTGTATAAGTACACAAGGGTTGATAAGTACATCATGGTGATGAGGATATAGTGACAGGCCTTTATCAGCACCACTGTTTGTTTAGACTGATAAATGATCACTTAAATCAAGTGTTCCCCACTATACAAGTAGTCAAAACCTCTTCCTGGTGTCAATTTTATCAGTTTTCAATCAGAAAAAATGATATACATGTGTATATTTATATAAAATACATGTATAATTCCTATTTAATGTTGGATCATGGTTTAAACTAATTTTAAATATTTCCAAAAGATCATTCCACTACTTGATCAATTATTCACTGCTTTGTCAATAACAGTAGTTTGAAAGGCTCTTTTCAACAGAATGGTATTCAGTATTTTTTTACAGCCAAGTAAAAAGTTGAAATTTCTTTTAATGCGTACAGTTCAAAACAGTTCATTGGGATTTAGGGATTTCACTTAACACGTACAGCATAATATGGCTCCATTATTCCATTCAATGCATACTTCCAATTACACACTGGTGTTCTCAACAGGACCCTCCATTCCCAAATTCACCAGCCTTATTACTCTCCTCTCCCCAAAGGTGGTTTCGCATTTCTTTTCACCGATTACATCAAGTTTTCCCCACCCAGTTAATAAAATCATCTGTGACCAATGACCATCTCAACCCTGACACAACACCCCATTTCTTTACTCGCATACATTTCATACATAAATGTAATGTATCGATGAAAAGTGTCGATCAGCAGGGGTGTTTATATCTAACAAACCTTACATATACTATTTTGTACCATCTTTGTCTCTAAATTTCATTATAGTTGTGAACTTGATAAGGAACTATTTATAAACTAGGATCATTACAATTTTAATCTGTCATAACACATGTCCAGTATCTCAAGTAGGTATTATCAATCAGATGTCCAATTAGTGACTAATTAAGGCGCTGAATCTGATGTATTGAAAGATGCATTGTGCCCTAGCTGTGGTAAATAAGGTTCATGAGCTGCATAAAGTTACATGGTAATATGTTACTATTAAATTCCGACCACCTGTATAGCTGAACTGCCCATTCATATGTTACAATTTCTATCACCCTGTGAGAATAAAGTTAGTGTAGAAATATCAACAACATGCAGGATACATTGACTGTCTTAATGTGGTTGTTAGTTCACTTTAAAAGCTGTAGCTGAAGAAAAACTCTAAAGAATTGTGTTTTATAAATATAATATCCAATTAACCTAAACACGACTTAAATTAGATGGTTGTTCTTAATTCATATGTAATTGATAAAAGCTGGAGCCTTTTTACCTGACTGTGTCATCAAGAAGTTATCTGGACTTGACCAGTAGTTCCAAATTTCAATTAATGAGAAATATTTTACATTTCATGTACTACAATGAAGAACATACTACTTTGGCCTTAACCCTTTCACCCCTATGTTACTTTAGTAAACTCTTCCATGCTTTGATCTGGATGAGTCCATGACGGTCTACAGTGGTGAAAGGGTTAAATGAACAACAGCTGCCATACTGTTTTAAGTAAAAAAATAGTTTCGCAGGTAGAAGAGTATGGTAGTTTGGAATTGTATGAGTGCCTGACATACCCCCATCCCCCCCAAAAAATAATTGTTTATTTGTCCTGATATTCAACAGAAGCCGTTGATTTTTAAAGAATTTAAAGAAAATAAAAGTAAAAAATCACTTTGCAGGTAAGCTTGGCTGGAAATGTCTGTTATTGGAGAAGAAGAAGTTCCCCCGAGACAAGTACTGTGGGGATGCCGTGTGTAAGACAGCCATAGAGATACTTATGGAGATGGGTATATATGACCAGCTCATCAAGGACAACAAGGCTCATGTTGTAAGTACTGGGTAATGTCGTGTGTAAGACAGCCATAGAGATACTTATGGAGATGGGTATATATGACCAGCTCATCATGAACAACAAGGCTCATGTAGTAAGTACTGGGTAATGCCATGTGTAAGACAGCCATAGAGGTACTTATGGAGATGGGTCTATATGACCAGCTCATCATGATCAAGGACAGCAAGGCTCATGTTGTAAATACTGGGTAATGCCGTGTGTAAGACAGCCATAGAGATACTTATGGAGATGGGTCTATATGACCAGCTCATCAAGGACAAGAAGGCTCATGTTGTAAGTACTGGGTAATGCCGTGTGTAAGACAGCTATAGAGATACTTATGGAGATGGGTCTATATGACCAGTTCATCAAGGACAACAAGGCTCATGTTGTAAGTACTGGGTAATGCCGTGTGTAAGACAGCCATAGAGATACTTATGGAGATGGGTCTATATGACCAGCTCATCAAGGACAACAAGGCTCATGTTGTAAGTACTGGGTAATGCCGTGTGTAAGACAGCCATAGAGATACTTATGGAGATGGGTCTATATGACCAGCTCATCAAGGACAACAAGGCTCATGTTGTAAGTACTGGGTAATGCCGTGTGTAAGACAGCTATAGAGATACTTATGGAGATGGGTCTATATGACCAGCTCATCAAGGACAACAAGGCTCATGTTGTAAGTACTGGGTAATGCCGTGTGTAAGACAGCCATAGAGATACTTATGGAGATGGGTCTATATGACCAGCTCATCAAGGACAACAAGGCTCATGTTGTAAGTACTGGGTAATGCCGTGTGTAAGACAGCCATAGAGATACTTATGGAGATGGGTCTATATGACCAGCTCATCAAGGACAACAAGGCTCATGTTGTAAGTACTGGGTAATGCCGTGTGTAAGACAGCCATAGAGATACTTATGGAGATGGGTCTATATGACCAGCTCATCAAGGACAACAAGGCTCATGTTGTAAGTACTGGGTAATGCCGTGTGTAAGACAGCCATAGAGATACTTATGGAGATGGGTCTATATGACCAGCTCATCAAGGACAACAAGGCTCATGTTGTAAGTACTGGGTAATGCCGTGTGTAAGACAGCCATAGAGATACTTATGGAGATGGGTCTATATGACCAGCTCATCAAGGACAACAAGGCTCATGTTGTAAGTACTGGGTAATGCCGTGTGTAAGACAGCCATAGAGATACTTATGGAGATGGGTCTATATGACCAGCTCATCAAGGACAACAAGGCTCATGTTGTAAGTACTGGGTAATGCCGTGTGTAAGACAGCCATAGAGATACTTATGGAGATGGGTCTATATGACCAGCTCATCAAGGACAACAAGGCTCATGTTGTAAGTACTGGGTAATGCCGTGTGTAAGACAGCCATAGAGATACTTATGGAGATGGGTCTATATGACCAGCTCATCAAGGACAACAAGGCTCATGTTGTAAGTACTGGGTAATGCCGTGTGTAAGACAGCCATAGAGATACTTATGGAGATGGGTCTATATGACCAGCTCATCAAGGACAACAAGGCTCATGTTGTAAGTACTGGGTAATGCCGTGTGTAAGACAGCCATAGAGATACTTATGGAGATGGGTCTATATGACCAGCTCATCAAGGACAACAAGGCTCATGTTGTAAGTACTGGGTAATGCCGTGTGTAAGACAGCTATAGAGATACTTATGGAGATGGGTCTATATGACCAGCTCATCAAGGACAACAAGGCTCATGTTGTAAGTACTGGGTAATGCCGTGTGTAAGACAGCCATAGAGATACTTATGGAGATGGGTCTATATGACCAGCTCATCAAGGACAACAAGGCTCATGTTGTAAGTACTGGGTAATGCCGTGTGTAAGACAGCCATAGAGATACTTATGGAGATGGGTCTATATGACCAGCTCATCAAGGACAACAAGGCTCATGTTGTAAGTACTGGGTAATGCCGTGTGTAAGACAGCTATAGAGATACTTATGGAGATGGGTCTATATGACCAGCTCATCAAGGACAACAAGGCTCATGTAGTAAGTACTCAGGGTAAGAATGAGGTATTTAATCAATTTTCCAAAATTTCCAAATTATTTCCTGTGTGAAAGATGAAATTTGCACTGAATGAATATAGAATTTATGGATAATGGAGAAGTACTGTATTTCACTGTGCTTAAATTTCCTGGTGCTACGTATAAGAATCTGCTTGAGTTTGCCGTCAGACATTCAACTTGATTAAGAAGGTAATTATAACACATCCATGATTAAGAAGGGAATCTGTTTGAGGGGATATCAAACTCATCCATGTTTAAACTGACAGCCTGTAGTATATGATCCTACAGAGGTGTTTGACTTATCCTGGTTCTGTTGTACAACCTGTCTAAGGTTGTGTTCAGCTCAAGAGGACCATATATTCAGCTTGTTTAAGTTTGGATTAGCTTGTGTTACCCTACATTGGTAGGGAAATAAAAATGTAAAATAATAAATAAAATAAGGAAATATTTGTCCCTGTGTAACATGTATATATTACTGATAAAGTTGTGAATTGTATATATTCAGTAATTGATCTGGATGACATCATGTATTAAACATGGAAGCTAGTTCAGCTCTTCATACGTAATGCTATATTTTAATTTCAGTTTTTAGCCAATCTGGCCTGAAAGACCAAGTGCACTTTAATTTATGCTGTGGCATGTTGTCCATCGTCTGTTCATCCGGCATCAATTTTATTACGTGTATTTAAACAATTTCATCTCAATAAACAATAGGCCCTGATAATGATATTTGGCCAATAGCATGCCTAGATGAAGGGCTAACAATGCAAGTTATTCCAATAAATGACCTTGACCCTCTATTTAGTACCCAGGGGTCAAAAATGTTGAAAACTTAAATCAACCTCTTCTCAATAACCAAAAGTCCAAGGGTGATGATATTTGGCAAGTAGCATGCATGTTGGAGTAATGGATTACAAAGTTTGATTAGATGAACGACCTTGACCCCTTTTAAAAAGGTCACAGGAGTCATATTTGTTGAAAACTTTAATCAACCTCTTCTGAATATCCAAAAGTTGCTGGGTGATGATATTTGGTCGGAAGCATGTTGGAATGGGCTGCAAACTTCGTTCAAAGGAATGACCTTGACCCTTTTTCAAGGATGCAGGGGTCAAATGTTTAAGAAAATTTCTAAAACAAATTATTCTTTATAACCAAAAGACTTAAGGTGGTGATGTTTGCCTGTAGCTTAGTTTAGCCAATTTTTATGTGTGAATACCAGGTGAGTGATACAGGTCCATTGGGTCTCTTGTTAAATTTCTTTTGCTAGCTAATTATGTAAGGTATATAGTATCCAACTCATAGAAGGTGGTATATGGTATCTTGAGTCTTCTTGGTTAAAGACTGTTGAAGGAAAGATGAATGTAGTAACAACAATAGACTGGGTGATAAATGCCAGAGACAGGTAGTTCAGATGATTTAAGTGTGTATTTAGGGTTTGGAGAATCCAAGTCAAAATTCTGGCCTGACCTTTGCATTTTACTCCTGCTAAAGTTGTTTCTGTGCTTAATTTGTATTTCATTGTTTGAAGATATTTATGATTTTTTTTTTGTATTTTAAAAGATATTATGGAATAAAATTAGACCACCTACCTAATTTCATTAATGTATTGTAAGATAATTTGATTTTGTGCTGCAGGCAGACAGTGGAGGGCTGTGTAGCCCTGGGGGCCTGAGTTACATTGGACGTAGTAAGGAAGGTCTAGGAGACATACCTGCTGCCATTGCCTGTAAACGAATACACCTGGATGAGGCTATCGCCAAGGCAGCTAGAAGGTACACATTATAACCTCATTAATTAGAATGTCAATAGTCTAAACAAAATCTCTCTGAACTGTTTGAGGAAAAAACTTTGAAATGTTACATTGTCTGTTGACAGACAGTGATGTCAGCTGTCTCGGGAAGGTGCAGGGATACAGAGCTGTTCTTACCACACATTTATGTAACAATTGATTGACAGTATTAGAATGATAGGAATTCATATTGAAACAAATCATAATTTGTTTGACCTACTATTTGTAGGATAGGAGCAGACCTAAGGGAAGAATGGCCTGTGGCTGATGCTAAATTTGACAAGGAAGCTGGACTGTGGACAATTTATCAAGGAAGCAGCTCAGTCACATTTAAATCAAGGGTAAGCAGTCTTCAAAACATGTTAATTGAAATTAAAATGATGATAAATCAACAATTTCAATTGATGAATTTATTTCTAATCAGTTGATATTTAAATAAAAATTATCTCTAGTTTATTATACCCATATAAAGTAAGCGAGTTGGATGGGTATACTTAACAGTCACTTTGTTCATTCATCCTTCTGTCCATTTATGTTTACCTGTGATGCCTCTGTGAAAACTTGGTCAAAATATAACTTACGGTAGCCTCAAGATTTTGCGATAAATCTTCGTACCCATAGATGTATGTTTTGTAATTTAGAGACTGTGTCATGAACTGTAACATTTTAAAGTACAAACACCTAAAGGTAATAGACATGACAAGGGGTCAAAGGTCAACTCATTGATTTTTTTTTACCATTGTTGTAGTGTACCAAATACATAGTCAATGTATATTTTAATTTCAAAGTATTATCCCCCCAAATATTTCCAAAGTGAAGTGTCCTCTCCCCTAATATTTACCTGGTAAAATTTCCCCTCTCGTTTACCTGGAAGCATCATTGATGTCCCTCCCCCTAGCACATTTCGCTTTATTTTGCAGAATCTTAGATTAGTCATATTGGACATTCTGTCACATGGCGTTCTTTCAGACACTTCTATCATACCTCAGCTTTAATTGAGGTAACATTTTTGTGTGTTTTACTAGGTTTTAGTCTGTGCAGACGGTGCCCCTTCTCGCCTCGGGACACAGCTGGGTCTCATCACGAGGCCCCCGGACAGTAACTGTTCACGTGCCTATGTGGAGGGAGGTACTCACAAGTTCAAAGCTGACGGTGTTGTTTTCTACAACAAAGGAATGCTTCCAGGTAAATGGGAGGGGGATTTTTTCCAGGTAAATGGGAGGGGGAATTTTACCAGGTAAATATAAGAGGAGGGGACATTGCATTTCGGAAATATTAGGAGGGATTGTACTTATTAGGGGAAGGGCTATTTTACTTGTGAAGTATGAGGGAAGGGGATAATTTACTTGGGAAATACTGGGGAGAGGTAAATATACATGTATATATTTTACTTGATAAATATGACAGGAGAGGATGTTTTATTAGGGAAATACCTAGTCATCTTTGAAATAGGAAACATCACTTACATTGATCTGACAATACAGAGATTTTGGCCTGTTAACATGAGGGGAAATTACACTTACTGATGAGTAAAGGTGATGAAAAGGCCATAACAAAAAACATATTTTTTTTAGTGGACAATGGACATTTTGTGTGTAAAGATGAAGGTAGGTAGGACATTTGAGCTGTAAAATGATCAAGGAGGATATTTTACTGATGAAATTTGAAATTATGAGAGAATGTCCGGGTCATTTTGCTATGTTTATTTTTCGATATGTATGTTTATTTCTCTCAGATTACAGTTCATCAGTACACCACAGTTTACATTTCCTATAGGCTAGCATGTCTATAAAGAGGCTACACAGATTTATGATACATGTACAAGATGCTGTGAAAGAGATAGGACATTTCAACAGGTGTCAGAGGGAATGGGGTACATGTACATGTGTAGCTATACTTACAGTTTATTGCCTCTTTTAATATTTGTGTTTTGGAAGTGAAAATGTACATATTTCATGTGTTATTGCCTCTGTATGTACAGCTGTATTTGTTGGTGTTGTAGGTTATTCTGCATTGTTCCGTCACCCTAATGATGTCCTGAATTACTGCGTGTACATCATACCTGGGAACCCCAAGGTCACTCCTGATGACCTTTCTTATTGGCATGACAACCTGATGAAGAATGACCCGAACATCAGCAGGGCACTGGGAGATAACTTTAAGATTGAGAGGATGAAAGCTGGTATGTCTTCACCCAAATATTGTCAGTGCTTCGATGTACTGTATAGCAGCTTTGATTTGCTGTTTATAAAGTTTGTTATGTTTAGTCACAGAACAAAAGAAAATTGCAAAAATAAACACAGACCTAGTTTATTAAAGTGCTCAATTAATCCAGAAAACTCACAGTTCAGACACCTATTCTTTGAAAGAGATTCCAAAACAGATATTGGGCTCATTAAATCCAGAAATGTGTGTTCTACATTTAGAACAAATTTGTCAAGAACAGGTCATAACATTCCTTCTATATCAAAAAATATATTTTTATGCAAAATTTTAGGTCAAAGGTTCACACTCAACTGTATGAGTGACCTGACACCCTAATACAGACATACTGTATAAGTTACCTGTGATAATTAATTAGTTGCAAATTGTACAGTTCAGTTCATGCTCTCTTCAAGTATAAAACAAGATCAGAAGTCACAATCTCAATGTTAAAAGGATAGGTGCCCACAAGGTTGTTCTTTGAGCCCCTTGATTTCCTTACACCTATAAGAATTCAACCTTAGACATTCACATATGGTTTAGGCAAGATGTTGATGCATTTCTTTAACAGAAAAAATCCAGCAATCATAGGATTAAACACAGCCTTGTCCTATAAGCTTTGGGGCACCATCCCTTAAGGTTAAGTTTAAATTTTTAAAAAGGTTCCAAGGAAGGACAGTGGTAGATTAATTGTGGGTGACAGTTGAATGTTATTGGATTATCGTCTGTATGTCAGTAAGTTAGTCCAGAGTGAAAGGTGATGTCCTTGATTGAGATTCTTGACCTTTGATCTGTTGGTCAGTCTTTGGTGACTACTGACTATATCAATACAGGTGTAGGTCAGTGGTGGGTGACAGTTTAATTTGTTTCCTGGACCCTGTTCTCATTGCACAGGTTTTTGCTTCTCATCCACTTTTTTAATCATCCAAATAATTGAAAAATGTTAACTATGTGGAAATGCTCTGTTCATAGCTAGATTGAGTAAATTAGCATGACCGTATCCACACACAAATATGTAAATATAGGTTAAAGATGTATAGAACATTTAGATTAAAGAACCATTGCCAGCATGAACTTTTCCGCACCACAATCAGTTTGAAGAGTCATAATGTGAACATTTCCGTACAAACAAATTTCCACTTTTACAATATAGTGTTTTTGTCAGATAATGGAGACTGATCATTTTTTTTTTATCCCCAGCCAGCCTGAGACTTGGAGGGGAGAAGGTGACATACAGTGACCATGTCCTCATTGTGGGTGACGCTGCTGGCATGATTGATCCAATGACAGGTAGGTGGTACAGAGACTGAAGTAGGTGGTACAGAGACGGAAGGCTAAATATATACAGGTAGGTGGTACAGAGACTGAGGGCTAAATATATACAGGTAGGTGGTACAGAGACTGAATGCTAAATATATACAGGTAGGTGGTACAGAGACTGAGGTAGATGGTGCAGAGACTGAGGTAGGTGGGACAGAGACTGAGGGCTAAATATAGACAGGTAGGAGGTACAGAGACTGAGGTAGGTGGTGCAGAGACTGAGGTAGGTGGTACAGAGACTGAGGGCTAAACAGAGACAGGTAGGTGGTACAGAGACTGAGGTAGATGGTGCAGAGGCTGAGGTAGGTTGTACAGAGACTGAGGTAGGTGGTACAGAGACGGAGGTAGGTGGTACAGAGACTGAGGTAGGGGGTACAGAGACTGAGGGCTAAATATAGACAGGTAGGAGGTACAGAGACTGAGGTAGGTGGTGCAGAGACTGAGGTAGGTGGTACAGAGACTGAGGGCTAAATATATTCAGTTAGTGGGTACAGAGACTGAATGCTAAATATATACAGGTAGGCGGTACAGAGACTGAGGTAGATGGTGCAGAGACTGAGGGAGGTGGTACAGAGACTGAGGGCTAAATATATTCAGTTAGTGGGTACAGAGACTGAATGCTAAATATATACAGGTAGGTGGTACAGAGACTGAGGTAGATGGGGCAGAGACTGAGGTAGGTGGAACAGAGACTGAGGTAGGTGGTACAGAGACGGAGGTAGGTGGTACAGAGACTGAGGTAGGTGGAACAGAGCCTGAGGGCTAAATATAGACAGGTAGGTGGTACAGAGACTGAGGGAGGTGGTACAGAGACTGAGGGCTAAATATATTCAGTTAGTGGGTACAGAGACTGAATGCTAAATATATACAGGTAGGTGGTACAGAGACTGAGGTAGATGGGGCAGAGACTGAGGTAGGTGGAACAGAGACTGAGGTAGGTGGTACAGAGACTGAGGTAGGTTGTACAGAGACTGAGGGCTAAATATAGACAGGGAGGTGGTACAGAGACTGAGGTAGATGGTGCAGAGGCTGAGGTAGGTGGGACAGAGACTGAGGGAGGTGGTACAGAGACTGAGGGCTAAATATATTCAGTTAGTGGGTACAGAGACTGAATGCTAAATATATACAGGTAGGCGGTACAGAGACTGAGGTAGATGGTGCAGAGGCTGAGGTAGGTGGTACAGAGACTGAGGTAGGTGGAACAGAGCCTGAGGGCTAAATATAGACAGGTAGGTGGGACAGAGACTGAGGGAGGTGGTACAGAGACTGAGGTAGGGGGTACAGAGACTGAGGGCTAAATATAGACAGGTAGGTGGTACAGAGACTGAGGTTATTGTGGTGTGTCATATTAGATCTGTATGGGTCTGTACTCATAAGACTATTATCATGCTCAAACCACGGTATTTACATTTACCTATGTACTTAATAAGTTCTTATAACAGGATAAAAAGTAAACAATCAATATTGGAATTATTCTCAGCTACAAATCTTGAGCGGAGTAAAAACTGAAATTAAATGAAATGATGAAAACTAACATTGCATTTTAACATGAAATTAAAACCAGCGTCATCACTGAATCTGAATTTGATCATTACAACAATCATATGAAAATGACACCATTTTACAAGGTGATCTTTAAAAACCAGTTGAAATCAGACAATTAAGTGGTAGATTAACCCTAATTGAGAAGAATGAACCTTATGTTATATGAAGGAACACCATTCTCATTAGAATATAGATTGATATTATGCACTACATCTGAGGCTTTAGTACTCCGATAACATGAGAGGCCGCTGGTCGGCCTTTTTTCAATCGGATATGATTTTGCGGGTTACGCGGCGCCTGTCAAAAGTTTTTCGCCGTGTAAAACCTCTAACATTGTTGGAGTAAGGCTTTAGGTGATAAATTAACACTAGGTCTTGTATTTAATCACATTGAAGGAATTCAACTGTATATATCCATTGTGTGTTTTACAGGGGAGGGAATTCACCATGCAATGGAGGGCGGTAAAATAGCTGCCATGTTTTTAGATGAAACTTTGAATAATGGCAGCTTTGGCAAGGAAGTAATGAAGATTTATCATCACAAGTGGATGAACAAGTTTGGTTTTGACTTTCGGTGGTGAGTATTTTATCATCATAGGTAATTTATATAATGAAAAGAATAATAAAATTCTGTTTTGGTCATAGGTTGAAGCAATGATAGCTAGGTTCCCTGAACACAGGTAATAGTCTCGTCGTTAAATACACTTTATCATGGATGTATTGACAAACAAGGCTAGTATCTGTGCCTGAAGCTTACATTGATAGTTAAACAACTATCGTCTGTCACAACATATGCAGTTCATGTGATTTACTACAAGTAACTTTTGGTCGTCTGTATATGTATTCATTGTACACACGGAGGCAAGGTAAATACTGTATTACTTCATCTGAAAGTAGACTCATCCTATACGACAAACAAAATCTTAATCTTGTATGTTTACTGGGAACGTAAGGATTGAAACACATCATTTTTAACAATTATGATGGTACAATGTAATTAACCCTTGTAGGTTGGTTACCAACATATTTTTACCATGTGCTCACCATAATTAAAAAAAAAATATATTCATTTGTGTTTCAAAACTATTCTTATATCTAAGTTGAAAGAAAATACAAAAAAATGATTATATTTTAACTTTCTTGGATTTCTTTTTGGTTAATGATTCACTTTGAATAATCTGATTTACCAAATGGTGGACAAGACATATTTTAGGATTTTATGGTTTACTGCAGCAATGCAGATCAAGTGTTAATGGAATTACAGGTAAATATGGTCAGCTTGTGTATGTATATATAGTTATATGTGTTACACACAGGTCCATGGCGTTCTGTCAGCTGACATACCGCTTCCCCATACTGTTGGATGCAGCCACAGCAGCTGTGATGCGTAAGGGAGATAAGTTCCTGTTGAAGTGGACAGACATCATGACAGGTCTGGGCTAAAATGCATTTCTTTGAAATGTTCAATAGTTCTGGAAGTTTCTCATCCCAAACTTTATAAATATCAACTTCAACATTGTTTTGTTGTAATTCAAATTTGCTTGAAAGATTTATTGTGAAGTTTATTTTTAACTTGATGTAAGAATTTCAGCCTCGAGCACTTTGTTACTAGCTATGTATATACATATTTGCAACTTAGTACTGAAAAAGCTATGTTAAGGATATACAAAAACTTAATATTTCAGGATATGAATTTTGTTTTGTTAAGTCACTGTTTTATTTATGTTTTTTTGTTGTTGTTTACAGGTCGAGCACCAAAGATTCATATGCTGAAGCCTGAATTTACTCTCACTATAACCTTTGAACTCATTCGGCTCTGTGTCCTTAGATTGTTTGGGAAGTCTATTGGAAATCAGAAGAAATCAGAGTAAAACATTCCAGGGATATTCTTGTATAATTTTATATATTTATTATTTTGTTTGCTGTGAAATTAACCGGATCTCCAATTCATTCCCATAGTATATACTTTTCAGGGAAACAAACTTTAGTTAAGTTTGTTTCATGGAAAGCTTATCAAATGGGAACAAGTTTGTGACTCTTTTTATCATATACACATCCATAGACAGGAAAAAATCAAAGGAAAACATCAACAGTTTTGTCTTTGCCATGACTTTTTGATGGCTTCATTTTATTCTATGTGATGTCCCTTTTGGTGATGTTATTAGTATTACATATCAGGAATGTTTGGGCTGGTTTTATTACATATCGTCCGTAACGTAAGATCATTATAGATCCAGAGGCAGAGTAATGTTAGGCTCAGGTAGGCATGTACCTGGTACCCGTTCATAATTGTGTCCACTGTGCTTATTTTTGCCCTCTGTGGTCTGAGTTTGGTCACAGGTGGAGACAGACTTATAAGTTCTGTCAAGTTGTTGATCATTTATATATATTTGTTGACCTCCAATTTTACTCAGTACCCTGAGATCTATCATAGTGTGACATTTAAGTAGTATCTGTGCCATCCTTAAAGTGCTATACAGTTTGATGATACTCATAATGTTATGACATTTATTTCCAGTATTTATTATTATTTTTATTAACATCCATCAAAATGGAGAGTGTTGAGATCTGTTAAGATTCCATTCAAACAAGTGCCAAATTAGGAGATTCAGAAAAATTACATATATTAGATTTTCCATACATTTGATGAATTACCATGAACAATTACAATCAGCATGCATGTACAGTGTATATAGTTGCTTTCTTATGAATGATACATCAATTTGCAAAATGTGGAAAAGATAACATACCATATGTCTTTTTGCATCAAAATATTGTAACATTACACTAAATGTCTCAATGATGTTGATTTATTATGCTCAATGATAGATTCTATGCAATGTAGTTTCAGATTGACAAACACTGTATACACAAATGTACTGATTTATTTATGAATCTATTGATAGCAACATTTAATATTTTTTCCATAATATTGAGTTGAATTTTACTTTACATGTTCAATGTATAATGCTATTTTCAATTTAAATTGTAAAATTAATATTTAACATAATTGCATGATTTTGTCATATTGTACAAATAATTATTAATTAAAAAACGAATCCAATCTATCAGTTTTTTGATATCCTACATACCTCATGTGTGTCCCTCAATTACTTATTATCAAGTTTTGTTGTCCTTCAATGTCGTAATATCATTATTACTAACTCAAGTGTAGTGTGATGCCTCAATTCCTTTATAATTTTTTCATAGCTCATGTTTAGTTCCTCATTTCTGCAATGGCTTATACAATTATATAATTACCTTTTATAGTTAAAGTAAAGTCCCTCAATCTAACTTCCTGTCTACCTCAAGTGTAGTCCCCGAATTCTTCAATATCTTATAATTACCTTTTTAAGTTCAGTTAAGTCCTTTAATCTAATTTCCTACCTATCTCGAATGCATTCCCTCAATTCTATAAAACCACTTTTTTCATAGCTCAAGTATAGTCCATAAAATCTGTAATATCTTACTTTTTTTAGTTCAAGTATATAGTCCCTTAATCTAATTCCCTACCTACTTCCAGAGTAGTCCTACAATTCTATAAAATCCGATTTTTCATAGCTCAAGTATAGTCCCTCAATTCTGTAATATCTTACATTTTATAGTTCAAGTATAGTCCCTCAATTCTGTAATATCTTACCTTTTATAGTTCAGTTATATAGACCCTCAAAGTAATGTCCTACCTATCTCGATTGTAGTTCCTCAATTCTATAAAATCTCATCTTTCACAGACCCTCAATTGGCTCAAATTTAGTCCCTCATTTCTGCTATTTCTTAAAAATTTCATAAATTCAGATTACCCCTAATTCTGTAATAATTTACCTTTCATAGGACCAGTTTAGTCCTCTATTTTTGTAGTATGCTACCTGCGTTACCTACTGTAATGCTGTTAATGCGTTAACACCCTACCTTTTATAGCGCAAGTATAATTCCCAAATTCTATAATATTTACCGTACCATCTATTCCGTCTTTGCGTATTGCAGAGTTATCCTCTCTTGAGAACAGGTATTGATTGTTACGTCATTGGTTTCTGTGAGAAAATTACGTCATTTTCTCAAAAATCGATGACGTTACTCTCACAAACCAATGACGTAACAATCAATCCCTGTTCTCAAGAGAAGATAACTCTGCAATACGCAAAGACGGAATAGTATCACAATTCTGTAATATCCTACCTTCCATTGCTCAAGTTTATAACCAAAATTCTATAATATCTTACCTTCCATTGCTCAAGTTTATAACCACAATTCTGTAATATCCTACCTTCCATTGCTCAAGTTTATTATCACAATTCTGCAATATCCTCCCTTCAATCGCTCAAGTTTATAACCAAAATTGTATAATATCTTACCTTCCATTGCTCAAGTTTATTATCACAATTCTGCAATATCCTACCTTCAATCGCTCAAGTTTATAACCACAATTCTGTATTGATCTACCTTTCCTAGTTCAATTGTAGTCCCTTCAATCCGTAATAGCCTACATTCCGTAAGATATTGAATTCCAGGTTGTCCTACCTTCTATAGAGACCCAGTAGTATTCCCAACTAATACTGTTTTCTTCAGAAGCGACTCTATATACTGAAAATGAAGGAAGATAAACATTTCTGTTAGAACTTATAAAATGCATGTAAGCATATTTACGTTAAGAATAGATGGAGTAAGAGTCAAACACTAATTGTAACATGTAATGCAGAATAGTGCTTTAATGTAACAGGGTATTTTAAAAAATGAAATTTATCTAATTAATAGACTGTTATTATACCTGTAGGCAGTAGAAATACCTTTGAAGCAAAGATGACTTTTTCCGTTGGAATATTTTAACATTTTTTGTAGTTTTAAGGTTTATTTCCTGGGATGATTTTCCCATTTACGACATGTATTTCATTACACAATAGGACATTTTATCTCATGTTTTATGTAGTGTGTTACCGTAGTTAATTGTTTTTATATTTAACTTATGCTCCAACGAATTATTTTGTGTTACGTTTCCAATGGTATATATCTTTCAATATCTCATGTGTTATTTTGATTGATCAATTTGACTGCTATTATGTTTTCTGTTAATTGCATATGTATTTTTGTTGCTGACCTTTTTTCTTTTATTGTTATTCTGTGTGAGTGTGTGAAATATAATTTATATACCTGGACACAGTCATTCTGTGTGTGGCAGTATTCATTCTAATTAATGATGAGTTGTACCATGTGTACGTGGACACAGTTATTCTGTGTGTGGCAGTATTAATTCTAACTGCTGGTGAGCTGTACCATGTGTACGTGGACACAGCAGTATTAATTCTAACTGATGGTGAGTTGTACCATGTGTACGTGGACACATCAGTATTAATTCTAACTGCTGGTGAGCTGTACAATGTGTACGTGGACACAGCAGTATTAATTCTAACTGCTGGTGAGCTGTACAATGTGTACGTGGACACAGCAGTATTAATTCTAACTAGTGGTGAGTTGTACCATGTGTACGTGGACACAGCAGTACTAATTAATGATGAGTTGTACCATGTGTACGTGGACACAGCAGGATTAATTCTAACTACTGGTGAGGTGTACCATGTGTACGTGGACACAGCAGTATTATTTCTAACTGCTGGTGAGTTGTACCATGTGTACGTGGACACATCAGTATTAATTCTAACTGCTGGTGAGCTGTACCATGTGTACGTGGACTCAGCAGTATTAATTCTAACTACTGATGAGTTCTACCATGTGTACGTGGACACAGCTATTCTGTGGGTGGCAGTTATACCATCATAATTCATGATGGGTTATAATATGTCATGCTAAACTGAACGCAGTAATTTTATGTTTGAAATAACTTTGTTCATGTTTGAAACTACTCGGGTAACACAAATACTGTCATTATATGCCAATATGTGTACGTGGACACAGCAGTATTAATTCTAACTGCTGGGGAGCTGTACCATGTGTACGTGGACACAGCAGTATTATTTCTAACTGCTGGTGAGTTGTACCATGTGTACGTGGACACATCAGTATTAATTCTAACTGCTGGTGAGCTGTAACATGTGTACGTGGACACAGCAGTATTAATTCTAACTGATGGTGAGTTGTACCATGTGTACGTGGACACAGCATTATTAATTCTAACTACTGGTGAGTTGTACCATGTGTACAGGGACACAGCAGGATTAATTCTATGTACGATGTGTACGTGGACACAGTTATTCTGTGTGTTGCAGTATTAATTCTAACTGCTGGTGAGCTGTACAATGTGTACGTGGACACAGCAGTATTAATTCTAATTAATGATGAGTTGTACCATGTGTACGTGGACACAGAAGTATTAATTCTAACTGCTGGTGAGTTGTACCATGTGTACGTGGACACAGCAGGATTAATTCTAACTACTGGTGAGGTGTACCATGTGTACGTGGACACAGCAGTATTAATTCTAACTGATGGTGAGTTGTACCATGTGTACGTGGACACATCAGTATTAATTCTAACTGCTGGTGAGCTGTAACATGTGTACGTGGACACAGCAGTATTAATTCTAACTGATGGTGAGTTGTACCATGTGTACGTGGACACATCAGTATTAATTCTAACTGCTGGTGAGCTGTACAATGTGTACGTGGACACAGCAGTATTAATTCTAACTGCTGGGGAGCTGTACCATGTGTACGTGGACACAGCAGTGTTAATTCTAACTACTGGTGAGTTGTGCCATGTGTACGTGGACACAGCAGTATTAATTATAACTGCTGGTGAGCTGTCCCATGTGTACGTGGACACAGCAGTATTAATTCTAACTGCTGCTGAGTTGTACCATGTGTACGTGGACACAGCATTATTAATTCTAACTACTGGTGAGTTGTACCATGTGTACAGGGACACAGCAGGATTAATTCTATGTACGATGTGTACGTGGACACAGTTATTCTGTGTGTGGCAGTATTAATTCTAACTGCTGGTGAGCTGTACAATGTGTACGTGGACACAGCAGTATTAATTCTAACTACTGATGAGTTCTACCATGTGTACGTGGACACAGCTATTCTGTGTGTGGCAGTATTAATAATTCTAACTACTGATGAGTTGTACCATGTGTACGTGGACAAAGCAGTATTAATTCTAACTACTGGTGAGCTGTACCATGTGTCCGTGGACACAGCAGTATTAATTCTAACTGCTGCTGAGTTGTACCATGTGTACGTGGACACAGCAGTGTTAATTCTAACTACTGGTGAGTTGTGCCATGTGTACGTGGACACAGCAGTATTAATTCTATGTACCATGTGTACGTGGACACAGTTATTCTGTGTGTTGCAGTATTAATTCTAACTGCTGGTGAGCTGTAACATGTGTACGTGGACACAGCAGTATTAATTCTAACTACTGGTGAGTTGTGCCATGTGTACGTGGACACAGCAGTATTAATTCTAACTGCTGCTGAGTTGTACCATGTGTACGTGGACACAGCTATTCTGTGTGTGGCAGTTATACCATCATAATTCATGATGGGTTATACTATGTCATGCTAAACTGAACGCAGTAATTTTATGTTTGAAATAACTTTGTTCATGTTTGAAACTACTCGGGTAACACAAATACTGTCATTATATGCCAATACAATCGGAACTTGCTGTATTACATGGAAGTACAATCGGAACTGATTGGGAAAGCCTATAGAGGAAATTATCTATATTACCTTTCAAATTAGTCATATCATTGATGGTATTTGTTTGGCTATTTTGTGAATATCACGACTAAACAACTTTGAAATCTATCTAGGGGCTCTGTTTGCTGTATGCATGCGTTCTACTCACCCTTGGAATAATATTAAAAAACCAGGTATTATCCTAGCGATTGGACAGTATTTTTTAAATCTGAAAGCAAATAATGCCAAACAATGCGTTTTCGATTTTCCGTGACATATTTCGAAAGCGGAATCCGTGTATTATTAAGATGTAAGTAAGAGGTTTTAATTACAGTCAGGAAATGTGTACCTGTGATTTTTTTTTATTGAAGACCGTTACACGGATAACATGGTCACTGAAGTGGTCAGGTGGTATATGGTAAAATATGTAAAAAGAGAGAATTCCAATAAAAAATCATGTTTCGGAGTGTTCCTTTTTGTGTTTCTGTATATCTAAACACTTGAGTTCTGTTGAATATTGTTGTCACAAGGACTTGACTCTCACGAATGAACCCCTGCAGTGTGAATTCGGACTCCGGTAGCACGGAATACTGAGGACAGGTCTGTCAGTAATGTTTTGGTGCGTGTAAATATAATACATTGCCGATCGATGTGAGGTAAAAATTAGGTCACTAAAACCTAAGGGATCATATGTTTTGAGGGTACTAGCGTTTTCCCTATGGGATCGTTTCAATCTAGGGCCGTGTATCATTACAATAATATTTAATATGAAATTAAAAAAAAACATCAATAAATTTGGCGGAAAAAATAACACACTTGCCAAAAAAAGGAGAATAAGATAAGATGTTCCGGAAGGGTAAGCGTTTCCTACTTTGCCGACGACACTCACTATCTTCATCAACCTTCATCTTTTGTACCTTGTTGGGTTTTTGTTTGGGTTCTACATATGTCGCATGATATTCGGAGAAAGAAAAATTGTCTGCGTCATTTAAACTCAAGCACTTGGGGAAGCAGGAATGTAGCAATTAAGAAAGATAATTTATTGTCACCGACTCGGCAATTTTCAAGTTAAATTAACTCATGTAAAAATTTAAGAGGGATTAAACAGTTAAATTCTCAAAGTGGCGACCATCGGCTTTCCTAGCAAACTCGAATCACTTACACAAAACCTTTTTGTGCCATTGATTTTAACACTAAGATTTAATCAAGTTTGTTTATCGGTCCTTTTGTCTAAAACTGGCAAACGCCAATCGGAGAAAATCATGTAGTGGAATGACGTGCTATGTCTTCTACCGGATCAGATGAGAAAACAAATTTTGATTTACATTTGAGTTTTACATTTACATAATAAATATATTAATTTAGTATTGATCTATTGACCCTCAAAAAGAACAAGGATAATATGACCATATGTTCCGGAAGGTTAAGCATATTCTGCTTCATTGACGACACTGACCATTTAAATTTCGGTGAAATCCTAATAAAGTCTCCTCCTGAAAGTGAAAGTCGGGGTAGTGACAGCAAAATCACAAGACGTTTTTATTGGGTAAAAATGCCAATATTACTATCGAGCAAGTAATTCAGAATTCTCTATTGATCGTAAACTGATATAGTTTATAGATACAACCTTTGCATTAAACTTAATTACAACAAATATGCCCAGGACCATTCCATTAATACAACATTTGATTATCTATTAAATAATTTGCTCGTAATATGTTTGCTTGATGGACACATTTTCTTAAATTACACAATTCTTTCGTATTTACAGATGATGGAAATATCACTAATTTAAAGACGGAGGGATTTATTCGATAATAGGGTTGAATATATTTAGTTCTCAAATCATTATACAAAGGGCATTTTTAACATGAAATGATATTCGTCCTCGATGTCATTAAGACACACAGGGCAAGTTCGAAGCTGACGTTGTACTAGTTGCTGTCAGCATTCTACATAATTATATAACGGAAATAAAAATGTTGATATTCAGGAAAACTAGTGAATATTGAATCGTCTGCGACATGTAAACTTATCAGGATGGGGATACAGGAATGTAACAATCAAGAAAAAGAATTTCCATGACTGGAAATCGAAATGTCACCCTTATCGTATGACTTAGAAGTGCTCTTACCAAACTCATGTGATACATTTTAACATCGAATTCAAGAATTCTCGTGATTTCATCCTATATTTTGTTCACAATATGTTTGCATTGACATTTCTCTTTCTCGGTAAAGAAAACTGACAAGAGAACGGAGGCGTTCCTTTAGTTTTGTGTGACGTATAGTAGTGTACATGTAGTCTAAAATTGACAATTTCTGATAGAGGATACATTATCTTTCAGAAAAAAACTGTCAAGCTTGATCGAAAGATCTTTCAGAGATCTGTAAATTCCACTTCTGGTGTATACATAGACGTACTTGTCGTATTACTGCATTTCTATAACATTGGTTGATTAAGAATGATAGTAAGCCTTATTGAATACATATTCGCTTGAGCAACAAGCATAGCCAGTGATCAAACGTTTATATTATGAACTTTTGTAGAGTTTCAGAACAATGAGACAGGTCCATATCTTCAATATTAATCGGTATTAGGAAAGAATTAAATGCGAAAGCAAACTAAACTAGTATGTCGTCTTTATAATACTTGACAATGTTTAAGTAGGATTTCCTTGGTTATCACACACACATAATTCTTTCTTTCTGACAACAGGAAATGAATATATATAATGTCATTAGCAGACCAGGATTATGTTGTTGGATACATTATCTACCGACAAAACCACATACTAGATATATGCAGATCACTGATTGTTGTTAGATTGGGATCAAGGAATACAATGTACAATTGCATTTTCTTTCAATGTTTTAGAACGATTGGTGTAATAGACTTACTTTTGTATATGCCGCTGGTATGCTAGCGTCGAATGAATTGTTGTGAAATACAATACTGATTTTAATGACATTCACTCCTTTGTTGGCTTGTTCGACTTTAACATACTGAGTTACTGGAGATTGGCGACTGTCGGTACGAACAAGCCTAACGTCTTTAGGAGAGAGTAACTAGAATTTATGCCTCGATATCAATACTTTTGCAGTTATCTCAGCTGGTTTCCAAAGGTCACCATGCACAGTTTTGAATTAATCCTCATGTGCAAATACAGTGATGTTGGAACACGGTGGACACCTAACGGTTCCTCAGAAGTTCCTATGAGTGATGTTGGAACACGGCGGACACCTCAAGGTTCCTCGGAAGTGTGCCTATGAGTGATGTTGGAACACGGCGGACACCTAAAGGTTCCTCAGAAGTTCCTATGAGTGATGTTGGAACACGGCGGACACCTTAAGGTTCCTCGGAAGTTCCTATGAGTGATGTTGGAACACGGCGGACACCTAAAGGTTCCTCAGGAGTGCCTATGAGGTCCCTTAATGTAATATTAGTTGGACTGTTGTTACGTCGATACCCATGACTGCGATCACGCTTCGTTTGGAGTGAACAGACATTACATTTGTATGACTGCAATTTTATCACATTTCTCATATAGTCTTGTAAGAACTTGTGCCCAATCCCTTTGACTGTTTAATGTCAATAAAATGTTTGAATGAATAGAGTCTGTACGGTCATAATATCCAAATGGCAAAACAGTGTCTTGATTATAAAGTGTTCCTCTCGTTTCGTACTTTACGGGTACCTAGTGGTATGATAGGTATGTTAACATGATAAATTTGCACTAGAATGATATTATCTATGGTTCACTGCCGAAAGATGACCATTCTTTCGCTAAGGAATTTTGTTTTGTTTCATCGGCACAATATCATAGCATTTGGTTGTACAATTCAGGGGTTCAAACCTTCTGGTGGAATATTTTTGTTCGTGAAGGAATTATTTTATCTCCTGTAAGTAATAAGAACACTGCAGGTCTAGTCTTACAATTTTTAGTGCAGCATTTGGAAGTTCTAAAAATCAGATGTGTCTGAAAAGTGAAACAAATTGATTAATTGTGTCATGGTTTCATACGTACAGATGCGTCAAAAGTTTTACGAATATATCAATTGAGTACTCAGTCCTTAATACTAGAATTAGTACATAGAGGATATACCAATTGGAACCCTTACTTCTACTCGCCAAATGAACCATGTTTAAGTTAAATCAAATTATCTTAACAGTTTGAAGAGATTAACAGTCAAATTCTCAAAGCGATGAGTCGCGACTTCCATAGCAAAGTTGAATAACTTACAATAAACTTTTGTGTGCCACTAATTAGCAAACTAAGATTAATTCTCGCTTGTATTTCAGTCTATTTTTTCTGAACTGTAAAACACAAATCTGAGGAGAATTTATGTTCTTCGGAATGTTTAGCGCTTCCTGCATTATCTTGCGGTACTATTCATGCTCCAGGTTCCTACAAAATCCAGGAGAGAAAAACTACCGATTTACATTTAAATTTTACATTACCATAATAAACGCATTAATTAGAATTGATTTGGTCATACACATGTAACGCTTTAACGTGGAATCAATAATTACCGCCAGTAACTCAGGATAAAGATTCCCTCGGGCACCAGTTCCCCGGAATGTTATAACATAATGCCACTTCTGTGAATGCCAGTAAAGCGCTATTTGTTCGTGCTAAATAACTCAAGAAAATGATCGACTCTCTATCTCACCAATAGTTACATAACCTTATTGTTTTATTGGATACCGTATCTATATTATTTTTGCAAATCTACAAACGTCCTTGTTGTAGCCCGTGTTTTTTTTTTTTTTAAATCACACCTTTATTGCTTTTTCTGTTTCTAGAAGTCTCTTGTGTATGCTAACATTCAGTAGTGTTGAAATCAGAATACTGGCATGTGCTGTAATGCTATTGTTGAATTATTATGTTTTTATGCATGTAAACCAAAACACAGGAATGCCATGAAACATTTAGTGTAGTAATAGGTGACCCAGACAAACCTATTTTTTGAAAAATACAGGTAACTGCGAAATCAAATTACCAAAACACATTATATATCGCTAGAAAGGTAGTTCAATTGCGTTTAATTCTGGATAAATAAATATTGTTTATCATCAATTTTTTTCTCATTATTTGATTGTGATGAATTTAACTCATTTTTTGAATTTTTCAAAATCACAAATAAATATTTCTTAAAATTTCTCTTACCCCAAAATTTGTACAATGTGGACGACTGAAAGCACGTATACCATCAATGTGCTTTGATACAATATCTAAAAGGAAACATTTCTTTTCGTTTTCACCTGTTTTCTGGGAACACCAGCAAGCCCTTAATAAGTTTTCTATAAATTACGTGGTATACAGGGAGGCTCGGGTATAACAATGACATAATAAATGTTAAAAGAAAACGCACTTAAATCCTTAAATAAAAACCATTACCCGTTTCTCTCAAAAGATACCTACAAAGAATATTCAGACTATTAAGATAGCTGTAAAGTCATTCGAATTCTCTAAATACTCGTATATATCCTCAAACAGATATGAATTTGATGATACGTTGCTAACATTGATTATATTTGTATAAATAAGGGGACATTACCCTTGAAACACGACCAACACGAAAATTAATATGAGGGGAAATATTTTTGTCAGTTTTTTGTAATATTCCGTTTTTGTGGACAAATTGATTTACCTTAAATGAAATAGCATACAACAAAATAAATTATTGGCACGTTAGGTGTTTACCAGTATAGAAAGGAACTTAATTCTCCCGATAAAAGGATAAACTGGCCAGGTATTAGTTGAATTTCGTAATACAGTTAAACAATCGTAAAAGTTTACCAAAGGTCATTTATGCAGTCATTCTCAAATACTTGTCCGGAATTAAAGATTTAAAACAACTCAATCTTGAAGATTTTATCTGGTTTATTAGATCAAAACGTTGTCAATTCATTGTTAAGGTAATAGGAATGTGTCGCCATTTCTCAGCAGAATTTATTCAAATTTTGTAGTTATATTGCTTTGAAGTAAAGAAAATTTAGGTTGTCATAATTTTAAGGATTTTAAATGGACATTTATGTTAAAAGGATTGAATTTTGAAAAAAGACTTGAAACACACATTTCTTTTGCATAATAATGTCAATAAAAATGATACTAACATACTGTTCTGTCAATAATAAGCATACAATATTCATCAGTTTAATATTAAACATTAGAATATGCGGAAATTGTGATACTGTCTCCCTACATTGGATTTTCAACTAGGGATGTACTTCCTACTTCCGTTTAGCAATACACTCCTATGACCTTAAGTGAGAGGAGATATGTTGCAACTGACCTCATTTTATCACATTTAACAATTGTATCCGTATGTGCTCATTTTATCACATTTAACAATTGTATCCGTATGTGCTCATTTTATCAGAATGGATGTGAGCAATTGAGTACATGATGATCCTGTTTGACAACGTTAGGTCATCATATGACTGGCATAGAACAAGTTGTACACTTTTTCTATCTAGAGAGATCCTACTGTTCACCAAACTGATAAGTTACTCAGCCATTAACTGGAAAGTGGTGATGTGTAATGTCAAGGTTGTTCCAGATTGTGTACAGCTATGTAATTATTTATGATAGTCTTCAGTTGATTCCTTGTAATCTCTCATCTGTATCTCTTCCGACCGACTTGATGGATATAGGAAGTAAAATATTCCGTTAAAACATGCTAATAGTTTTCTAATTGCGACATTGTCATAGTCACAAACATTGTTAAAACCTCCTCAATTTAGTCTTGAAAAGACAAGCGCTCCCGTGACAGTGACAAACTCTGTGTAAACGAGTGTTCGTTCTGGTAGTTTGCGTTGACAGTTAGATTAGATCGACGCAGGGATTGGGCCTCCCTGCTCGCTCTCCCTTCCTCGCCTCTGACGATGTGCAACGTCATGGATTTCAGATCATTGATAAAGAGGCCACATATCAGTGTGATAAAAACAATTATACCCAGAATCCCTATAACCACGTGAACCATATTAGGAGTGACAGAGAAAGTTGTTGTGTTGTTTTCGTTTTTGTCCACTTCCGTCGCAAAAGTATTCGATATATTCTTTGTATTAAAAATTTCAGACGAATTGTTTGTCTTTACGTCGTTGATTGATGAATTTAATGTCTCCGAAGCCTTATTTTCTAATTGATAATTCTTGGCTAAAAGGTAACTTAATTTCATACTTTTATCAAGCCCACTGGTGTTTACTTCCCTTTTAGACTTTGGAAAATTGTTTTCTGGGACTTGCTCCTGCATTTCGGTTGATTGAATATTTATTCTCCATGTGTTTTGAGTATGTAGTTTAGATGTTAATACAACCGTAGGCGATGCCAGTGAACTAACATCTGTAGTTGAAAGTAAAGATAATCTGATTTTATCGATGAACGGTATTGAACCTGTAGATGCACTGACTGGTGAATTCTCTAAGCAGGGGAGATCCTGTCTGGAATGGTTTGTTTTCCGTTCACCTGCAACAACAAGCATCGTTGAAAATTAGAACTTAGTTCTTTGACTATTGTTGTTTAAAAGAAGATTTTTAAATCCCAATATACGTCAAGCGATCACTTTGTATCTGTTTTCATCGTGATAGCGGCAGATTGAAATTGGAAAAAAAACATGGTATATTTCGTATGAAAACCTACACAGATTCGTGCAAATATTTATGCAACAACTTTGCCAAATAAACTCATCTGGAAGATGTCGTTTCCAGAGGTATACGTATAACAAACGAATGTGTTTTGCTCATTCGCTGTAAAACATGTGAATTGATATGATCATGCTGTATAATGTGTATTTTTGGCGATTGTCTTCTTCCTGGGTTTCCACGGTAGTCGGAAACTGCCAATCAACACTTATGCTAACCTTTCTATTTGATATACTGCATGGAAATGATCTACAGAAGGAAAAGCAAGTCTGTTCTGTTATTATATCATTCCTTTCTAAACGCAACTGGTTTTTTTTTATTAAAAAGGACTGCTTTATCTCCCTTTCCATTTTAGCCGTCATGCCAACGGTAAGTGTACAATGCGTAAATAGCCATTCTTTGCTCTAAACCCGGAAATAACACATTCTAATAGTATATTTATATACCTATATCTGCAATGTACTTATTTACTCACCTGGTTCAAACTCGCATAAAGCGGTTTTAGTCTTGTAACAGTTGTCAGCCGTCCATGTGTCTGAGAGGGTATCTAGTACGCCACAACGTCCACGGCGACCGTCGTTCAAAAAGTTGCGCATGCTCTTTTGTGGAACATACGTTTGATGGCTACAGTCACGTCTGCTCCAGTTACCGTTCCCGCCTATATTCTGATAGTTTACCCATGTCTGTCTGTTCCGTCTGTAACATGTATGTGAAGAAAAAGTTTGAATATCATAATCTTTTTCATTAAATATTACATGTTTTTAATCGCGGTAATTACAATTTTTCATGTTATCATACATATACAACATTCTGTGTACACCTGCTAACTTATTTGATAAAGAGTGATTATGCTTATCATGTTTTCATATTTTATAAGAAGTTCCATTAAATAATAATATTATAATGTGATGAGACACAAGAGGAAAACTTTAGTAAATTATATTATTTATATAAATCAGAACATTACACTACTTAAACGAATTACTACAACATGCCGAATTTCACTAGTTCACTAATAATTGTTATGCATACTGCATTGTATAATAAAATAAGAACAAATCTTATTTACAGTAAATGACTTGGGAATGCCGACAAAAACAAGACTTCTTGGTAGTTGTCAATGGTAACCAAATAACCGGAAGTGTTGTGTGTCGCAAGATTTGCGCATGCCAATTCCGCCTCATTCCACGTAACTTTTATACCCACGAATCCGTAGCAGTGACCATTGAGTTGATTGTAGACAGACGACGTAGGACAATACATATGATGTTTACTATCTGAAACACAAAGTGTCATCATTATTGTAGTTCTAGTACATACATTGCTCGTAAAGCCAATAGTACTCATTATTGTATCTAACTAGTCCATCGTTTCTATGTAAACACGTCATAATCACGTCGTTGAGAAGGTTGATGTGACGTTTCTATAATTTCATCTCCCAAAGCTACCCTTAAAATGTAATACTAGCGATAATTACAATAACATGGAAATAACTTCTCAGTAAACGGTTTTGTAGCGTTAAATGCCTTTCGGTGAATGAACCATAAAACTTTTCTCCATACATGGTTAAAAGTCGGACACATTTGGAATATTTAAGACAAAATGTCCTCTAAACTAAGCGATACCGTACCGCGTGTTAGCCTCTAAACGAAGTGATACCGTACCGCGTGTTAGCCTCTAAACCGATATACCGTTTCGAGGCTAGACGTTTCCCTTGTGGTATTGTCAGACACCTACAATCCTCATAGCTTATAGTAAGTACACGTTGTCACGTAGTCTTACAGCAGAACCACCATAAGATTAACTACAAATCGATGTAAGAACATTTACAGAAATATTTTTGCATTGTTGTTAATCCTCAGGTAAAAAAAGACCGGTCTAATAGCGTGTTTCCCATTTCTATCCAACCTCGTTTCGATGTTGAATGTAGGAAGACTAAGAGAATGTGCTGCAATGAAATTAAACACTTTCTGATGTGCAGTTTTAATGTTTAATGGTATACCTTCTCATAAAATAGCATAGTGCCTCAACGCATTTACTATATTGCGGCTCCATTTTTGGTATCTCGTCGTGCTATAAGTTTGTAGACTCTAAACGTTATTAACAGCAACTCCTGATACTGGCACTTAACCCCCAGTCTTACATCAGAGGGCAGAATTGACATATTAATCTGCATTTGCAATTAATTTACCTTACTACCGACATAAATACAAAAATAATCAGGACAGATATTTATAATCCATAGCTTTCAAAACAGTTTGATCTGTAGTGTTATATTAACATATACATTAATAGGCTGTTCCGCAAAAAACTGCTATCTCATATTACTATAATGAAGAAAAACCCCGTCTGTTTCAATTTGCCTCGATTAATCAATCACCACAATTAAAGATACCAATATTCCGTCTTTGCGTATTGCAGAGTTATCTTCTCTTGAGAACAGGTATTGATTGTTACGTCATTTGTTTGAGAGAGTAACGTCATCAATTTTTGAGAAAACGACTTAATTTTCTCACACAAACCAATGACGTAACAATCAATACCTGTTCTCAAGAGAACATAACTCTGCTATACGCAAAGACGGAATATGTATGAGGAATGTGAAGACAATGCTGATTGACGAACGTAAGATTATACACTGTAGTTGATATTCAACACTATTTTATACAAAACAGTTTTTCTTTCTTTTTGACTTAAACTTTCTAAACACGCCATGTGAAGGAAACAGAGCAAACGTGGTGAACTATTGTTAAGTAATACAGATAGCTACGTTTAGAGAGGAATGATATAATAACAAATAAACTGAAGGTGTCGTATGTATTTACTAGTCGTACATTACTACTTTATGCATCAGGTATCACTAATACGACAAGAATGAATAACGATAGGTTATTATAGACCAATGTATAGCTTTATTATGGTCTTCTTTGAAACCGATAAATCATGAAGATTTGATAGAAATCATGTCTTGAACAATAACTATCGCAAATGGCGTTTTCGAGTTTATTTTAAAAACAATTAAACAAAACAATGGACCGAACAATATCAAAATTCCAAATTCAAAACTTCGCGATCTAGTATGTTTAAACATGTAAAATAATAAAAAATAAATTTAGGAACTAAAATAGCATTAAGAACATTCAGGACCATGTTTGACCTTACAGGACAGATATAAACGTCACCATCCTGTATTTACATCGTCCCAACACAATCACTAACAGATATACGAGGCACCATCCTGTATTTACATCGTCCCGACACAATCACTAACAAATATACGAGTCACCATCCTGTATTTACGTCGTCCCAACACAATCACTAACAGATATACGAGTCACCATCCTGTATTTACATCGTCCGAACACAATCACCAACAGATGTACGAGTCACGAGCCTGTATTTACATCGTCCCAACACAATCACTAACATATTTACGAGTCCCCATCCTGTATTTACATCGTCCAAACACAATCACTTACAGATTTACGAGGCACCATCCTGTATTTACATCGTACCAACACAATCACTAACAGATATACGAGTCACCATCCTGTATTAACATCGTCCCGACACAATCACTGACAGATATACGAGGCACCATCCTGTATTTACATCGTCCCAACACAATCACTAACAGATATACGAGTCACCATCCTGTATTTACATCGTCACAACACAATCACTAACAGATATACGAGTCACCATCCTGTATTTATATCGTACCGACACAATCACTAACAGATATACGAGTCACCAACCTGTATTTATATCGTCACAACACAATCACTAACAGATATACGAGTCACCATCCTGTATTTACATCGTCAGAACACAATCACTAACAGATATACGAGTCACCATTCTGTATTTACATCGTCCCAACACAATCACTAACAGATAAACAAGTCACCATCCTGTATTTACCTCGTCCCGACACGATCACTAACAGATATACGATTCACCATCCTCTATTTACATCTTCCCAACACAATCACTAACAGATATACGAGTCACTATCCTGTATTTACATCGTCCCAACACAATCACTAACAGATAAACAAGTCACCATCCTGTATTTACATCGTCCCGACACGATCACTAACAGATATACGAGTCACCATCCTCTATTTACATCTTCCCAACACAATCACTAACAGATATACGAGTCACCATCCTGTATTTACATCGTCCCAACACAATCACTAACAGATATACGAGTCACCATCCTGTATTAACATCGTCCCAACACAATCACTATCAGATATACGAGTCACCAACCTGTATCAACATCGTCCCAACACAATCACTAACAGATATACGACTGGCCATCCTGTATTTACATATACACTTAATTTATTTAACAACAATTATGAAACACGTTATTCAACTTATATTAATCACTCTTGTTGGCCCGGATGTTAGCGCATTGTGGACCTTAGTTTGGGAGGAAACCGGAGTACCCGGAGAAAACCCACGTTGTCGGGCAGGTGACCCCAACCTTTTCACGTCCGATCGGGGAATCGAACCCCGGCGGCCTTAGTGAAAGGCAAGTGCGCTATCCACTGCACCACCCGACCACCACTAACATCGTCCCAACACTATCACTAACAGATAAACCGACACAGTCAACACCTATTAATCAAGCAGATCTGACACATGACATATAATCGATGCCATTCGATCCTAAGGGTGTCTCTATTTACGTTATTTATGTCTCCATATTCGAATAAAACGTATAGAAATTTCTCTTTGCGTAATACCGTTTGATCAGAGTGTGCCGGTAGGAATTCGTCTGTTGAATTATGCAGACAAAGTCTGATTGCACTTCGACCTATACAGACCTCGTCGATTACACATACCGACGTATTGCCTGCTCGGATAGGTGTTACGTTCCAAATTAATGAGGGTTTAAACATTTTCCTTTCCCTGATTTTGCACACAACGTTGACTTGCTCAGTAATGTTGCTGATTGGCTGTCCGTGTATTTATGGTCCTGGTCGTGGTTAACATTTTTTAAGCATATGTTCGGTCGTGTAACAACTTGTTATAGAATGCCTGAACTTAATAAATTGCGTTTTTTTTTCGCAGATTCAGGGTTTACGTAATTCCACCCTTCGATCTGTTTGCGTTACTAGGTACGAACTTGAATAGTTTGGATGGAGAATAAACGTTCTGAGATATATAAGAACACTAATTATCTAATTAGCCTATGTACTTATTTATTTAAGAAATAATCAACACATGTGCGTGCATTATGGTGGAATATATAACGAGGGTGAGAAAATGTTGGTAAAAATAATTAAAGAAGGCCGCTTCGGCCTGAGTTAATTATTTTTCCAACATTTTCGAATCCCGAGTTTATTTTATCCTATTTTAACCAATGAAAACCGTCGTTACATCACAGACGTGGTAGAATATTTGTTTTATCATCTATTGTAAACTACAGGAAGAATGAGGTATACGAGTTGAGTGTAGACAATTGTTGTAAATTAAATAATATGACCTTAAAAAGGGAAAATATTGATAATGAAAAATTAATAAATAAAAAAATGAAAAATATTAAAAAAAAGAAGTACAATGATGAATGGCTCGGTGCCAAGCACCATATATACGATATAGAGCAAAAATAAAATAAAATAAATAAATAAATATAAATATATAATAATAAATTTAACAACCACATGCATACTACCTACTCACATACTAATACGAAAAAAGTATGCTAATGATTTATAATAATTGTAATAATTAGACAAGCATAGAGAAGAGCCAAATCTGAGTACAAAAAAAGATATATAGTTTGAACTGTTGCTACAAAAAAAAGTTTTAATACATTCAACACTACAAACGTTTGTATTGGACAATTTACGTCAGGTATGTAAATTGACTCAGCACTTATATGATATAAGTTGAGGATGCATTTGATATGAATCGGATAATTCATGATATCTTTTGCAAAACGTATCTGCATGTGCAATATAGTCAATAGTCAAATGAATTTCAGAAGTCAAAAATTTCCTGTATTAAACTTTTTTTCTTATATGGATTTTTGGAAAAATGAGTAAATGGCATAGTAGAAAATGCAAAAAAAACTATATGTCGGTTTGTTCGTTTTTGAGGTATGGTCGGTCAAAGATACCAATTTAACACAACATGTGATTTTAGGTGAATTTTTGGGTTTTGACCATTTCCAGAAAAAATTCATACAATTTCTTCCAAGTGTGTTATTAGATATGTATGAATGTTTGTAGAATTGATGAAAATATTATTTTCTTTTAAATTATGGAAATGAAATTTCTTAATCTTATTCTTTTAACTCAGAAAGCCGATTTTAGCTACCCTTACCCCCTATTTTTTAATGAAAATATACTCATTTTTTACCATTTTTTTGCAGATTAAACGCCTGATAAAAAAAGTTCTGGTATTAAACTTTTTTTTTGATATTTAATGAATTAAAAGAAAATGTGTTTCTCTTTCTAAAACATCCACAAAAATGGGGGGTCGGTGTGCTTCTTTTTTTGTCCCATTATCATTTGTGTTATTTTTTACCTTTTTCGGGGTCAAAAATCAAATGTGCTTCAGTTACACTAAATATGTAAAAAATATCTCAATAGTGTATAATTTTCCAGTTTGTTGCATATTATTTTTATCATATTAAACATTATAAAGTTGTAGAGCAAAATTGAACCTGCTATAATTAAAAATGGCGACACAATGACAACTTAAGTGATTAATCTAGTGTCAAAAAAGGTGAAATTTTTGCCTTTTTTCAAGCCCAAGAAATACACATTAGTACAAATTTTCAAAATGGCCGCCGAATTGGTATTTTTTTTAAATTCTTGTAAAAAAAGTTCAACAAACAACAGACATCTAGTTTTTTAACATATTTTTCAGATGCGTGTTTGCTATTAAACTTGATCATAATTTGTTAAATATTACAAAATCCCGTTACACCAGACCAAAACGAGACTTGAACGTGATTGAAACCTCAGAAGAGTACATCCTTAAGAACAAAAATAGGTGAAATGTGATATCTGGATATTCCCAGCAGATGTTTAATTGAAAAGCGTTACCCAGACACTGCCGCCAGATATAGTAATGGAAAGTGTTACCTTGGTATTTCCGACAAATATAGTAATGGAAAGCTATAGAATTTGTCTCCACAGTCCAGTGCCTCCCTATACTGATGAACTGTGGGGTTTGGTCCTCTGGCCTCGATGTGTTCTGATTCCAGCCCTTGTAGTTGACTTCCGTCCCATCTGTCCAGTCATCACGTCCATTATAACCAACCCAGAACGTAGAGCTGTAAGCAACAGTCAACGCATTCTAACATGTATTTTAAATGTTTGTCATATGACATACATGTAAAACATAAAGTTCAAAAGTAAATGAAAAATAATAGATAAATGCTAAATAAAATAATTAATAACGAAAAAAAAAGTTAAAAAAAATACACATTTTCTAATGCAGAAATAGTTTCATGCGTTTTGTGCTCGTGTTATTAGCACGATTGCTCTATTCACAGATACACTGTATTGTATATTATATTCCAATACGTATAGAAGTTTCTCCGACGTCACTTGTTGATTGTGTAGTTAATCACGCCTTCAGTCAATGGCATAGCATACACAAATGACAACATAACAAAACACTTTACTAGAGTTCACATGTATAAAACTAAATAAAACAAACTAGTACGTATTTCAAATGGCTATATTTTCATTGATACTGGGATTTTGTGTTTACAGCATTATTTTCTCTTTGGTCAATTACATGAAAAGTTACATTTGTACTCTCAATGACTGACTAACTGATCTTTTTCAAATAACAATCTTACTGTTTGACTTTTGGTAGACCTCTGTACACTTCTGTGATTTCCTTTCTCAGAAAACTAGCTTCGGCCGAGGTATGGATACTTGTCAAATGCCCGCCATGTTGGCGGCAATGATTCTCAGCTTCTGTAAAGGTAGACAGGTAAGTCTGGAAGAGGAAGCAGCCTCCTGTATACTCGACCCATCCAGCGCCACACCCTAAAACGAAGCGACCATTGTTTTAGTTGTAGATTTACATTGAAGTGTTACCTTTGCGTTAAGGGGTAGAGACGGTCAAGTCACTTTTCAGCACATGCGTTGTTGCAAAAATCAAGAGTTGAAACTGAAATCATTTTTTAACACAAAGCTCTTTGTTGGAAAACACGTAATTCATACACTGACTGATGGCAAGGTATTTGATTCAACAACAGTACTGGGGTAATGCATAAGGGTACCAATTATTTCAATAGTGGTTCACCTTGTGTGATTACAACGGAAGAAACAAGAATACAGAAGTGCATGGGAAATAGTGCTCAAAATTGTTTGTTTTATTGTGTGTTTTTTTCATTTTCAACAACATGGTGCCTTGAATGAAGCTTGATAACTACCATAAATGTATAGTTTTATTTTATCTGTCTAGAAAATTATATAAACTTTTTACTGTAGTTCTATCGTCATGCATGTTATTTGGGTGTTTTTTTAGAATAAAATTTATATAAATTGTTCACATCTTTCTATATAAATGGCTGTTGAGTAACTGTTTGGTTCACGGTCATTAAATTGCCCAGATACGCAACGTTTTGAATTCAGCTCTCAATATTTTATGATTGACAAGACAAAAACGAATGGAAGAACGAACTTTTATAGCATGTACAATACATGAAATAGATAGGCGCGATATCAAAAAATGACAAATCAAATAGTTTTTATAAAGGTAACAATTTACATAGAGCTTTGAACGCATTTCGGACACTAATATCGCATTTGGTAAAGAGCAAAGTGTTGCTACGCAACAATGCCGTTTGTTCTGCGTTCTGGATGGGCTCATTTGTGACTTCAACACACGGGAGGATTGAACCGTCGATCATAGCCTCGCATGTAACAGATAAACAAGTCTAGCACAGTCCAGTTCAGAGAAAGCATAGTTAATCAAATGTGACAGTAGCTTTAGATCACATTCGAGGAATAAAATACTTTCTAGAAGAATAGCCCCGTGGTAAATAATGGGACATGCAATGCCAGTGTGCTATACAGGAGAATGACTTTCTAGTCCCTGTAGGGAGAAACCTAGATAGCTGAGCTCACAGATATGAAAATATGTATTTGTTTTCCAAGGCAATACGTAACATAAGTAATAAACATTAGCAATGAGCTACAGGCACAGATACGGGTATGACAATCATATTAATTTTCCATTTTTCCAAGACAATACGGAATTGTATGTTAGCTTCAGTAAGGGCACATTAGCAAAACACCTTTCTATATCAATGTCAAACTTTCCACTTTGCTTACATTGCCCTAAATACGCCGTTTACTATTTGGAGGTTTTATGCCAAGCTGATATCTGAAACCTTTGAGGTCTATCAAGTTAATGTTCAGATCACAACAGAAGAATATGGTTGGTAAAATACTAGAATATAACAGTTTTTGAAACAATTCATCTTATAACCTTATCTGGATCTTTTTGTAAAGTCTTTATGAATACATTTCCACTGATTACCTTAAAATTCTAAACATTACCGGGCCTGCTGAATAAAAATGTTTCAAAGATGACGTTTGTTAACGAAGCATGATAAAATTGAATCAAGCGAAATAAGTTTGGATGAAACTAAACAGATCTATCCTAAGCTCGTTTTTATTAAGTTTGAATTCCAAGATATAATCAAGAATTTGGACATTACTTTACTGCAAAACTTTGCTTGTTGATCCGGTAGTATATATTTACTAGACGGTATTGATTATATAACACTTTTTTTCCTTTTTCATATGTGGCTACATTTATTTAAAAACAACCAGCAAAGTCATTCCATTTTAATATTAAGATACATTGACGATATACTATCTTTAAATAATAAGAAATTAATTGACCTCGTCTATCGTATATGTACCCTCCTGATCTTAAAATCTAAGCTGCACGATAAGCGAGACAATTTCTATTTTCTGATTATGAAGTTTCCCTTTCTTGATATTAACATCATGCATCCCTAACCTTGGTGTTTAAATATAGCAATTTATTTCGTATTCAAGAGAAATGTCGACTGCTGGTGGACAAACTTTCAACACGGTGTTTCTAAAGATCGATGAAAGGTTTATTGGGACCCTGGAGAAGTTCAATGGTCGCGATCGATGAAAGGTTTATTGGGACCCTAGAGAAGTTCAATGGTCGCGATCGATGAAAGGTTGATTGGGACCCTGGAGAAGTTTAATGGCCGCGATCGATGAAAGGTTTATTGGGACCCTCGAGAAGTTCAATGGTCGCGATCGATGAAAGGTTGATTGGGACCCTGGAGAAGTTTAATGGCCGCGATCGATGAAAGGTTTATTGGGACCCTGGAGAAGTTCAATGGTCGCGATCGATGAAAGGTTTATTGGGACCCTCGAGAAGTTAAATGGTCGCAATCATGATCTGATTGGGAAATATGCTATTGTTTCTGTGATATTAATGTCGATACTTTTTATAATGCTTAAAAGTGCGCATTGCTGTTTTGTTGTCGCTACTTTAGTTTTCGCTACGAGGACGTGCCTTAACCCTAATTTATATGGCGGGTGCGACCATGAAGCAGAAGCCGCTTACCCTTCCGGAACACCTTATTCTATTCTGAGCTATATGGATTTCGAGTTCGGATTACGGTATTATCTGTTTTTTGTTTGTTTATATACTACACTAAATACTTCAAAATCAGGGATTCCTATTTAATAACATTTAGACTGGAACCACGCTCAAGGTAAACACTGTTGTCCACAGGAAGTCATTAATTTTATTTCTTATTACTACACGTAGAGTAGAAGGTATTGACAATTAATTATCATAAAACAGCTGCAAAACAAAGTATTTCGGAAGGACAAAGGTTTCCGGTACCATATGTGGGACCTGTTATGTTATGATGTCTGTAAAATTCAAGAACGTATTCAAATAATCAACCGTCTGGGACGTGCCTGATTTCTTTTAATTCGTTATAACACTCTTGGTGTTTTCCTTTTCTTACTTTTCCTTTGGGAGAGTAGATGATTAATTTCGGAGAAGCACACATCCATGTTTTCCTCATTCAAGAAATATCAATACCTGATTTCGCGGATATTGAGAACACTGAACGGTTAGCAGACGACCATGGTACATTATCCTTAGTTGTACCTGAATGCAGTGTAAAGATATGCATTGACGAAGGGACGCGATGCTATCAGAATTTTCGGCATAATTCTGTCTTGACAAAACGAGAAAACACTCCCCAGCTGCTGAACTTGAAATATAACGACCTCGGGAAAATCCCATATATCAACGTCCCATGTGACAGTTGAATGACATTATCGACCCGTGAAGTATGAGAGAGATACCTGTGGGGCACGTGTTTATAGAACATCTGCCAGATCTGAGGTTTACATGCTTGTAACCACTCTAACAGCTGACTTGAGTTCGTTAAAACTGTTTTCCTTGTCACTATATTACGAGAATCTGAAGATTGAATAACCCGGATCATGCATTTAAAAGATTGAAATACTTTCTCAGATGGAGTCACGGCCTGATTTAGGAAATAGAAATCGTAACGAAATACAGTGGAATCGAAAAATATTGATCGAGGATCTACTTAACAAGTTTCAATCAGTATTAAAAAGCCTCAAGAACAAAATAAGTTAACGACGGTGACACGAATGTATGTTAAACAAATACCATCTTTATGACGTATGATTACATACATGATGAAGTGTAAATAATGTATTTTGGATGGCTGCAATACAGAATTATAACAATACCACATCACAAATACGAACACACAGTGAAGGTAGACAAAGAAAGTTAGAGTCTAGCATCCTACAACGTACTCAATGTGATAGGTCTGACTATGCTTACATAAACACGTTCACAGTGTTAGGAACAAATAGGGGGAACTTCCTACTGTCTGTCTCACTTAACGTCGTGTCGAGATTTCTGAAAGTGTACATTATATTATTGACCGGTTTTTACACCTATTTCGTCTTTTTACTTAGATGTACACCACACAATTGCGAAATATATGTATTAGACATAAATAATCAGGTTAATGTTTAAAAATGAAATGTCGAGAACAATTTCTGTACTAAAGACAAAAGATTGATGTCACTTTTAATTTTCTGTACTTAAGATACAATACTGATGTATCATATACATAATGTTTCTATATAGTAATACGTTTTTGAGATTACTGTTCAGTTTTTGAGTACAAATACAAGATAATTACATCATTATTTAGTAACTTGACGGCTAAGACTGGATATACTTAAGAGCTTTGTAATACAACTCTCAAACTAATCATTGTCAAATTATGACGTTAATTATTCAAAGAAATCGTCAGAAAATAACGAAAATATTCAAAATAAATCATTGTCAGAAAGTTAAGTAAACATCTAAAACATATGATTGTCAGGAAATAAATAAATATCACAAACAGCTCAACGTCATGAAATTGTGTTTATATTTTCATTCAAATCATTGTTAGAAAGTCACGTTAATATCGCAAAAATCATTGTTAGAAAATTGCGTTAATCTCTCAATTAAATCATTATCATGAAGTGTATATCTCAAACAAATCATTGTCAGAGAGATATAGAAATGTCTCGATCAAATCACTGTCAGAAAATACCAACACATGTTTGCCTACGTAAACTCCTCAAACTAATCTTTGTCAGCAAACACAAATACCGTTACGTAATATTTCGTAGGCTGGTGAGCTTCCGTTGGTCTGTTATTGATTTTAGGATCATACAGATGTTAACACGTCTGCTTAGATAAACGCAATGTATATGTCTGAAACAAAATATAGTTAAAATGGACACCTCAAAGGGTTCCTACAGTTGCTCATATATTTACTGCATTTCATGCTGTTTTCCTTGTTGCTATGCATTGTACAGAGCAATCTTAGTGCGTTCTGATAAATGTCAAACATAATGAGTTGTAAGCTGTAACAGTGTCACACAATGTCTACACGTGGAAACAGGACGAGCCCGGTTTATGGTACTGTGTGGTT